GTAAAATACTATAGCTTAATAAACTAATAGCCTAAATAACTATAACCTATTTATAATTATTAAGCTATATTATTTTTATATTTAAATGCTTTTTAGTGCTTATTATAATTATTATAGATATAATTTAGGCCTCTAGCACCTTATAGTCTTATAGAACTACCGCTAGTAGCAACACCCCACTAAAACTAACGCACTCTACTAACAGCCTTTAGGCTACTTCTCTATAGGCTAGTTAGGACTTATATTATAAATTATACTTATTTAATTTTAATTACTACTAAATAAACTATCTCTATTATTAATAATACTAATTATATTATAAAAACCCTTATACTTATTAGACTAAACGCTTTAATAGAGACCTCCTTTTATTCTACTAGATATACTATTATGCTAACCTACCTAAACGCCTACCGTCCTTTACTATTTCTAAACTTAGTGTAACTCTAGTTCTTCTAATCTATAGGCAGCTTAAATACTAAGTAGTTCTATCTTATTAGTAAGGCTCTCTATATTATATAAACTTACTTAACTTACTAATAGTTACTACTAGTACTACTATAGAGGCCTTAACTACTTACTAAGGGCTACCTCTTATTAATAGATCTTATTTATCCCTAAGAGGGCTTCTTAAATAGTAGCCCTAGCCTCTTTAAGCTATTAGATATACCTAAGGTTAATAATAGTTTATATATTAATATTATTTAATATAAGCTACTATTAGCTCTAATAAATATAGGTATTATAGCTATTATAGAATAGTAGTACGTTATATACCTAAAAGAGTATATTATACTACCTATTAAGTATTAAGTATTACTATTTAACCTTAAGATTATTACCTCTAAGGTCTATAGTAAGATAGCTTAATTACTTATAATTATAAGTAGTAATTAATAATAAGTTATACTTAAGATATTTATTATCTATTATAATTATTAAGTTATTAAGGAAGTTTTAGAGGGGGGGTTAAGAATAAGTAGAGAGAATATTAGTATTATAGTAAGTAGTCTCTTTTTATATATATCTTCTTAATACCCTAATAAGGCTTCTTCTATATAACTTATAAACCTTTCTCTAGTATATAAAATTTATAGAAACCCTCTATCTAGGTTAAAGCTATTATAGTTAAGGCTATTATAGTTTAAGCTATTATAGTTTAAGCTATTATAGTTTAGCTAGGTGTTAATAAATAGCTATAGCTAAAACTATCTCTAAAGTTTAGTTAGTTATTAGTATCTAATATATATATCTCTAGCCTTAACTATTAGCCTTATTATTATTTATATATATATATAGCGTTACTTAAAGTAGGGGTCTAAACTACTAGTTAGCCTACCTTTTTATTTTCTATTATAAATACTAATATAGCTAATAGTACTATTATTATTTACTATTATTATTTCTTATTTATAGGGTAGATTATATAAGCTACTACTAGTAGTACATTATAATTAAATACTAATAGATATAATTTAGCCTATTATAAACCTAGTTTTATTAAAGTTATAGATATTTAAGTCTATAATACTATATTTTATAATTATATTTACTATAAGCTAAAACTATATATTTATTATATTTAGGTCTTTATATTAAGCCCTCTTATACTTATACTTATAAAAAAAGTATATCTAAAGCTATAGTTATTACTTAATAAAATTTAAGGCTTAATACTTCCTAATAGGAAGTATATTATAGTTAGTAAGTAGTTAATTAGCTATATCTTCTACTCTATTTATATAGAGAGGAAATAACTAGGAATCTAAATTAAAAATATATTTAACTAGCTTCTTCTCTTTATATATAATTAAGTTTTATAAGTTTAGTATTATATTATATTATAATATCTTTCTTTTAATTTAGTTATATAATATTAAATAGGGTATTAAGTAGATCTAAAATATAGCTCTTATACTAAGATTATTAGCTTATTTAATTACTTAAATAGCTAAGTTTAATTAAGCTTCTTTATTTATAAGGGATATTACTAGGTATAGTATAATATATATATAAAGGTAGAAGTCTAGTTTGCCTAGTTAGGTAATTACCTTACTTATCTAATTACCTTACTTATTAACTACGTTATAGAAATAAATAAGATATCTTTAAAATAAAAGAACTATAAAATAAGATATATAATAATAAGGTAATAAATATTAGTAAAGTAAATATAAGTACTTACTTAATAAGTACTTACTAATAATTTAAGATACTTCTTTAATATAACTTTAAGCTAGAGAGAAAAGCCTAAAGTTAAAGGAAAATAGACTTATATATAAAATAAGCTTAAGTCTACTTAAGATTAGACTTTTATAGCTTTTTAGTAATTAATTTATAATTATCCCTTAGATACTTTTAGCTATATTTAAAGTAATAATTACTCTATAACTTTTATTAAGGCTTTAATTAATTACTAAGCCCTTTAAAGACTTATTATTACTTAACTATAACTATAGATAACTATTACTATTATTATTACCTAACTTACTATTAATATAAACCCTACTATTAGTTAGCTAGCTATAATACTATCTCTTTAAGTATAAAAAGTATATTTTTAAACCTTAATATTAAGTTATATATTTTAATACGTTTAAAGTTATTCTTAATAATACTCTATATAGACTTTTAAAATATTAAATAACTTAATAGAAATATCTTTTTAATTTAAACTTATTAAGAGAAAAATCTTTTATTATTAAAATAGCTTATTAACTTTAATTATTATAGCTATATAGTATTTATTAAAAGGAGTAGTTATAGCTTAATTATAGTTAGCTAACTAATAGTAGGTTTATATTAATAATAAATTAGAGATTAATAATAATTATAATTAATTACTATTTTATATAGTTTATTAAGTAATTATAGGTTTATAAAAGGCTTAATAATTTATTAAGTTTTTAATAAGAGTTATAAAATAATTATTACTTAATTATAACTAAAAGTATTATAAGTAATAATTATAAATTAATTACTAAAGAGCTATAGAAGTATAAACTTAAATAGTTTTAAGCTTACTCTCTATATAAGTCTAATTAGTTTTTTTATTCTTTAGAACTAATATTTTATTAATAGTCTTATTAGATAAACTACTCTTAATATATTAATTTTAATTCTAGTCTTATCTCTAGACTACTTATTAGAAGTTAGTTCTTCTTTTTATTATATAACTTATACTATAGTTCTTTTATTCTTATAGGAACCCCATATATTCCTATAATTATATATATAAATATACTATTATAGCTACTTAGTATCCTAGTGAGGCGTTCTTTATTAGTTATACCTAATAGGTTGTAACATAATGTCTCCTACTACGTTTTCTTACGATTTTAAGGTTTGTCTCCCGAGTTATGTTATGGGCTCCACTACAGCGGCAAAGTGGATTCATCTCCCAGCCACAGTTGTGACTCTACTAGTACGTACTTAGCTAGGCGGTCGGGATAGCGCCCGGACTAGCCATGGGCCAGGTGGCCCTTGGGGGCCCGTGCGGGCTATGTTGCCCCCGACGGCGCCGCAATGCATGAAGCTGTCGCAACATGAGACCAACGAAACATGTATGCACGCCCCGTCAGCCAAGGTGAGATAGATTACTCTCCTTTTTTTGACATTTTCGACTGATGATATCTAATCTCCCTTTCCTTTCACTGCAAGATATGCGGACTCCTGCGCACCGGCAGACCTTGTTCTTGATCTCGCTACTCTCGATTCCGCCCATACGGCTTCTATTGCTAGTCGACGCCAGAGATGAGTGGCTTACGTGAGAAAAAGATTGATTTAAACTCATAGGGTTCTCATCACTGGACTTCAGCGAGCTCTAACCATCGTCCTATGTCGAAGGAGGCACAGTCAAGCAGCTAGGCCAAGTTCTTAAGTTTTCCCTATCAACATGCTTTCTAAGGCCTAGCTTAAGGCGCTATTATCTATTGCCATTCACAATCTAACAATCAAGCTTAAACAGAGGTTCTATAGCGCCAGGAACTCCATCATCCACTGTCAACCATCTTTTCTGACGGCCTCACAATTCGCCCCCTGGCTATTGCATCGAGTGTGGCCTCAAAACTCTCAGACATCACTGAAACACCCAAAGAACAAGCATCAATTCTTCTTATACCCTTTTTTTTTTTTGAAATCTCATAAGCTGGTAACTTTGACGTCATATCTCAATTATTCAGCTTGTTCTATGTGGTATTGCCTCTTTCTTGTTCTCAGAGCTCATAATGTTAAATTTTGTTGCCTAGAGTTATGCCCACTGGTGACACCTGCCTTAAACGAATAGAGTGTCCCAATTTGGTAAGATACATACCTCTTTGTTGTCCTCTTGTGACCTTTTTGCGCCACCTTTTCAAAGTCAATGTTTTTTCCCCTCCTCATTTTCTTTTTCGTGTCACCTTTCTAAATATTTCCTTCCCCTCCTTCCATTCTTTTTCGTGTCACCTTTCTAAATATTTCCTTCCCCTCCTTCCATTCTTTTTCTCGCCCTTTGCTGCCCACTCTCCAGCTTTGGGCCATCCATCCCATACCAGCCTGCCTATTAAGACCACTTCACCTCAATCTTTAGGGACCGCACATTAACGTCAACCTCACTAACCGCTTTGCTGCCTCCTTCCGTGAGAGCATCTGCTCTCAACCCACTTGCTATGCCTCCCGCTAGTGAGTCACTCATTCGGACATCACTATACTATTGCTGATATCTCCTGATCACAGGCTCTGCGTGTGGTGTGAAAGTTGTGAACCACAAGAACTCCCCCTCGTCTTCATCATCCTCCCAGGAGTCCTCATCGCAGTCGCCCAAGTCAGCTTATTCAACCTGCGAAAGCACCACTGACGGATATAATGACAACTCCAACTATCAAGCGGCTGAAGCCAAGGTACAGACAAACTGTGCGAGGCAGCCTCTGGTTGAGATCCAAGATGCTGAAGCCAAGACATGCCAGGAAGACACCAGGCTCATCACAACTATATTATCCGCCATTCACAATCTCAGCATCTCACTGCCCCCAACAAATGTCCTCATAAGGTTCACAAACCTCACCCTTGGTCCAGTCTACGACAAAGCCGATACAGCTTGCAGAAGCCTTGGCTCCGCCCTCTCTGATCTCACTGCAACTGCTATCATCCCAGGTCCTTGGTCTCTACAGCTAAGACGTTTTGGCTTTGAGTTTGCTGTTTCCCGATCCGGCTGCCTGCTTCTGCCTAACTCTGTTGATTCCCACCTCATCGACTCCGATTCCGGTTCCGATGCTGATGACGAGCCAGAGAACAGCAAGGGCTGCCTCTGGACGCAGGGACTCTACTGTGTCCCAAGGGACTCCGGAGACATCCAGGTACAAGCTGGTACAGAGGTCCTGCCGAAGCACATCATGACACTTGGCCACTTGATCATGCGACCGCAGTCCGAGGACACAAACCACAAGCACAAAACGACGACAAGCATTGACACTGATGATGAGGCCCCTTTCTACTTCGAGAACAAGTACTGGAATCCAACCGGCTATCAAGTTGTCATCGATCTCCAAGACAGCGGGCTGCCCGTCTGGATCATCAGAGACGAAGCTTGGCTTGAGAACTACGAGCGGCCATACTCATTCCGCAACATCATCGATGCAATCGGAGGGAAGGGCATGGCACGTTTCTCAGCGGCCAAGATCTTGTCATCGTGTCGCGATTGGCAGAAGAAGGAGGTTGAGGAATCACGAGGCTTGATTGAGCAGACTCGCTGTTGGGTTCGGTCCGCTCGAATAGACGCTTGGTATTCCTCCTAGGCATGCATTCACCTAGAAGGGCATGGTACGTCGTGGCCAGTCCAGGTAGTATTGAAAGGGTTTTCGTTTCTGACCGGGTCAGGAAGGGTGTTTGTAACAATAAAAGAGGATTAATTGACTGCTTTACCGCTCTTTCAGTGGATCCTAATTTGAGAATCAGTATTATCAAGAAGACATATGCATCGTCCTCAATAGTTACTCCTTAGAATCAAACTGCTTCCCTATCCCTCACCTAATGTCGAGCACTTCGTAGCAGCTCGTGCTCTTCGCCTACCCGTTTGATCATGTGTTTCCCTCACTATACACTCTAAGCTCCTATCCTTCTAGGTGTACACGATTGGGGATCTGCTCCTTGCACTGGAGCCGGATGGAGAGCTTGCGCCGAAGCTGAACAGACAATGCCATGAAGTGCAGGCTGAGCTTGGCTTTCTCCAAGCACTGTTAGAGCGGGCCATGATCAGGCATATGCGGCGATGACCAAAGGGAGAAGCGCAATGGTCCTCCCGCGAGAGCTGCATCTGGGTACAACGCGGACACCGCTGGACGTCTACAAAATTATGTACTCCAACCAGTTCCATGCCTCTCAGCCCAGACATTAGGTAAGTCGCTTGGAAGCTCCGCGAGCCGCCTCCCTGTCAGCAACACGTCGACCGTAGGCCACGAAAGTAGCTTCTAGTTTTGTGGCTGATAGGTCACAACACGGAGCCGCTGGTCTCTGTGGATTAATGGCCGTTGACTATCATCACAGTGACGCAATCAGAGAGAGAGCCCCGCGACAGACGCTGAATAGCTGAGACCTGCGGCCAAGACGCTCGACGAACCCATGTCTTTCAATTCATTACGATAACTGAACAACAATCAAAGTAGCTCAAGGCAAATTGAAAACAGCTGGAAGAAGCTGTAAGTGATTTGAGGCAACTCAAAGAAGTTCTTGGGTGTCTCAAAGTTATTCAAAGAGACTTAAAGAGACTCAAAGAGATTCAAACAGACTAGACACAATTCGAAGATACTTGAACACGTTGGAAGAAGCCCAAGCCGATAACGGCCCCGCGACCCAGGGTCGCAAAAGCGTCCTAGACTCCTGGCAGAGAATTGTTCTCGTCATCATTTTCCGCATCCAGAGGATCATTTCCAAACACATTATGCTCTACGGAATCAACAACCGTACACTATGACAAGACCGCTAACTGTTCACAGCGGCGCCGATGCCAACGTGCCTCGCAAAAACGGGCTAACCGACAAGCGCAAAACCACCGTTTATCAGATCAACCCATGCAACACGGCGGCCAAACTGTACGAAGCTGTCGTGAAGGACCTTCGAAATCTTGATTTCTCACTTGAATTTGAAGATTCGAGGATACTCTTGAGACTCATCGGGTATCTTATTGAGGTTATCAGGAAGAAGCTGGAGGACAAACATCTCAGAATGAACGCTGGGGTCAGCAATGCAAGTTTCCCCCTCTAGCTCAGATATTAATGCATTCTTGAAACATGGCTAACGAAATGTCTCTAGCTCAACTTGATTCACTCGGTACTTAACACTTGTGGTGCCATACAGACAGCTATCAAGGACTTTCCAAAAGATTCATATCTTGAGCATAAGGAGATTTCATCTCGCGGGGTCATAGAGCTGTTGGTCCGCGTTGTTGTGCAGAAGTTTGGCATTGCACAGCATAACAAGATCGACAGCGAGGCTTTCTTCCTCGGTAAGATACTGAAGATTCCAACATCTACTGCACTCAAATGATGCAATTTTGACGCGTGTGCAAAGACACTATTCAACCGAAGCTAAAGACGCTGTTCACAACCAACTTCATTGCCGAAAACAAACATGACGCTACATTACCGATTCCTAAAGTCACCTTTCTCTGCTTAGGGCCTCATGGAAACAATTGCGAGCAAGTTGTCGTTTCCACATCGAGGGAGACACTCGGGTTTGACCAGCGACTGGACCAAGACGTGAAAAAAGCTGTCAACAAAAGGATAGAGAGTTTTTCGGGGCAAATCCATCTCGGAAGGGTCAACAATACCTTCTGGAAGCATTGGGGATATGAACCGGCCAACGACCACGACGACATGATCCCCGCACCTGAACGGGCGAACTTCTGTCAAAAATACGCAACAAGATATGATTCCAATGTTGTCCACCAAGGCTCGACTCCTCCACCAACTGTTTCTGACCCAGTCTCGTTCGATCATTGTGAGGAGCTGGGCATAGGATTGAGCGTCGTAAGGAAGTTCGACGTGATGTCTCGTTGTTTCCGGTGCCATAACCTATTCCACTACGCTCAGTGCAGCAAGTCAATCAGGGTCGAAGCACAAGATACAATGAGGATGTATTGGAAAGATTGGAAGAGCCCCACCTGTGCGGAGTGTTTTGCACATCTGCAGTGTTCCCTATTGAAGGGTCAGCAATAGGAACGCCTTGAATATAGCTGGAGGTATGACATGAGTTGTTCTTGGATATTTTGTCAAGGTTGTTCCGCATTGGTCAGTAGTAGACTATGCGAGAAAGATGGAGAGATATGACGAATGATTAAACCTGAGCTGTTCACTGTGCTCTTGATCTTATGACCACGGCTTTATTGAAGGACCAGAATCTCATGTAATTAAGAGACAATTGTCCCAGCAAGTATGGATCCATCGCTCATGAATAACCATGCTATCTGCGGCGAGTTCGTCGCACATTCAATCCAGTGGCGGTTAACTTCACTGCCTCATGCCAACTCGAAACGTCGAAGGCCTCAAGACCGCATGCAACTAACTACATAGGCTTCCTGCATAATCTGCATGTTCGTGGACGTGAATACTTATGTCTTAACCAGGCTAGAGCATTAATCATTTCCCCCACGCTAATTACGGTGAACTCCGCAAATAGCGCTGAAGCATCTCTTTAATAATTGCGCTATCCTATTATAACCCATTAGGCATAACTAATAAGGAATGCCCCACTAGGATATTAAGTAGTTATAATAATACTTTTATATATAGGATTATAGGAATAGAGAGGACTCCTTAAAATAGAAAAACTATAAGTAAGTTATATAACTAAAGAAGTATAAATACTAATAAGATAAAATATAAACTATTTATAATATAAATTATAAATACTTACCTTAAGTAACTATTAAGTAATTACTTAATAAGTAATTAAGGTAAAAAAGCTAGGGGAATAGAACTTATATATAGAATAAGCTTAAGTCTACTTAAGAGTAGACTTCTATAGCTTTTTAGTAATTAACTTTATAATTACCTTTATTAATATTTTTAATTATATTTAAGTAATAATTATTTTATAACTCTTATTAAAGCTTTAACTAATTATTAAGACCTTTAAAGACTTATAATTACTTAATTAAACCTATAGAATAACCTTTAATTATTTATTATTATTATTACTTAACTTATTATTAATATAAACCCTACTATTAGTTAGCTAGCTATAATACTTTAATTACTCCTATTTAATAAGTTACCTTTTAAGAACTACTAAATAGTATTTAAATAAGATATCTTTTTATACCTCTATTAAGTTACTTACTTTAAGCTTCTCTAATAGCTTAAATAAGTAATCTATTAGTAACCTTATTTAAGAGCTAAATAAAGCTAAAATATAAGATATTAATAATAATAATATAATTACTCTTACTTAAGGAGATATTAAGAGGATTAAATAAGGCTTTTAAGAGACTATTAAACTTAAGAATAATATAAAGAAACTTTAGGATATTATCTATTAGCTTAATACTTAGCTTAAAGCTAAAAATAATAGTAATAATAAGCTTTAGTTTAAAGTTAATACTCTTTAAGCTATTAGTAATATTATTACTATTTCTATTATAGAGGGAAGAGAGAAGCTTTAACTTAATTCTTTTAACCTTTTTAATAGATCTTTAGGATAGCTTAAAGGATTCCTTATTAAAGTTAAAAACTATTAAAACTTCTATTATAGTAACTTTAAGAATAAAACTAAAAAAGTTATTTATATATCTACCTTTCTTAAGGGATAAGCTCTTTAGTAGTTTAAACCCTTTCTTAAAGAGTACCTTAATAAGGAAATATTTAATTACTATTCTATTAAAGTTAGAAATATTTTTAATAGCTTTTAAAGCTTTAAGTCTACCCTAAAGTCTCTATTTTAGGACCTTAATAAAAAATAATAAGCTAAATAAAACTTATTTTACTTTAAATAAACTAAATTAGCTAAAGATTATATTATAGAGTTTTAATAAATCTATATTTAGTTAAATCTTATTAATAAAGATAAGATCTTTATATTTTATAATAACCTTAAGGATAAAGTTAAAAATAAAATTATTAAAATAAATAGACTTAATAACTTTCTCTAGTATATTAAGCTTACTATTAAGATTAATAATTAACTTTATAAATAATATAAAGAGAAGGGTAAATATTAATAACTTATTAACTCTAGCTATAAATACTAATAGTAGCCTTAATACTATAATAATAATTAATATAATAAATATAATAATACTATCTATAGATATTATAATAGACTTATAGATCTTAATATAGCTTAATATAAGAATAATAATAAGGATAATAGCTAAAAGAAGAATATTAAATATTATAACTATAATAAGAATAGATACCTTATAAAAGAATATAGAGTACTTAAGAAAGAATACTTTTAATTAATACTTAAAAAAGATAAATTAATATTACTACTAAAGTAATCCCTTATAAATAACTTAGTTAGACTATTTATTTTAATAATAACTATAGAATTTACTTTAATTCTAAAAAATATATAGGATAGTACTTTAAGAACCCTAATAGGATAGGATATAATACTACTAGAGTAAAGTATATTAATAGGACTCTAAATTAATAAACCTTTACTATAAAATACTAAAGTAATAGTAAACTTAAGTATAAGGCTTAAGAATAACTTAATAGCCTCTTAGAATATAGAGTATTAATAGAGAATAACTTAGATAAACTAGACCTTTATACAAGGTTTTAGATTAATAGATAAGCTTTAGTAACCTAAAAAGAATTACTTTATAACTTAAATAAGCTTTATAATATTATATAATAATATATTTAGATAGTAGCTATCTATAGGTATAAACCTAATATTAATAATATTAGCTTTAAAGAGGACTTTAATAATAAAACTATAAAGGTTAATAAACGCCTTTAGTATAAAAAGATTAATTCTATAGAGAATAAATAGATATTTTAATTCTTTAGTACTTTAAGAGAATAATATAATAGAAACTATAAACTAGAGTTTATACTAAATAACTACTTATATTTATATATAGAAAGCTATTATTATTATTACCTTTATTAGCTATAATACTTTTTTAATAAATATAAAAAATACCTTAAAGATAAATATAACTATTAGTTTTACCCTAAAAGGTATAATAATAAACCTATGAAAAAGGTCTATTATATTAATTAGGTCTATAAATAGGAACTTAAGCTATTTAATAGATAAATTATAACCTTTAGACTAAACTAAAAATACTCTATAAGATATCTTTATAATATTAATATAAGCTAATAAGAATACTAATAGGATAAATATATAATCTATAGAGAAGATAAAGCTAGAGTATAATAATTTAGTTAAAATAGAGTAACCTCTTTTATATTAAAGTATAAAGAAAGCTAACTCTAGAAAGTATAATATAAAGGGATATAAATTACCTATTATAAAGATAACTAATTAAAAAACTAAAATTACTTATTAAAACTAAGGGATAATAATAAATAAATAAAATAAGGTCTCTATATAGTATAACTAAAGTATATCTAGCTTAATAATATAAATATATTTAAGTTTAGATATAACTTAATAGAAGACTAGCTATTACTATAATAAATAGTAAAGCTTAAAGAAATTTTATTTTACTTAATATAATAAATAGATAATAAATAACTTAAGTAAGAAAAATAGAAAAAAACTACTATAAACTTAATACTATTAAAGGAGAATAAGTCTAATATAGTAGAGAATATATTATAGTAGAGATAATATACCTCTCTATATAGATCTATAGCTAGAATAAGTAATTAAACTTTAATATTATAAAGATAAGAAATAAATATAATACTATCCTTAAAAGACTATAGTTATATAATAATAACCTATAGATAGATTAGAAAATAAGCTAACTTTAATAGAAATAAAACTTAATTACTAAATAGTAACTTAAAAAAAGTACTTTAAATAAATATCTAATAACTCTTTAAATAAGAAGATTTATTACTTATTTAAAGATTAAAAGTAAAAATATTAAAACGTTATTAATAATAGATATTAAAAAGAATAATTATCTTCTAATTATTCTAAATAAGTATTAAGTTTATAATAAACTATTTATAAAAAAACTAAAGATTAAACTACTAAAATATAAACCTTTTAATTATAAAATTAAACTAAAAGAAGGGAAAGAACTAATATATAGCTTAATCTATAGACTATTTCAAAATAAGATATAGTATTTAGATAAATAGCTAGAAGAGAACCTTAAGAAGGAATATATTAAACCTTTAATATTACTAATAGGATATCTAATCCTATTTATATTTAAAAAGAATAAGAAGAAATAACTTTATATTAACTACTAAAAGCTTAATAATATTACTATTAAGAATTACTACTTATTACTATTTATCTCTAAACTATAAGACCTACTATATAGAGTAAACTAATTTATAGCTCTTAACCTTAAAGGAGCTTATAACCTTATCTATATTAAAGATAATAATATTTAAAAAGCTACCTTTAAAATATATAGAGGATATTTTAAGACCCTTATTATACCTTTTAGCCTTATTAATATATTAATAACCTTTTAGAGTATAATTAACTATATTTTATAAAACTATATTAATATATATATTATTATATACCTAAATAATATCTTTATCTTCTTAAAAATAATAGATAAATATAAATAATATATATATTAAGTACTTAAAGTACTATAAGATATTAAACTACTAGTAGAACTAAGAAAGAGTAAATTCTATATTTAAGAAGTTAACTATTTTAGATTTATTACTATTTTAGAAGTTATTAAAATAAATAAAAAGAAAATTAAAGTAATCTAAAAGTAGCTAACGCTTTAGAACGTTAAAGATATTTAATCCTTCTTTAGGCTAATTAACTTCTATTAATAGTTTATTAAAAACTATATAGAAACTAACTAAAGCTTTATAGAGCTTACTTAAAAGGATAAACCCTTTAAGTAGATAAAATAATATTAAGAGGACTTTAATTAAATTAAGTAGTATATAGTAAATAATATTATTCTATATATATTAAACTTAAAAAAACCCTTTAAAGTTAAAATAGATACTTCTAACTTTATAATAAGAGTATAACTCTCTTAATAAGACTTAAAAGAGTAACTATAACTTATTACCTTTCTCTCTAAAAAGCTTAATAAACTAAAGCTTAACTATTAGATTTATAATAAAGAACTTATAGTAATTATTAAAGTATTTAAGGAATAAAGACTTTACCTCTTAAGAATTAAGTACTTAGTAAAGGTTTTTATAGATTATAAGAACCTCTTATACTTTATTACTTTAAAAATCTTAAATAAGAGATAAGTTAGATAAATAGAATTCTTATTTAAATTTAACTTTAAAATTATTTACTATAAAGGATTTAAAAATAGATAAGCTAATACCTTAAGTAAATAGATAGACTATAATATCTTAATACTTAAGGAAATATAAGTTATCTTTAAGATAAATTAAAAAGGTAACTTTATATTAGCTATTAGACTTCTATATATAGCTAAAAGAAATAATATTAGCTTAACTAAAAGAATATCTATTAAAGCTATTATAGAGGTATATTCTATACCTATATATAGTTATTAAAGTATAACTAAAATATAAAAATATATTAAATAATACTATAATAAAATAGCTATATAATAAGAAGTATCTTTAATAATTAAAGACTATAAGGTTTATATAAAAAGTAAACCTAATTAATATTAGCTTTATAGTAAGATATAGCTACTCTTAGTACTATAAACTATATAGAAATCTATTTTATTAAACTTTATTATTAAGTTACTTAAGTCTTAAGAACTAATAACTAAAGTCTATTATAATAATATTTTAGTTATTATTAATAGACTTATAAAGTATTTATATTTTATTCTATATATAGAGTTTAATATTATAAAAAACCTTATCTATAAGTTTTTATAAGTAATTATTAGCTAATATAGAATACTAAAGGAAATTATATCTAATAGAAATAAGTTATTTACTTTTAAGTTTTAGAGATCCTTAATCTTATAGCTAAGATCTAATTATAAGATATCTATTACTTTCTATCTATAAACTAATAGCTAAATAGAATAAATTAATTAGATTATAGAAACCTATTTATACTACTATATTAACTATTAATAAGATAACTAGGTTTAATTACTACTTATAGCTTAGTTTATCTATAATAGTATAATAAGGGAAAGTATAAAGAAATTACTATTTTATTTAAACTATAGATTTAACTTAATAGCCTATAGAGAACTATAATAAGGCTTAATAGCCCTAAGAGCTATAGTAGATATTAATAAACTTAAGGAAATCTAATAGAAACTCCTAAAAAAACTTAAATTTATATATAAATAAATATATAAATATATTAATACCTTAAGAGTTAAGAGACTAACTCTATAGGAGAGGGATAATATATACTTTTTCTATTAAAATATTAAAACTAAATAACTAAGTAATAAGTTAGACTTTAAGAAACTTAAACCTTTTAGAATTATAAAGAAGGTATTTAATATTAACTTTAAACTTATATTATTAGATATTATAAAGTATTATTTAGTCTTTTATATTTTACTTTTTAAAAACGTATTAATAAGTTTATATATAAAAGACTATATTATTATAGAACTATTTAAATTAAAATATAAAGTTAAATAAATTATTAACTACTATAAGAGAAATAAAAATATAAAATACCTTATTAAGTAGAAAGGATATAGATATAAAGATAACTTATAGAAACCTATTAAGAACCTTTAGTACTTTTAAGTACTACTCTAAGACTACTATTAAAACTAACTATTTTAGAAAACTTAACCCCTATAAATACTATACTTTAATTAACTATATCTATATAGCTATTAGCTTAAACCTTAATAGCTAAAAAAGACTTAGACTCCTTTAAGGACTCTCTTATAATAACTAACTATTTAGATATTACTATATTACTCTTCTTAAAGATTAACTACTTCTCCTTTTAATAACGCTTAAGCTAACTTAGAGACTTTAATATTTTAAGCTATATCTTCTATAATATAGCTACCTTTTTATAAAATACCTCTTTTTTAGCTCTTTTAGCTAACTTAAGCTATTAAGATTCTTTAAGAAAGTAGCTTATTAGGAAAATACCTTAAAATTAATAAAAAATAAAAAGGCTAGAAATAAATACCTATAAGTATTAACTACTACCCTAATTATATTATATAAATAACCCTAATAAGTATACTTACGATACTTTAAATACTTCTTTATTATCTTATAAATATAGCTATTTACTTAATAATAAAAATATAATATAACCTTAAAACTATTCTAAAAGATCTCTTAAAACTAAAGCTAATAATAAATAATAAAAGAAGCCTTTACTACTTAATTAGACTTTTACTTTTAAATATAACTTAATATAGTATTAGTATTATAAAAATAAAGAAGTAAGATTAATAACTCTCTAACCTAAGAGATACTACCTACTTATATAGGTCTAAGGGACTAAACTATTAAAGAGAGGACTTAATATTATAACCTATTAGGTATAACTAATAAGGAACGCTCTATTAAGATACTAAGTAGTTATAATAATACTTTTATATATAGGATTATAAGAATAAAGAGGACTCCTTAAAATAAAAGAATTATAAGTAAGTTATATAATTAAGGAAGTATAAATACTAATAAGATAAAATATAAACTATTTATAATATAAATTATAAATACTTACTTTAAGTAACTATTAAGTAATTACTTAGTAAGTAATTAAAATAAAAAAGCTAAGGGAATAAAACTTATATATAGGATAAGCTTAAGTCTACTTAAAGGTAGACTTCTATAGCTCTTTAGTAATTAACTTTATAATTACCTTTATTAATACTTTTAGCTATACTTAAGTAATAATTATCTTATAACTCTTATTAAAGCTTTAACTAATTACTAAGACCTTTAAAGACTTATAATTACTTAATTAGACCTATAGAATAACCTTTAACTATTTACTATTATTATTACCTAACTTACTATTAATATAAACCCTACTATTAGTTAGCTAGTTATAATATATCCTTATATACCTCTTTTAATAGGGCACTCTAGGTCTAGTTAAGGCTAATAAGACCTAAAGCGTTAGACTTAAATATATTCCCTTTGCTATTATAATGGATTCTTTTATGCTTAAGAGAGCGACAGCTTCTAGAATTCCTAAGTCTTTATAAATACAAGTGAATAATTCGTTTCTAATTAAGGTAGAAGGACGGGAAAAATTAACCTTAGCCTATATAGGTATACGCCCGTAGTAACTAGTTGCAGCGCACGTAATATATTATTTATACCTAACGGGTTGTAATACTACTCTTATTATAAAGTGGGGTTTTATATAGAACTAGTATAGCGCTATTTTAGAGTTTAAGATGGGAGAGCAGCTTATAGTTTTTTTGGATTTAGGGTATATAAATAGAAGGAATAAGTAGTTTACTATTCTAAAGATTAAGGGCTAGAATGAGCACCTTTTTGTTCCTAGGATTATTATAGGGGGTAGCTTATTGATCATAGGATAAAGGTGACGGGCAACTTACTGATCCTGGGATTAGGGGTTTCTAACGGGGGCCTATTTACTATTCCTAGGATTAGGTAAGGGGTCTAAGCAGCTCACTGTTCCCAGGATTAAAGAGTGGGGGCGGACGCCTGGGGAACAGTTTCAATTATAGTAACTCACTGTTCCTGGGATTAGGCGTCCCTCATAGGAACCCATTTATTAACGTTCCTAGGATGAGGTGCGCCAGCTTTTTCCTAGGATTAGGTGGCCACCTAGTTCACTATTCCTAGGAGGAGGGTTATTAAGATATTATAACCTAGTTCTAGATTTAGTAAACGGTTAGCCGTTAGCGCTCGTGTATTTACTCGCCCTGCTCACCCCAGTCTCACTCTAGGCATCACTTCACTAGATTAAAGCAGCCGTTTTAACGTGAGCAACCGGGTGAGGCAATTGCACCTAAACAGCGAAGTGTGCCGCCACTCGGAGAAAGCTCAGGCCGCTGCGGAGGATCGGCGTGTCATCGAGCAACATGACAGACCAGTTCGACGCTAGCTATGACGCACCAGAAGACACCGAGACGAATGGGCCGATTCGCATCAAGTCGATTTACATCCATCCTGTCAAGTCATGTGGCTTCATTGAAGTGAACCGGGCTCTTCTGACCAAGACGGGTTTTCTTTACGACAGATGCTTCGCCATTTCTACCGAAGTTGTCGATCCAGACACGAGAGAAATATCATGGAAGTTCATCAGCCAACGTACAAAGCCGAACATGTGCCACATCAGGACAGAAATTTGGCTTCCTCGCGACAATAGCGACGCTAATGATCCGCTAGTCCAGGCGGGTGGATGCGTCGTGCTCGCTTTCCGTGACCCGGATCCTCCCAGCTGGATTCAACGGCTCGAGACTCTGCTTTACACGTGGGACTCCACCGCCGTACCCGAGGTCATGATGATCGCACCACTCCAACCTACACCTTCGGAGACAAGCGAATTCGGAATCAAAATCAAAAAGTTCGGTATTCATGCTCGCCAAGCAAGCGGTCTTGACATGGGAAGCATCCCGTCAGTCGCGGAGGCCCTACCTAAACTGAAGAAATACCTCCAAATCCCGGATAAACGAGGCTTGACACTCATGAGGTGCACCCCTGACACCTTAACCCGATGCGATAGGAACTTGGCGCCCCTCCAACACATCGGCACACCATCTGTTCACGGCTACACCGACCAGCAGCCCGTTAATGTTAACTCCCTTTCCTCGGTGCATGCCGTCTCGGCACTGATGCCGCCGGAGAATCGACCCCTGGATGCTCTTCGCTTCCGCGCAAATATCTGGGTCACTGGAGCGCCGGCATTCGCGGAAGAGTCCTGGAAGCGCTTCCGTATTCTTCCAAAGGCGATCTCTGAGGACAAGAGAGCTGAAGTTGCGCCAAAGCTCTCGGTCGTCTGCCGTACTTCTCGTTGCACGATGCCCAACGTCAACCTCCAGACAGCTACCTTCGACGCAGATAGACCAGCGGCGGAAAAAAAGAAGGGGAAACCACAACCGAGTACGACTTTGATCGATTACCGTACTGTTGAGAATGGTAACCCCGCAGCATTGGGGTACATTGGTATGCACTGCGTTCCTGAGGACCAGGACCTAGAGGAGGCCAAGGAGCAGAGGGCAGGTTTGTATGTCAAAGTAGGTGATGAGATTGAGGTGTTGGAGACTGGTGTCCATCTGTATGGCTCAACCGGCAAAGACTATTAGACTGAGTGGCTCATATCTCTTGTGACTTCTTGCCTATGTCTTCTTGGTGGGTTAACATAGAGAATCAATTGTGCTTTTGCACAAGGGAGTTGATTAGACGTAGTTAGACTTGGAATTTGGCTGATCCTAAAGTTGCAGGAAGTGAATGTTCTAGTAGACGAAATAGACGTATTTATTGCCGTCAACGGCTGAAAGACATTTCCACAGAGGTCTATTAAAATCTCGGCTCGTCAGTCGCAAGACAACTTAATCCCAAGGGTTGATCTAATCACAGAGTAGTGATTACAGCTCTTCCAAACACCTCACCATTAATCAATTGTGAGATGATCTCCGACGTTTGAGAGATGTGGAAGTAGTCGATGGAAGCCCGAATGCGCCCTGCGGCGGCCTCCTTAAGAAGCTCTTCCATCTCTCGCTCCGTTCCCACCATAGCACCTTTGATATTCAGTGCTGACAAAAGAAAGTCAGTGTTTCGTCTCCACTCAGGTAGTCTATTCAGCTTACCTTTCAAAGCGCAAAGGGACACAGGTATGGGAATTTGAAAGTCGTTGTGAGGCAGCCCAACACACACAATCGTTCCCATCGACCTGGCCAGCTTAGGAGCTATCCTGTAGGCGTCCTCAGACTCAGGAACCACGATGACAGCATGCGCCCCCTCTCCCGTCAGTTTCATGACCTCCTTCTCGACATCGTCTCTGGTGTAGTCTATGAAGGCTTCCGCCCCCATGTCCTTGCAGAACTGATCATGACCGCTCCCGTCGACCGCGATCACCCGATACCCCCTCAGCTTCGCAGCGATCTGAACACCCAAGTGCCCCAGGCCACCGGCAGCTCCCTGGATAACGACCCAATCACCAGGAGAGAGGTCGCCTTTCAATTTAGACACCGCGCCCATCATGGTGAGCCCGGCACAGAGCAAGGGCGCCACCTCCGCGTCGTGGAGGCCGTCGGGGATCTCTGTGACATAACGGGCGTCGGCTACGACATATTGCTGGAGCGTCCCGGGCCGGTGCTTTCCGGTGTTCAGTTGCTTCGGGCAGTTATTCCTGTGGCCCCGGAGGCAGACGGAGCAGGAGCCGCATGCCCTGTAGAGCCATTTGACCCCGACCTTTCGGCCGAGCATATCCTCGGAAACGCCAGCGCCCAGCTTGACCACTCTTCCTATGCCTTCATGGCCGACGATCGGATCGTACACGCCCCAGCCTCGGAATGCCCGCGTCTCTGATCCGCTTCGCACCATCGACGACATCGGTCAGCAGCGGTTGCCTCATGTCAGGATCGGGACTGAAAAAAGGGGGGGGTGATTACCAAACGCCAGTAGCACTAATACGGACGAGGATCTCGTGAGGACCAGGTGTTCCGACTGGCATGTTGTTCCGAATCGCAATCGTCGCATTTGGGCCGGGATTCTGAATCACGGCGGCTCTTTGCACTGTGGGCAAGTCATCGTCGTCGGAGTCCATGTTGAAAGTTTTCGCAGTTGTTTTCGTGAAAGCACAAAATGATGTGTCCTTCGATAATGAGCTTAAGTGAAAGTAGCTGATGTATTAGTTTTTGCAAAGGACGTATGTACGTGTTCAGACCAGATGGTGGGACATACCCCGCGCCGGGTACAAGCCCGGCATTGCGTCGGCCGGGAAGTGTGGAGAACTAATACGGAGCTGCCGGATCACACAGCCGAGGTTTCATGGCCGTGATTTCGACAGTGCGCGCCGCAACTTCCGACGACGAATCACGGCTTGCCTTCGAATACTCGGGTCTTCAACCGCAACTGCTTCAACGGAATTTTTATAAGTCCACGACGAAACAGGAAGAAAGTCAAGAAGTAGCAACATGTCGGTTCTTGAGAAAATTAACGCTGCGAAACCGTCTCGTGGAGCTGAACTTTGTATAGATGTTCTGTAACAAGCACGATAACATCATGTCATAGAATATAGAATGGGCTTTGTGAGCCGATTCCAGCGTCCACGAGGCAAAATACAACAAAGAGTCTCTTATGACCAAAACCTACCCTCTCAACTCCGTCGGAGTTTTCTTCTTGCGTTTGGCATGGATATTTCATACAGCCTATCCCTAGCACTGCCATGACGTCTATACAGGTTACGGAACTAATCGTCCCCAGCGCAGAATTTCATTGAAAGACATTGAATCCTTCCCAGGATTCAGATCAATTACATGCAGATAGAACAGCCCGCGCCATCTTTAAGGGCTCCTCGCCCGCACGAAAGAATCCTTCAAAGATTCAACACTGCATATAAAATGTTATCAAAATGAACCAAAGCCGATCGGGACCGGAAAACAGCTGGACCCTCCGACGCCGCCATCTCGAAGGCTTCTCCCGTCAGTGATGCCGCCATCGTGGTAGTAGGATTCTGGGCTAGTGCCGTCATACGCGACTAACCTTCATTCAGTGGTACGAACTATTCCTTCACATCCTCCCATTGGATGAGGCGAAAATCCGGGTAACCCGGTGTCGATTGACGGTGAATCTGTGATCCTTCCACATCCTTCACTTTTGAACCAAACGGAAAATCGATATTAATTGCCAAGAACGCGTGACAAACAAACTTCCTCACACAACCTCACTTCCTCACACTCACACCCCAAACCCCCAAAATGAACCCCCTCGCCCTGGGCCACCACTTCTTCGACGCAGCCGGCGTCCGTCTGAGCTACCTCGTCCGCGGCTCCGCCCCCCGCACCGTCCTCTACCTCACCCCGCGCGGCAACGGCGACTCCTCCGCGCCCCCGGACCCCTCCACTATGACCGCCGCCGCCATGGCCGACGACCTCGACCATCTCCGCGCCCACCTCGGTCTCGACCGCTTCCCGCTCCTCGCGGGCCACTCCCACGGCGGCGCCGTCGCGCTGCGCTACGCCCAGCGCCACCCGCGCCGCGTGGAACGGCTGCTCCTGCTCTCGCCGCAGGTCATGGACGCCGCGCCGGGGCTTTTCAAGGAGATGATGGCGAGGAGGGGGGACGATCCGACGTACATGGCCGCGGCGAAGGTGCTGATGGAGGTCGCGGGCGCGGGGGGCCCGAGGGACGACGCGCATTTTCGGGAGATGCTCGATCGGACGATGGTGTGGTGGTTCGCGGACGCGGCGAAGGCGGACGGGTTGAGGCGGGACATGGCGGGACCTCTTACGAGCGCGAACCCGGCGCGGGCCTACGCGTGGCGGACGAATCGGAATGACGGGCTGGAGGAGAACAAGCTGCCGCATATCCGGGACGCGGGCTTGGTGGAGGCCGAGACGCTGATTGTTCAGGGGGAGGAGGACTCTGTTTGCAGTACCGCCGGAGCACAGGCGGTAGCTGATGGCATCAAGGGCTCCAAAATCGTTGTGTTGCCGGGGCTTGGACACTTTCCTTGGATCGAGGGACCGGATGAGTTTTGGCGAGCAGCGGAAGGTTTTGTCAAATCTGACTCCTGAAGATGTGAGTAGCCCACTTTGAGGGTTGCTCAAAATTGACAGGTGTAGCTTTCGGTCGTATGTGGCAATTTCGGACCCAGAGACTGCTTACGGTCTTACCTTGTAGAGTCTGTTTGTGATGCTGATGCTGCTAAGTATGTGGTATCTCGCATTCGTGACCCGCAGTGATGATGACTACGGTTGAACAGCTGTTGAGCAAGGATGGAGGAGATGATATTGAGGCTCGAATTCAACATCGCTATCTCAGCTTTTCCAGAGAGGTTTCATCACCGCCTTGAATCTTATCTACAAGTGATGGGCCACCGTCGCTTTCGTCGACAAGATGCGCGGGCTGATGGAGCCGCTGTCGCAGGTTACGAGGACGCTAAGGCTGACATATCTGAGGCCGGTGAAGACGAGGTCTGTGGTGGGCGTGACGGTGGTGCTAAACAAGTTGGAGGGCAGGAGTTTTGTGGTAGAAGGGAAGATGAAGTGTGAGGAGGGGACGGTGCTTGCGAGGGCTTTTGCTGGGGTTATTCCGTTTGAAAGGAGAAAGAAGAGGGAGGCAAAACTGTAAATTCTGTGCGGGGGTTCTAAATGAATGTAGTTGAGCAGAATTGTCGGTGTATATAGCTTCTCGATTCTGTACACACATGGTCAAGACAATATCTTGAATTTCGAAACCCGGTTTTAATACAACTAATAACAACCATAAGAAATACGTTGGTTCACCGACTATCCTAGCCGGTTGCGATAGTAGACTTATTATTAGTGTATCAAAATACTTCTCGTTCTACTCTCTATCTATATCATCTTGGATCTTTATGATCATGATCATGATCTTCGTCTTAAACCATCATTCTAACAGTCTGAGAAAAACAGAAAGCAAACCAAGCAAAAGCTTTGGAAATCTAACTTCTATCCCATCATTTCCTCACACCAACCTCCACAAGCACCCACTTCGGCCCCAGCTCCTTCCAAGCCTCATACGTCTCCTCTCCAGAAGCCCAAACAACCCCCATCATCCCCGCCGCATTCGCATCCGCCTTCTCGAACCCGACCCGCCTCCTCGGCACAACCACCATCCAGCGCCGACTCAGAATCACATTGTGCGGCACCGCAATCCCCCTCCCGTCCCCGTCCTCCTCCACGACCTCCTCCCGCCCGGGCACAGCCTTCGTCGCCTCCACCAACATCCTCTTATACTCCCCCGCCAACTCCTTCGCAGCCGGCATCCCGCCCCCTTCAAATCTCTTGATGAGATACCGGTACGGCACCTCCCTCTCCTGGACCCCGTCGTCGGGCCAGAGCGCGAAGGCCGAGGGCGCGGGGATGATCTGCATGTGCTTGTGCAGCCTCGAACACCCGCCGTCCTTGCCGCAATTAAAGATGGCGAGGAAATCCTGCTCTCCCCCGTCGTTGAGACCTTCGAGCACGCCCCTCGCGGCCTCCAGGTCCGCGGCCCCAAGCGCCTCGAACTGCCGCCGGTGGCCGTCCGCCGTCAGGAGGATGAGGTGCGGGCGGTAGACGCAGAACTTGTTGAACATGAGGACGTGGGAGCCGGCGTTGACGAGGTCGATGACGAAGCCCGCGACGGAGATATCGCCGCCGGGGAGACGGCCGTCGGCGTCGAGTTGCAGCGCCGCGCCGCTGGCCGTGGTGATCGTCTTTGGCTGTGGTTGTTGCCGGTCGTCGGGCTGCTCGTCGTCGAGCTCGGCGTTGCCCCACACGGCGAGGGGTTTGGATTTCAGGGCTGAGGTGATGAGGAACTCGAACTGTTCTTTTTGTTAGCCATGGAATATGTGTTATCGTGATTAATGAGAAATGAGGCATGAGTGGAAGAATATGCGCATGTTGGGTCGGGTTATCAAAGGGACGTGAGGGCGGTGTGTTACCTGGAGTGCACCGTCCGTGAGGCGAATCGTCTTCAGGTCCGGGGTGTACAAGACTGTCCCGGCCTCGACGAGTCGGTCAAACTTTTCGAGGACCGAGGCCTCGTCTGTCACCTGTGAGCCCATCTTAGTCGAGAGGCTTGGTGTTGTTGCGTAAATCTGACTCGCATGTAGTCGGCGCGAGGTCGCAGCTGAATGAGACAGGGAGAAGACGCAGCCCGGTTTTCCGGCCGCGCCCGTATGACGACATCAAGCAGCCGCCTCCCTGGCATAAGAACCACCGAAAATGCTTGCCACATCAATAAGCTGCGACATCACGGTGAAGTGACGGCTGTGATGATGATGCTTGCTATTAAGACGAAATATCCACGGGCCATTCAATAACGGCCGTTGTGTTTTGAGGTATTATTACAGTCGCCGCCAGCCGAACTCCTCCACGTGTCCCTGGCCTCATCATGCGTAAGTTGCTCGTACTGCAAACCCAACCACTCGCCCTGTCAATCGCTATATCGCTCGTCCGCCTAAAACATGATGGTTCAAAACGTGCCACCCTTATACTCAATGCGTCGGTGATCGTTCTTAAGCGGGAGGAACGGGAGCAGCGGGGCCGGTGCCGGTGGCGGCGCCCCGTTGGACGGGAGGAGGGAGGAACATGGGGAGATAGCTGACGGCGAGGGCCATGACTACGGCGGGTTAGCTCTTGCACACGAGAGACTGACAATAGGTTTCTGGGAGCCATACCTGACATGCCGACGGAGAAGTATCCTGGGGTCGCGGAGCTCTTCTTGGTCTCCTCGCTCTCGCCGAGCCAGGTCTGGACACTGAAAACTACGGAAGCCCTGCGGTGTACCTCGTCAGCCTATTCTCCTATAATGAATGTCCCACGTAGTGCCACTCTCGCGGGGATGGACGTGAGATGGTGACTGTCGATCGACGGGCTTAGGTATTGGGGAAACACAAGTCGCGTACCATCCGATGAACTTGTTGCGGGTGAGCATAGCAGCCATAGGCAGCGTCGAAGAAAGCGTGGAGGAGAACTCGGCGTTCTCGCCCTTGGCCCTGGGCTCCTGATAGGGGACGACTGCAACGTTCATGGATTAGCCACTGCCATTGTAACTGCCATCACGGTGACCGTCGCGTTTTGGAGGGATTGTGACTTACTCAGGTCCGGCCGGCGCATATCCCGCTTGGAAGCCATTTTGTATGATGTGCTGGGTTCACTGCGCGACGACAAACAACGAGCACAGCTGCTTAGGAGATGGGTACGTCGGATGCTCCACGTGCTGGCTTGCGCGATTGAAGCTTTCCCCAGTTCCACGGTCGCATCTGGATGTTTCTGCCTGGTAAGTTAGGCGGGAAGCAGCTCCAACACCTGGGGAAAGAATCCGGCTGGTGGGTCCCACTCATTCAGCCGACCCGACACGTTTTTCGGATTAACGCACGCCCCGGGGTGAAGATCCGACCGTCCGCGCGAGCCGTCGGGCGGCCCCTCCTGAACCCGCCCCACGAACCGATCTCATCTGACAAGTTGCACCACACTTTTCCCAAGCGCGAAGTCTACTTTTCCCGCGCGCGATGTGAGGGAGGGGATTCTTCCCGATAACGAAAGGGCGAACACTAAGCAGAGACCTTCGTCCAGACCTGAGACCAGATGGGATCGCCAGCCGACCTGTGCGACGGCCAACAGGAGGCTCTATCCCCGCGAGAATCCTGGACGAGCCTTTCCGCCTACCGAATTTCACGAGTACGTCGCGTATTCTCTTCAGCTGGGTGCCTTTTTGCCGCGGCCGCATTCTCAAGCTGGCCCTGTTGGACGAGAAAACCCAAGATACGACGGGAAGCTGGGCAAACCCCCAAATGTCTGATTCTGGAACTCTGGGGGCCGGATTTGTGGGGTCTTTCGGAAGATGCGGCCTGCGGAGGGACCAGCAGCGGAGGAAGAGGAATGGAAGGCTCCTTGGCTCCCCAGGCTGAAATCCCACGTCGGTTGCATCTCTGGCCAGCGGCGTTTTATCCCGAGGCGTGATCGGCTGCGGCGTAAGTTCCCCGGAGGATATTGTTTTGCGACCTGCACCTTACGATGGTCTGCCATCCGGCATGGAAAGTCTCGTCATCTGCGGGCCTCTGCACTCTGCAGCACGAGATAAGAGCCCAGCGCCAGGCAGTCTGCAGGCACAGCAAACCTACAGGTCTCCTCCCCACACGGCCCTGCAGGTCCCCTTGAACCGGTTGGCAGAGAGTTCCCGCCAGAGTGCATCGCCATAGATGCGGTGTGTTTGTTGTATGGTGCGCGTACCATCTGACTGCAGCCGTACAGGCCCAAAAACAGAGTCCACGTCTCGTCTCGTTGATTTCTGCCGTCTAGTTCCTTTTTTTGACTTTCGTCCCTGAAGTCTGCTGCTGTTCCTTACCCCGTGTCGCATAGTTCATTGGATTGCCTGCCAAGAGCATATTACCTCCAAGGTTATAGGCTATCAACCCTGACTGGCGAATAAAAAGAGTATCCAAGTCGGGCAGAGACGTGGATGCCACATGGTGGGACGAAAGCCAAAGAAAGGCCTCCAGCTGTCACCGTGTCAATTGTCGACTCTGTTTGACCTGACACGAGCTACCACGACCCAAGTCGAGTTGGAGCAAACCGGAGCACGTCGTCAACGTGTTGGTGCCTCAAGTGGTGAAGGGTCACACGAGGTCGACGGTGTCAGCTGAAGGGCCTCCCGGTGGCAATGGCGTATTCGGCCGCGCCGCAGAAAGTCTCGGTGACACCCCATTGGCGGCGGATCGCATGCAGTATGATGGCAGATTGCGTGACGCCTCGGCGGCGATTCAGCCATCGAGACAGAGACAGGGCACACACACACACACACACAAATACACACGACGCCGCGGTGTCACGACGGCCCGGTTCCTGGTCCGGTGTCTGGCCGACGGTGCGGGCCAGGAATGATTGGTCCGCCAGCAGAGAGTTTGGGGAAGACTGAACTTCCCGAGGAGGGGAAAGGGAGAAGTTGGGATAGCGACAGGGATGATGGCGATATACTAAGGGTAATATAGCGACGTCCGTATTGGTTGGAGACTCTGGGGATCTTGATTCTCTGGACGAAACGCGGGAAACCGAAAGGCCGGCTTCTGTCTGGCCGGGACGGTTGTGCCGTCTACGTTTAATATTGTGCAGATGGTGGTTGACGGCGGTCAGATGTTTTCGTCTGCTTGTTGGGCGATGGTGTTTGGGGGCACCAAAACAATCGGGGGTCGTAACTAATCAGGTAGGCAAATCGGAAGCGACAAACAGAGACAGACGAAGCTCGAAGCGAAGGTGTCGATTGAGGTGATGATGCGTCGTTGGAGCAGATGGTTGGTCTGTGGCGCTTGAGCAAGAGTCCGAAAGGGGAAGCTTGAAGTCAGGCCTCTCAGGCCTAGGCTCTTTGCTCGGTTCTCTAGTGGCTTTCCCCTCTCAGCATGATCTGTCCAACAAGTGATGGTTTCCATTCCAGCGGTACGGTTTGCCGAGAGGCTTTTTGGCTTTGAGAACGGGGTCCGGGGTCTTGGGGGGTTCCTGGCTGCATCTTGGTTGACTAAGAACAGGATCCGCCCATGTCAGCAGCTTCCCGATTTCGATGTTGATGAATCGCTATCAACAACAAATTCTCAACTTCCTCCTTCGTGAGGAGACAGATAAGGTGACATATGTGACGACGATCGAGATAGTGTTGTGTTCGACTTGCACATCGTTGCCCCAGAAGTGAGACATGTTGTCTCGAGGCCGGACTTGCTCGGAACTGGCACAATGACTTGGACAAGCAGGGAAAATCGCGAAGAGAAAAGTCAGGGACCAGCAGAATGATGATGGGGCCATGGGCGAATCAGCTGTACGACATTGGGCGGACGAGCCAATAGCACCGGCGATAAAGGCAAAACCCACGGCGGAATGAGTGACCAGAAAGAAGGAAAGCGACCTTGCCCACCGGGGCTTGGCGTGCCTTGGCCTGCTGGTCCTGGTCCTGGTCGTGATGCCCCCGGTGGATGCTCACAATTGTAGCGAGGTTCCGATTGCCAGTTACAGAGGGAGCCCTGTTTGAATTTCTTCCAACCACCGACTTGATTCTCTGCCTCTATCTGGCGATTCCGAGTTATTCAGCATGACTGCCGATTGAGAGATACAGACACGTAGACTCTACAAACTCGAGGCAACTCCGGTTCAGCAATACGAAGGGACTACTCATCGTCCACTTGCTTACCCTACCCTTACCGTAAATTACTCCGAGGCGGATGTTGGAAAGCAAGTCCGTGACCTCGGAATGTTCCCCAAGGCCCAAGTCCAAAACAACCGACTTCGTCCCGCTGGAACCGCAGATCGCATCGGCGGTGCCGTCCCACAGTGACTTGGGTAGCCTCTAAAGACTGATGAGGAGGTATCTGTCCGCGGACACCACCATCATTACTATGTGCAGTCACCGTTCCAAGCACGGCACCACCATCCATTTCCTCCGTATCGCATTCCATTTCCCATCTCCCTCACCCCGAAAACCCTGGATTCGGACTTTATTTGTGCTGGGCTGAGCTGAGTTGAGCCAAGCTACTACCTACAGTGCCCTTCCTGGTTCTGGTCGTATTCTGTCTGATAACACTCGGCAACTGGCTCGTCCAATTCTTACACCCTCACTCGCCCGTAATTATCTCTCCGGCATCTTTTCTCACTGACATAATATCTCCGTCTCCTCATCTCACATCATCACCTCTCAAATCGCCACGCGACGTTGACCGCAACAAGATTTCGAGCGGGCCGTCGCGAGTCATCTGACAAACCCGAACCTGGCACCCGCGGGAACCTTCGGAGATACTGCGCATTCGGCCTCAGTTTGTCCACCCAAGTTGCTCAGTCAAGGGAGTTTTGCATCATTCGGAGGCTGGAGAATACTGAGAAAGTGGAGGTCCACTGGTGGAACTGAGTTGGAACGCCGTTCGTTCTTGTTCCCCGACCCGAACTCCCGTATCCGTTCAGACCTGTACGAATACTATTACCGCACCTTCGGGCACGCACACCACACGCTCAACCTCACGCTCCCGCTCAGGGCCATCCATTTGTACTTACGTACAGGATACTGCACGCACCTAATCCGCACCCGCACCCGCACTGCGCCGCTGCTGCCCTGCACAGATAGCGCGGCTGACGCCGTCAGATCCCCGACATCAATCCATCGTCCGAGATCCCCCCTTCCCTTTCCAACGACAGTTCGACAACGACAACACCCATCTTGCACTCCCATCACCACGATCTTGCAAGTCGTCGCCCGTCCCCCCACCCTCGTAGACACATCATCTTTCATCCTCTTCCAACATCAGCAATGTCGCCTCAGACCATCCGCCTGCGATGACCTCCCGGACCCCAATGGGCGTCCAGCCGCGACCGCCCCAGCAGCGAACTCTGAGCAGCTCCGGCCTGTCGGTCCAACGGCCAACCCATCAACGCACCCTGTCGGCACAATACCTACCACAGTCGCCCGTTCGTAAGGAGAACCTGATCGACCTGACCTCCGAAACCAACGATGCCGCCCTTGCTCAGAACAGATATGGCACCTTGCCGCGGAGGGGAGGCTCTCGCCTCAAGCTCGAGCTGTCCAACGACGCCATGCTTCCTCACCACCCCGTTGCCGACTCACCAAGCACTCTTACCCCACGCCTCATGCCCAAGAACGAATCCTCCATCCTGACCGACATGAGCTCGCCTGCCTCCGCGAAAGGCCACCCCATCGATGCAGACAACCCCCCGATGCCTATGCCGAAACGTCGACCGCGATTCGTCGTACCCGCCCCCATCAAAGACTCACCTGCACCCGTTGTCGCAATCAAAAAAGATGGCCGCCCGAAGCCTTACCACCTCGAGACTCCTGCTGCCGCTCCTCGATACGCGCCCTTTGGCAAGCCGAGGACCGACGCGACCGCGAAACAAGGCTTTGGCGCCTCGAGCGGAGGCGCGCGCGAGTCTCAGGACATGGGCCACGCCGACTTCTTTCCCTGGACCGGCAACCACCCCGAGGATCAATGGTCCGAGACCATCATCAAGAATGGCTACTTCGACAAACCACCTGCGACCACCACCGAGACCTCGTCTGCCAAGGCGGCTCTGTTCCCTGCCTTGAAGCATAAGAGTGGGCTGAACTTGCTCTCCAACATCTTCGTCGGCGTCTTGAACCAGAGGAAACTGAACGGCCAAATCTCGTCGCCCTCAACCTTCAAGCCACCGCCGCGTGTCACCCTGACCGACACGAAGCGAGAAATGTGGCTGAGGGACTTGGCGAACCCATCCATATCGTTGCGCCGCCTTAGCCGAACCATTCCTCACGGCATCAGGGGTAGGGTACTACTGGATCACTGCCTCAACAAAAATGTACCGACCGAGAGAGCTGTTTGGCTGGTCAAGTGTGTCGGCGCCAACGAGATTAGAGCTTTCAAGAGAAAAGGAAATGGACCAGGCCCCTTCGTTATGGGCGGCGAGGCCAAGTGGCTGCGAGAATGGACGGTGGTTGTTGGACAGTTCGTCGAGGGGGTTTCTACATCCTTTGGCGACAATGACTGGAAAGCCAAGGTCCAATATGCGTAAGTATTCCCGCCACTGCGAGCGTCAGCACATCAGAACTAACCGTGTTGCAGTATCCGCTTAGCGACACATCTATATGCCGAACAACTGATCGACCGCGACCACTATATGGATTGGCTTGTACTCGGTTTGGAAAACTCAACACAGGCAAAGCTACCCATGTGGATTTTGATTACCCAGATATACTGGAAAGACCTCCTTCGACTGAGGAAATACGGCCGAAGACTCGTGAACGCGCTTCTCGGCCACCTCAATACGGTAAGTGACATGCCTTCCGGCTTTGCGACACCTCTGATAGATGTTTGCAGATACACAACGACCCCGATCGGGACATCCTCGCCCAGTTATCCACGAGGTTGACCACACTACTTATCCCCCTTCTATCGTCATATCCCGACAACTTCATGGCACCTGCAACTTGGTTCAAGTTCAGGGATGCCCTACTCTCCTCTATCCCGATCGACAACGAGTTCGCACAGAATGCGTTCAAATCGATCAACGCGAGAAACGAGCGGATGGTGGCATCGGCAAACAACTCTCAACCGGCCAACCGCCAAATACTCGTCAAGCATCTTGACACAACATTTCAGACATTATACAGCCCCGAGTTGGCCACGCAATGTTGGGCCGTTAGCGAGGACAAATGCATGGTTGTGCGCACCTTGCTGGAATGGTGCACTTCACCTCACCGACCTGGAGCGTCAAGGGTCTACATAACCCATGCTTTACTTCGGGCTTGGATTCCGACCGGGATAGATGTTACAATGGCCATTCTCGAATTTCTTAGTAGCAATCCGCCAACGGAAGCGAACGCGAAGAAGACATTCCACAGACTGGTATCAGAAATTGTGCGCAGTGGAGATTTCCAGTTTCAGGGATACATTTTCTGGCTTATTGCGAGGGGCGGCCTTCGGAAGCCTTCCGACACCGACGCTGAAGGTCCATGTGCGACGAGGCTACTCGTAGATCTTCCGCTCCACGCCCTTAACCCGCCATCCCAGGCTACAAGAGCCAGCTTACTCCGTCGAGCATCGTACGACGTTAGTGACGAGGCGGAGGACATCAATACGGCTCTGAAGTGCATTCAACATGCATTGGGGCTTCCTCTCCCGCCTGGAGACCCGATTCTCCAGCGAAAACCCGTGCCCCTGGGCAAGCTGTGCCGGCTGATTTCCAACAGTAGCCGGGCGCTTCAGACCGAGGTCGGGGCCCGACTACTACAGATCTTTACGACAGAGATCGTTATGACGAAGAACGGCCCGCAGGTGTCTGCCCCGATGTTCAACTTTGCGCGCGCCATCCTCGAGGCCGCCTCGGATTTCTCGGTCCTTGCCGAGATCGTCAAAGTAGTCGTACGCGTGTCAAACCCTGAGATTCTCGCATCTTGCGCGGACACAGTCAACGTCCATCTGCCGATCTTCGCTGCTTTGGGGGTGGGCAAGGAGCTGTTTGATGTGTTGATGGAGAGATTGAAGGTTGTGGGGGAAGAACAGGGCGTGGCTGTCCGGCCGCTGCTGGCTTCTTTGGCTAATCTCGCGGCTCGACTACCCGGTTTGACGAACACAGCAGCTCACTTGCGTAAGGAGTTACACCAGTGTGATCGCAATACCGCCATCGACGCTTGTTCGCCTATATCCGACAACATGGCTGCGCAGCTTCAGGATGCGGAGGGCGAACTGCACGAAGAAATCGAGAAACTGTTGACCAGCGGGACGAGTGTAGACCGACCGACGATGGATCGTCTTTTTCACACTGTTGTAAGCCGTCTCGAAGCTTCATGGTCAAACTCGCCAGAACGACAGCGGGCCTACAGTGCGCTTCTCGGAAGGCTGCGCATCTATGACACGCAGCATTTCGACTTGCGCATGACTGATTGGGTTCACCACGTCAGCGCGCTCAAGGCACGTCCTGGGTTGGCAGAGATCTACCCTCTCCTAATCAGCATGGGTTGCTTGACCTTGCCTATCCTCTTGACCACGACGAATGTCGAAACCAGCGCTGTTGCCCGCAATGCCTCAGCGCCAACCAACAGCACGACAACGTACATGCAGGAGGTCCTTCACTTGACTACGATGCCTTTACCACCGAAGACAGCGTTGACTCCCGAGGAGACGTACCGGTTCTACATCCAACAACGAATCGCCCCACGCCATAACCACAAGGAGATGGTGGTCCTCGTCAGAAATGCCTTGGTCGAATACTCGCGATTACAGAACCAGTCTGATTTGGCACTGCCGCTGACAAATCCGAACTTCAGAGACATGATGTTCGAGTTGATGAGGTTACTCGTCCTGCTCGACGCTCCCTCCGTGGTCCAGGTGTTGGGTTCGAAGACACAGGAACCGGCCTTGAGCGGATTATTCGCACAAATCACTACGAAGCTCCTGATGCCTGGAGCCGACGACAACGCGCCTCTCACGTTCGAAACGGTTCTGGAGTTGGCCAATGAGTTCACGCTCCCCTTCTGCCAGCTGAAGCTCTCTGTCGGCCTGACTGCAGACACGACGAGTAGTCCGGGAGGAGGAGAGCAGGCGATGTCACAGTTCGACATGTTCTCTAGAGCCATGGACCGGGCTGTCTCTGCGAATAACGTCATGTGGACAAGCATGCTGCCATATCTCAACGAGGAGGTTACGGAGCACCTTAAGAGGCAGGCTCATCTGCGGTTCCTCGGCCTATTCCCATCGCAGAAGAACCCGTCATCGTCGGACCCACTTTCACAGGACAGCATTCAGCTGGCAGGAAGCCTACTCTCTGTCGTTGAGGCTATTGTCCGTGGCCGCCCGACACCGAGAACCTCACAGCTCACTTCCGGCATGGTGGAGAAGCTGACAGAATTGTGGGAAATTCTTGCAGCCGGTGGTGACGACAAGAAGGAGCTTCGCGCTTCGATTCTAAGACACTGGCTCCCCGCGCTTTTGAGGTTCATCACGCTTCACACCAACGCTAACGAAGCGGTTGCCGTTCCCTCTCAGGGTGCTAACAACATGAAACCCCCTACTAGTGCCGTCGCATTCGAGCTTCGCGGGCGCATTCTTGTAGTTCTATCTGCTCTTACTCTCGAGCTTGACAGTCTAGCCCTTGACCCAACCGGACGGCAATTGGGCGAACAGGTGTTTGACCTGGCAGTTCTGCTGGTCGACTGTTTGCCGGAAGACACACGCCTGCAGTGCGTACGCGTCTTGCTTCAAAACGGCACCGCGCAGAACCCGGCGTCCTCCGACGCTCGTCTTCGATACCTGTTTAGCTACATGCCCGCGGCAACGGAACAGTTCATACTCGCCCACCGCCAGCAGCCTGCTTCACAGCAGGCCAGCCAAACAAGATTAAAGGTTCCCATCTCGTTTCAGGGAACCGACAAATACACGCCCTTCGTCCTCCGCAAGTGGGAGATGCTTAGCGAGCCAACCCCCAACATTGGGGAGAACGACACGGCGTTGAGCCTCACATTGTTTGAGGCCATAAAGATTCAGTAAAACAAGATTGGGAGGACAGGAAACACATCACACACACATATACATACATACATCATCATTGCATCGTCTATTCTTCTTTGTTTCGGGGAGGATTTTCCAATTTATCGATAGATACCATCCATTACTGGGGGTCAGTTGGCGGCTAGAACCACGGGGTGGGCGGGAATATGAAAGACCTCTTTTTGATACCAGGATGGCAAAAACGGCCGGCGTCGGCTGGCTTGGATGAGGCGGTTTCGGGGGAATCATTTGTACTAGTGATGCAGGCGGGCATGAGTTGCTTTTCCGTTACTTTCTTTTTTAACGACATCAATCAACATCCATATTCATGACATTTCCCCGGTCTATGCTCAGAACTTGAAATTAACTAGTGCCAACAGAAATCTTTGTAATGTGATATTGACTTCTATCGCACAATGCGTCTGCAACGGCCGGTCTCTAGTAATCTGATGGAAGATGTCTAGGTGAAGGGACTCTTCTAAGAAGAGCTCAGGTGCTCTGTCGAGCTTGCCTTCATCTTGGACTGACGTAGCATTTGACGATGGCTTCTGTCAACAGATGTGAGATGTTGCCGCACCAAGTACCTTAGTATGGTAAGACTTACGCATAACTTTCTTGTCGATGAAGATCTGCACCCGGAAGCTTGCAAACTCCAGTACCTCGACAGGAGCAAATGGATGCATACACGAACTAGAGCGGTTTTCGCTGCACGCAGCGGAACTGTCAAGGCTTACCTCCCCCTGCGCTGTACTTCGCCAAAGGTTTAGGTGAAAAGGACATTCGTACGAAAGGTAGTACTTGCATCAACACTCAGCCTGATTTGGGGGGGTCTGTAAGACAATGTTACACCGCTGCTTCCTTCGCCCAAGGCTGACATGCTGCTTGAAATGCATGGCACTGCTGTGGAATGTCTCTGCCCCCTCATTTGACCTTAATCTTGCTTTTTTGGCGCGGAAGAGACCGATCATCCATGAGGCTGCACGAAACAATGGTTCTCATTCTGTCCTAAGCCTCTCGCCCCGCCCTGGACCAAAACCTGTCACTACTTCACGAGATCAACCCTTTGGATCATCATGTCCATCCAGAAAGCCGTAGCAAGTGCTTTCGCGGTAACCCAGGAGACAAGCATTTCTCTCGCAAACTTAAACTTCGACTTCTCCCTAGTCAGAGTGGATGCTCCTCCGTCATTCAAGGGGTTGGGAAACGAGCTTACTTCCTCGAGGAAGAAGGCAGCCGAAGAGGGGACGCCGCATGTTACGGCCCGGAAACTAGGCGCTCTCTTCCTGGATCTGCTCCCTTCCACGCCTGCTCTCATCCAGGCGTACGGACAACGGGTCACGCAGATTGCTTCTCGTCGCGATGTCAACCCGAAATCCGCAAAGGTACACGGCCTCTTTGCCGAACACGTCGGCATTGACGGCACCAGCATCTGGGCCGCCGCGACATCCGGCCCGGAAGCCATCGCCGTTCACCTCCTCACCTGTCTCCTGGCCCGCATCTGGACCGCTCCAGAGGCGATCTCGATCTGGGTTGAGTTGGTCGCCCACAGGAAGCGGGATCTCGTGGCCGTCAAGGAGACCGGAACGATCCATCTGCGATCCATCGAGGCTTCGCGGATATCAATATCCCGCGAACAGTTGGCTGAATGGGACGCCAGTGCCAGAGCATGGCTGCGCGCGGCCGACGAGGCCATGGGCGTCAAGCAAAAACAGCTCATGTTAATCCTCAACAATGTCAATCTGCCGGTCAACAAGAAGCCGTCTGTCTACTCCAGCGTGATAGACGCCTGGACGACATCGTTGGTCGTCGTCGACAAGTTGGTGCAAGGCATACCGCAGTCGGTTAAAGACGGTAGCGTTGGCCTGGGTCTCGCCTCGTGGCACATTTACCCAGACATGCTAGTGCTCGGCGACTCGCAAAAAGAAATCTCACAAAAGGACGACGTTGTCGCACCAGGCGCTCTTCTCACCATCGGTCTGCATCTCAGAGGGCAAGAGCAAACAGGCGTTCACTGGTCCCTGCCGCTTTCTCATCTACGTTACTACGGGCGCCCTATCGTCGCCAACAGATCTCTCGAGGACCAGGCAAACCGCCTCACCCTCGACCAGCTGATCCTCGTGGCTCTCGGATCTATCACCAAGAACTGGGAGCTTAGCCATGAAGAGATCGCACGGGGCTTTCGGGGTCTATGGGACTTCGTGGCCGATGAAGCCCCGTCTTTCTGCGCCCCGGGGACCACTCACTGGCTTGGGACGTTCGCCAAAGCTACAGACTTGCTTCTGGAGTCAGACAAGCTGACGATGGAGTCGGCGCTCCAGCTAATGAGATTTGCGGAAAGACGAGCCTCTCATTTTGCCATACCTTACTCGTCGCACTACCTCGTTCCATCCATGTTCGGGCTCCTCAAATACAAAACGTGTTTTGATCTGCTTACTCCCCAGGGTAAGGTCGAATCATTGAGGCAACGGGCTCAAAGGCTGAGCTCCAAAGATGGCGAAATTTACATCATTCGATACCGTGATGCAGACTCTTCCCCCTGGGAATACACAACTGTACTTCCAATCCACAGACTCTCAACCAAAAGAAAAGCGGGGGGAAGCTCTCAGAACGCATCCGGACACATAAGGTGGGTTAGGAACATGAACCAAGCTCATGTTTCAGTCTTTGAAGAATTGGGGGAGGAAGTTGTTGACATCGAATCGGCGGATGTTTCCATCCAGGAGGATCCAAGCGAAGTTACGACGCGTGTCATAAGTTGGACAGAATCGACAGAAGACCTGCGCCTGTTCTCGAGCATCAGCCACGAGCGAAACGTTTTCAGCGCTTTCACGGTGGGCGAGGCCGACCACATCAAGAGGAACTTCATCTTCTTGTTCGGTAACTCGGCTGCTGCCTTATTCTACTCGAGGCAGCAGTCTCAGGACTCGACCGCCAGTCTTTCCTCGTTCAAAGACGCAGCTTTTACTCTCCCTGGAGCCAGCGTTCTGTATTCCTCGACAGAAGATTCCCAAAACTCACCACCCTCCTCAAACGCCTTCGAAGATCTCGTCCACGAGAATCCAGACCTCAACCTTCATCATCTGACCGGGCAACTAGATCTGGACGATCTCGCTACAGCGTTTAGCAGCAAGTGGTTTGACAAGCAAGCACTGCTGAGTTATTTGCACGACTTCCTTTCCGACAAGAGTCGAGATGTCGTCAGGACTTCATTCCGTGCGCTGGCTACTGTTTCCAACATTTACAAGTTGCTGCCCGACGCCACTACGCGGTTCAGGTGCGGCCGAATCACTCGCCGCTCTAGGTTGCGCAACTTGAGGTGAGCAGGATGAGCGGGGTGAGTTAGGCATCTGTATGTACTATATCTTATGATATCAGATCTCTATTAGTAGTGTTCCGTATTCAGGGGAACGCTACTTATATTTTAAGGCGCGTTAAGCGCGGCAGCCAGGACAGCCCTGTAAGGCCTCGGCGGCCAGCACAAGACTGACTGATTGATGGATTGATTCCTACTCGGTTCTAGCCGCTTTAGTCAGCAGCTATGCCCGGAAAGCTGGATTTGGCAATCTACCTAGGCGTCGACAATCAACAACCTGAGACGCCCCACTTGTTGTGTCGTTGGGACTAGGGCTAGCTGTCTCCAAGCTCCTGCCTGCTCCATAAGGAGTACGGCAACAAGACACACAAGCCACAACAAGCCAGAAGCAGACCCACATAAAATTCAGCAGAATCCAATGGAAGCCTAGGCCACAGCTACTCCATACAGCCATAACCATCCTCCGCCCGCTACCCCTGGCACAGGTCTCTGACCCATCTAGTCTTTATGCCAGCCAATCAAATCACTGGACTCATCTGCCAAAGGAGTCTCGAATAAACTGAGCCCAAGCACGTGACTTCGGGTTAGCCCAGGCCACTCGCTTGGAATCCACCTGGTGACTAATGATAGGTTGAACCAGTGTGAAAGCTCAGCCTTTCACAGTCTGTCAACCTTTCCCTATCACAACAACACAGCAGACTTGGCTGGGTGAATTGGGTGCGCATGAAGAAGACCACCGTCTTTGAGCATATGTATAGGCATGAGCATACCTTTCCATCCTGCTTTTATTTGGGTTCTGACAATTTTACAGTCTGTGAACCAAGCCCTCCTTTCATCCAAACAAACCGACTGCCACTCGTGGGACCCAAGACCCGAAATCAAAGCCTCTGAGCCTGCACCAGCGCTATGAACTCACCCTTGCGCCCCATGACCAGCTCGTCACATGACCAACTTCATCACAACAATCATTCCAACTTTGGACCCTTATGTCAGCATTCTAGCGACACGATCATCCCAAAAACTGCCCAAGCAGAGAACATCCTTCATGTGGAAAAGGAGAAGGGCCTAGCCCTGCTCCTCCAAGCTGCAGAATGCGTCAGCTCTGGTTGCCATTTCAACAAGCATAGCTCAGATCCTTGCTGTCTCCTTGGCTCTTCCCTTGATGGAACGTCTTTCTTCTTTTTATCGCCAGATGCCTTTAATCGCCTCCGATTCAGCTTTCACCCAACTCTCGAGTCATCTAAACTCGCCCTCGACTACTACCCCGACGAGCGCTTGGCCTCTCTTTTCATGGAAACCATTCTCCATAACACCTCCAAGGCCAGGTTACAGCACCTCATCACAAGAAACGCCCAGCCCCACGTCCCAAAACTGAAGTTTATCGATGCCGATGTCGAGACTAAGGGCGTGGACGGCACCAACGGAACTCTCAAGACGGATGGCGGCTTTTCTTCGCTTGAAACCGACGTCCGTCCTCGCCTTGTGCTTGAAGTCGGATACTCCCAACCTCGTGACGCCCTCAACAAAAAGTGCGAAGAATACATTGTGGCTTCTGGACGTGTGCGCACCTGCATCGCAGTCAAAGTTCCCTACTACAATCAAGACTATGAGAAGATTTCCCACAATCTACAGCAATGTTTCGTTAGCCTCTAGGTGCTGGCAGATGACGATGCTGTTTGTGTGACGGACTGGACCCCTATTGCGGATGCCGACGTCTGCTTGGACCTCTGGCCTTCCGACTTTGGCCCGGCAAGCTCGGCGGAGGCTGAACAGTACGTTATCTGGTCTTTTCCCATGATCTCTCTCACGCGAATGCCATGACTGATGATGGTACGCGCGCAGATCTCTCTCCTTCGCTCGCCCTCCGAGATCACACTCGGGCGACGCTTCACGCCGTGCCCCTGCCCCGATCCGCATTCCCTTTGCCGACATCGCGACCTGCCTACGTCAATCGATTCGAGACAGCATTCAAGATCGGGACTCCAAGTCTCCGGTGAACCTACGGGCCAAGAAGCGAAAGCTCAACAACGAGAACGAGGACGCGCGCCGTAGCAGCCGTGTCAAGAAGAAGCTCGAATTCCACTTGTAGCGACATGGGCGCCGACCGAGTACGATGGGAGACTTGAGCCAAAGATGGACGGACGTGGCCTGTACCATCCATACGAGCGAACGAGCCGCACAGGGGGGCTGTAAAGGCGAGGGGATGGCTTTGCGGATTGCAATGATTGTACTTGTAATGATACTACGAGCTATACTGTAATGATAATGATAATGGTTGCGGACGGTTTTGTTTTACCAGGCTTTCCTACCTCTGAATATGTGCCATCTCGTGGGCGACTAGGTCAGCAACGACTGGTGACACCCTAATCAGGTTCCTAAGTTAGCCCGCAGCATATTCTGGTGAGCCTGGAGTCTCTTGAGGAACCCATCCGCTGAATTCAAGGCTGGTATTAGTTGTGAGGAAGATGGTTATTACTAGCGGCTATTGATTTTGTACTTATATTAATATAAACTTACGTCAAAGAACTTGATGACGCTGTTGACGAATTGCTTGGAGCGCTTAAGTTGGTCGCGATCTATTACGATTGAGGTCTGAGGTCTAAATTCACTGCGGCTTTCCATTGAAGCCTAATGCTCGCTCAGATCTATCTCTAGCGTACAGCCACGATGTGGGTGTCAGCGCCTAGTGGCCAATCCTAGGATTGAGAGCAGGAAGCGATTTGCTGTTCCTAGGATTAGGGGTGGGAAAGTGTTACTGATCCTGGGATTTAAGACGGAAGCGCTCTAAAATTCTCAGGATTGAGAGGGCACTAATAGTGGGCTAGTCATTATTCCTAGGATTAGGGGGAAACTATAGTTACTAATCCCAGGAATTAGGGTAGAGGTAGCTTATAGTTCCTAGGATTAGGGGATATTTAATAGGGAATAGCTTACTAATCAGAGGATTTAAGGTAGGAGCAGTTTACTATTCCTAGGATTAGGGGGGATTAGTAACATTTTACTAGCGTATAAAAGCGGCTACTTTTGGGTGAGCAGCTGGGTGAGGCGATTGCGCCTAAACCACATAGTGCGCTGCCACGATAGCCCTAGGCGTCATTTCAACCCCGCTTCAGAAGATGCCTTGGATACCTACACTGAACAAGGCCGGGGCTCTATTTTCGGCCTTCCCTGCCGGCTGGGCGACAACTTTCTCTTGCATTGTCCAGTTGGAATCGGGGTCTCTGGATGTGTCCCCAGACGCATGCAAAAAGGTCATGGCACTCTCCGTTGGTGATTCGCTTTACGTCGCAGTACCACTGCTCTGCGACCCGATCGAGGAACCCAGCCCGTACGAAGTACGTCGGATCCGAGGAAACGTTGGGACTCCCGGCATCGCGATGCTGATCCCGCCCGCCCAACTCGAACCGCCCGAATACGACATGAACACGTGGAACATCATCAATCACGAGCCCTACGACGGACGCCAGGAGGATTCCTTCCAGGCCACATCATTGCATATGTCCTTTACGGGGTTCACCCTCCCCGTCGATCTCCGAACGCGGGGCTTGAGGGACACGGAGTTGTACTACATGGAAACCCGCGTGACGGTGCATGATCACGGAGCAGAGATTTCGGACCTCGATATACTGGGAAGTCTTGAGAATAAGAACTTCAGACGCATACCTGCATGTCAGCATGATAAGTCCTTCAGTAGGGGCCCGAACAAGGCAGTCGCGCACAACTCGATGCTGACCATGGTCGATAACTGGTTCGAGTTACTCGACGATCCCGAGAGAGCGGCCGTGGCGCGTTCGAGTGGTAATTGGCTGGGCCGGCTTTCCCTCGCGGTCGTTGGTCTTCAGCTGGGATATCACGTCATCATTGTACCGCACGATTTCTGCTGGCCGTGTATACAGGACTACTGGAAATACGTCAGGTTCCGGAACTCGACCGTTTCCTTCGATACGGTCCACGTACAAAGCCTGGCATCCCGGGGTCCGACGAAGAATGTTCCCAACGCTCGATGGGCCGCCTTCAATGACGTCGATCCGCTTGCCGTCTCTGAGAAAGAAGCCCTGAAAGAGTCCAGTGGCGACGACGCTGCTTCGGTAGACGCAATCAATCCTTATATAAGAGATTTATATGCTCCCCTTGAGACTCCAAGCGAGGAATCTCAACCCATCGGCGAGACGCTCAGAATGATGCAGGATCGAGCGCAGTCGGCAGAGACCAAGGCCCAGAAATCGACGGATACTTCGGACGACAGTGAACAAATGTTAAAGGAGATGGGCGAGGGTCGGGTCATCATAATCTGCTAAAGAGGCTTTGGAAACAGTTTGCAGGCGGGGCATATTTACCAGTTTCGGGGGTACGTGACATCCTAGCAGAAGCATTTCATGAATTTTGATCTCTGTCAATATCATCATGGAGATCTCCAAAACCGGCTCCCAGTACATGATGAGTACTCTCCCAAGGTTTGCGATGTGCTTTTCCACGGACTTATCACAGCGACCATCCTTCCAGTACATCCTCCTCGCGCAGGTCGTCGACTTCAGGCACCTCTCTCTCACGATACCGACAATACCACGCCAACAACTCGGGAATCGTATCAAAGACCTCACTGTCATCCAGCCCCATGGCCATATACCTCCAGCCCCACGGCCTCGACTCGTGCCTCTCACATTCCCTCCGACAGTAGACAATGTAAAAGAAACACTCGACGCCGGCGCCCGGCTCCCACCCAGCAGCACAATCCCAACAAGCATCAATACTACACGTAAGCTCCTCAGGCGTCTTGACCGTCGCGGCGTCATAATACGTCCCGGTCCAAAACATCGCCTGGTACATCGACTTCCTTTCGCCTATCCCGGGCCCGGTCAACGCATGCACGTGCTCCGCGAGAATCCGGAGCTCCGGGGGCACCGTGATAGTATCCCGAAACTCCGCCGTGCACTTCTCCTTGAGCCCCCGTTCCAGGCTCGAAAAGTACGACTCGCGCTGCGCGACGGCGCCTTCGTCGGTGCTCGGGGCGGGTCCGCCGCAGCCGTCGAGGTCGCTCAGAGAAGCCAGTATGTCGTAGTGCGTGAGCACGTCTTCTGGCACCGAGACGTATTCTCTGAGTTCAGAGCTGAAGATGCCGTCGAAGGCGGCGACTTTTTGCTCGGCGGGGTCTACGTCTCCCCAGTTCTCCGGGTCCAGCACGGCGTTGACGACGATTTTGACTGGTGGTTCGTGTCAGAGAGGAGAGGTGGTGGGATGGGAGAGTTTGACGAACCGTATACTTCGATGACGCGGCGGTTGTGTCCTGCTATGTGTGAACGGTAGGCCTCGACGGCAGTTTTGATCTCGTCTGGCGTCGAGTACATGTTGACGGTCTGTTGAGTGGTTGCGGATGCGCCTGAGAAATTGACAAGGGGGGAAGCTGGTGTTTAAGTACTTTGGTGAGTGAGAGTTGCAACGAACCAACAGAATTGAGTCTGTCTCGTTCGAGTTAGTCCAGTCGTTGCTGCCTGGCAAACTCCACTCCTGATCACAACCATCCTTGTATGCCGAATGTGTTTGGCGGCGCAAGAGTGCAACGTTCGTGATAACAGAACGTTTGATCGTAAACACATATTTATGCTGTATAAGATCCGACAACTGAAACTTCTACTGACACGCCTCACATCGAACGCGAAGCAATTAGGTGATCTTACCTTTAGATTATAGATGTTTGAGCCGTCATAGAGATCACGCAGTATGCTGATGATCTAGAAAGCATGATTGAAGAAGATTCTTCTCTTAGTAAGTCATTTAATTCACGAACCTCTTATTCAAGTATCCAGGCAAGAATGGGCGTATCGGGCAGCAAAAAGAGATGTGTGGACAATCTATGAATCGAACATAGGACCTACCCCATGCGAAGGGGTCGTTATACCACTAAACCAATCGCCCATCTGTTGGAAAGAGAGGCACATACAGCATTAACATTCCAAAGGATGTGCCGGAAACAGGTTCGGAAGGGGTTTCGACCTGCCCAGTCGGGTGTTGAGAAGTAAGACGTGGCGTCGTCGGGAGACACAACACCAAAATAGATGAGGATGCGGAGCAAAAAGAAGCATCTGGACAATCTAGGAATCGAACCTAGGACCTACCCCATGCGAAGGGGTCGTCATACCACTAAACCAATCGCCCATTTCTTGTTGGAAGGGAATGGCAGCAATACAATAATATCGGGATGACCGTGAGGTATTTGAGGCGGCGTGGGTGGCCCAGTAAGGGTACGGAGGGTGAGACATGGCGTTGTCGAGTTGGACGACGTCGACGGATCCGGTTCGGGACTCGGGGAAGCGTCGGGAGCTTGGTGTATTGTCGGGTTTGGCTTCTTCGATCGGAGAGGATACAGGTTACCAAGCATGAAATGTTGTCCTGGGCTGGCATAACTTAGAAGACAGCAGGTACCGCTCAACAGCTGTCCTATCTAAGGGCTAGAGGCCACTGACACACTTGTACCTTCTCAGAATGTCTCTGACGCCTTCAAGAAGCCTCGCCTGAAGCATTGGAATAAACTGATGTCTGTTCCTTTGGAGGTTCTTACTTGGTATCACGAGACAAGATTGTCAACCTCCTAACTCAACGGAACTTCTGAAATCTTGAGAAGAACAATCAAAATATCAACAACCTTTGGCTAATAGGACTTTTAATTCAGTTCAGCCATGACGAACTTAACACTGCACAACCTAATAATACCGCCTCACCCCCGTATGATCAAGCCTCTCCACTTGAGTTTCTTCAAAGCCCAGACGTACGTTTTGCTCGTCATCTGCTCCTGCCCTTACAACTTTTTCCCACACTTTAGTAGACGTCACGCCAGCCCCGGCATCCACAAGTTCATCTCCGGTAGGAGGCGGCGACTTGAGCCCAAGAATGAACAGCTCCTGTAAATCTGACCAAGGGATGATGCTCAGGACACAAACGGGCCGTCCCCTTATTTCAACTTCGAAGACCTCCAGTACATGACCGATGATAATTGCTGCAATATAAGTTGTCACAGCGCCGAGGTAGATACAGAGCATTGCCTGCGCGAAGAGCAGCGTCTTGCGTTTCTGACCGGTACCGTACCCGTAGCGTTCTGCCACCATATGTATAGGTAGGGCAGTTTCGAATATGTTGTTATATTCCTCGAACGACTTGGAACTAGGAGTTCTCCGATGAATATGCGTCTTGTTGCGCCATTCATCCCAGGTTCCATTTTCAGGTGCCTTCTTTGGAACGATCTTGTGAGTACCGCCTCTGAACCCGTATTGCTCGTCCAAGTTGACAAAGTTTAGTTCGAAGTCGGTCTTATTCAGCTTGATACGGGTATCTGCGCCAAATGAGGTTCGAGCGAGAGCTTCAGTCAAGTAGCCTCCAAATGCCTTGCTGAGGAAAATTTCCATCGCGGTTTCATTATTGCCGGTCACCATGTGTCTCGACGTGGTGCCGTTTTCGTTTACCTCCTGGAAGAATCCTTGCGCAAGCACCCAAAGAGGATTGACGCCTGTCAATTTTGTTGTATTCCACTTGGGGTTGAGGTAATCCAGCCATGACTGAGAGAACCTTATTGGGAGTGTTTCGCGAGAGGTATTGTTGATATATAGCTCATGCATACTATTCTTGTTATTGAACTCAGAATGAAGGATGTCGCTAGCGCCTTGGTCTGTTGAAAAAGATGTACGCACCCAGTTTGCGGTCATGCTACACAAGTAAAGAACTTTGGAGGACTCGTTGGATTGCGTATCCATATGCGGAATAAGCCCGTTGAGGTGCAGGACGGGTGAGTTGTCCCTCTTCGTAAAGAACCTCGATATGGCAGAATGCTCGTCATCATACTTCTTCTTGAGCATGTCGATGTAGGATCCGTTAAGTGATGGAACTTCCCACACCCCTGAGTAATTTGGGCAGTCTTGGTCTTTGAAACATCTGAGATCTTTCACTGGGTAAGATATTTCTTCCGGCGCATCGTCGATATTGTGAACTGTGCACCTGGACTGGACGAAAGGCTGGTAGAGTCCCGTTGAGGAAGAATTCGTGTCAGAGGCCGATTTGGTACTAAGCCGATAGCGCGGTTCGCCAGACACCGCACCAACTGGCTCTTCATTGGCGTCGTTGATGTACTGCTGGAAAAGACCGATACTGTCCAAGAGAAACTGGGGTGCAGTGGTGCAAAGAGTGGCGGAAGCAGTGTCCTGACTCAAGTCGCCTTGGGTGAATATTACCTGTCGGCGGATGTTTGCTGATGTAGCGGGAAATGTGAGATTGTTTCCCAGGTCTGTTGCACCGTAGTTTTGTACCCAGGTTAGGATTTGCATGAATCCCCCTGCAGGGCAATGAGCCAGATATATGCCTTCGACGGAGGTGCAGTTCTCCAATCTCCCAGACCCAGAGTGATTCCGCCTCCAAACATCATCTCGATTCCACCAATATATAAGAGGTGTTTGAATGTTCTCGAATGCTGTGTCAGGCTGAAATTCGAACCAGTCCAGAGTTGGCAGAAGAAGCACGGCAGACGCAGGCCCAACAATAGTCGACATGATGGTTGCAAAAACGAGAAATCCGGAAAGCAGTATCTCCCAAGGCTCCAGGAGATTGAGGTCTTGACGCCAGAATGCAGCGGTCCCGAGATAATTCAGATCTCCAACTCGGTAACTGCCCGTGAGGAAGCCAAGCCGGACCCCCTTTGTGATGAGTCGCCGACGAAACATTGCCAAGGAGATGGATGATAGAGATGCTATAATCAGAAGCTCGTGTACTTTGGCAGCGAGCTGAAGCACGTTGCCAATGGTTTCGGCGTCCACACGATACTTGTTTGCAAGTAAGGGGCCTTGTTCAGGATACCAGTATATCTTCTTCGAGCCGACAACGAGAACGATTAATGTTGTCAGCAACGCCGGCATATGAGCGAGCCAGCCTTTGAAGAAGCGTTTCTTGGTTGCACGGGTAATGTGTTTCGGGACTTTTACCCCGGCTGCCGTGGACGATCTCGCCAAAGGGCTATTCGCCATAGAGCCCTCTGAGTTTAAGATGGGACTTCTATCGTCCTGCACTTGGCTGTCTTCGTCGGTTGAGAGGGCATCCTCTTCGATTTCTCTCGAAGTAACAATTACAGACTGATGGGAAGCCGAGCCTTCGTCGACTGAAGTGGTCAGACCCAGGGTCGGAGATCGTTGCTGACTCAAAGGGAAAGTATAGCTTGCGCTTGTGGTATTCCTACGCCGTCTCAATTCGATGTTGTCCTGAGTTGAAGCCATGTTCTCTGTGTGGAGGATTGAAACTTCAGGGGTAGACTCTGATTTTGGTCCAAGTGGACGAAAGCAGAATAAGTGAAAAACGTGTTTGCGAAACAATGATGTCGAATCATGCGACACATATCATGAACGGGTTGATTGAGAGGCGATTACACGCTTGAATATTGACTGCAAGCATCCCAACGGCGATGGAACAGTAGACGCAAGAGGTAAGCACATTAGCCCTTCAGAGAATATATATACTTGCACTTGACGGTTCCTTTCCTCAGTACCCGCGGAATCCGCGTTACGGCCCCCTTGAGCGTTGATTCGCGCAACCTGCTGGTTCACAAAATGCAGCTTACGACGCATCAGGCTGAAGGAGTTCTCGGTCACAACAGCTGAACAAGATCATTCGCCCCCCGCCAACAGCTTTCGGTGCGGCCACTTGAAAGAGGGTGGCCTACGACTGGACGAAGCGCAACGAGGGTGCATGGAAGGAAAAGATTCTTGATAAGCAGTACGTCAGACGATTAAAAGCAAATATGCATCAGCCACTCAGATCACACAAAACCCACAAGGCTGTCAGCCACAGTAATACGACATGCTAGCTGAGCTGAGCTGCTTATTTCTATTATATCTTCTCTTCGGCGGTGTAAAGGATATGTCTCACCTAGCTCAAGCAGCAGTGTCCCGTATAATTAGAGCGGCATGATGCGGTGGTTGCATATAGACTTGCGACGGTGGATGTTTCTATCATAGTAGTCCGGCACCTGAAATATTTCTGGCTGACGCTCGTTTGTGGTTACACAGGACATCGAGAGCTGTAAGACGACCAAGCATGTTCACATGACTTTGCACAAGCCAAGGTTACAGAGTGCGACTCCCGAGCTCACTTTTAGTTCACAGATAACTAGCATTGTAACATTATTGAAGGGTTATCAACATCTAAGCAGTCTCTGGGATCAAGTAAGCCAGGGGAAGCTTTAATTACCTTTTAATGCGGTGACTGAACCAAATTGTTATAACTGCATGTTTATATATACCATACGGGTAGTAAACTTTGAGATCAAACTTTGCCGTGTACGGTTCTTTGTCAGTCAGATATGAGAACCTTGACAGATGCACTTGAAAATACTTCATTTCCGCACCGAGCCGCAATTACAATCTTCTTCCCATCTTCTGTAACTTACCATCCTTTTCACCTCTGGGAGTCTATCTGAAGCAATGCCAGCATCAAACAACATCGAAGCCTTCGGCAAGGCAGGCCCACGGCGGATTATTGACGTTGTTCCTTCCTCACAGCCTACGGCCGCCACCTTTACAAAGGTTCCACGGGAAATACTTTTCATGATCACGGATCAACTGGCAGTCTGCTCACGTGTTGCAGTTTCGTTATGCTGCAAATCCTTCTTCACATCTATCTCTCCAACAGGCCAGATACCGAAGCTTAGCAAGGAGGATCATATCGCCCTTCTTTTGCTAATTGAGAAAGATTCTTTGGATCAGTTCTTGTGCTTCGGTTGCACGAAACTTCGGCGTTTTGATCCGGCGAACACCCACGACTGGAAAGCACAGCCCCATCCCTTATGCGGGACGGAGAGTGTGTGCCTTTCTGAGGAAGTCAGTATATCTCTCGCGGATTGGTACATTGAACATCGATATCCACGTCGTCGCTGGAAAACTTCAACTCCATTCGACCGCGGCATGTCATGTAGATCGATCAGCGTCCCTAGCGCTCTCGTATGGCGACCTCACCCACTTTCCTGCGAGGAGAATTGTGGACATAAGTGGCCAGAGATTACGTTTTCTCAAGCGCACCTGATCATGAACAGACATCTCTATGGACCTCCTTACGGATTTGCGCTTGAGACGTTACATAAGCGGTACGCTTTCACGAGGTTTCTTTCAACTAATGGTGATTCGCCGCGCGACCATTTTCCCGTTGCACGTCATCCAGAGTTCCCGTCTGGAAAGCGATATTCCTTGCGATCCCTGCCAAAGACTGAGCAACATCAAAAACATGAAAGCTCCGCCAGGCGACCAGACTCCGGAGACTCAGCAGTCCCTTGGAACTTCGTGCACACATATTCGGCCAAGATCATCGAAGACGAGCTTTTCCTCCACCGCTCCCACCATATCTCAGGGCCGCGGTGCTCAGTCGGGGAGCTCCTAGAACTGCTCGACAGTTTAGAGCTCCCCATCTGCCGACACATGTTTGCGATCCAGCCCAAGACGGGCGTCTGGCTGGCTGGGACGAGGTGCATCCCTTCCAGGCTTTGCGGACTGCGGCGCCAGCAGATTCCGAGACCTGCGACGGTTTTGACCGAGGAGAGGGAGCCTGTGTGACCTGCTACACCGACTACACCGTCAGCATCAATGCCAGCCGGAGAGAGGAAACATGGGACGTGGAGATCGTTACGTATCATAAGCTCGCCAGCTGCAGAACCCCCGACGATCGCATCTGGCAATGCCTGACGCAGAGATCGAATGCCGCGCCTCGCCGAAACGAATTCTATCGCGGATACTCCAGAATGGTAGAAGACAACATTGTCAAGTCTTGGAACGGTAAACCTCTTGACACATTCGAAGCTCTTTCTCCAACGGAAGTTACGGAATTGGAGAATAGTGACTGCGGCTACTGGTACGATCCCGTGTTGGCTTGCGCGTTTTTTGAAGGCGACCGCTGGGTGGAGTCGACCTCGTTTTAACCGTTGGCCTTCCTACGCCAGCGCCTCCCCCTTTGCTGATTGTCGCCACTCATCAACAGTTCTCACAGACAGGAGGCATCCAGGTCTGGGGCGATACACAGACCATCACGGATAGATACAGGCTGCAAGCGCACACCGAGGTAACATTGGTCGGGGCCCAGGAGGAAAGCTTGTGCATGGAGACCTCCTGAACCAACGTGATTCTTGACAATCTGGAAGTGAGAAGAAGCTGGCGATTGAGGATTTGGAATATTGTGCGGTGCTTCATCCTGATTCATGGTTAAGACATTGAGAATCACGTTCAACGCTTCGAGATAACATAATCAGTCTCAGACATTCTGAATCTTTGATACTTCATTCTCTGTAACTCGGTAGAAAGTATAACTATTGACAAATTTCAGTGACCTTTAGTTGAAAAACAAATACAGAGCTGAACATTCAATAGAAACAGCGTGCTGCTCATTCAGTACAGTGAAAGAGTCGTCCTCGTCGGAAAAGGTGTGAGTTCTACTGTGCGGCGAACTGCCACGGTGGGAGTGGAATTCGATATGCTACCTAGGCCAGCCAGTAAATGATTGGTGTCTCGATAATCCTTAGGTCGAAATTTTAACGATCCTACCGTGAGATGACTCGAGAAATGACAACGCAGTATGTACGGGAGCGAGCTTCGGTCGACGTCTTAAAACTCCGATCCCGGTCCCACCTTTCCCGGACCCGCGCCGGCAGGACATTCGGAGCTCGAAGAACGCAGCCAGGAAAGCAGAAAATCCCAAAACCGAACGGTCTATCCCTCTCCAAGCAAACGACTACAAAGCAGGTGTATATAGACAGACCAGTGTCTCGACTTTTGCACCATCCGAACTTTGGTTGGCGTTGAAACAAACACCGATTGCTAGGAATCAGCCTGCCACACGGGGAACCGGCCTATGGAACGGAACATACACTATCTGGGAACACACGCCCGCCTTGCTTAAGATATATCACCCAGATGGCGGTAAAGGTTGGACAGACCGTTGGGTTTCGGCACTCTCTTGGATGCCTGCCGCTCACCACCCACGCGTACTCCAGGGCATTCCAGTTGCCCGCGCGCGTTCCCTTTCCCTCCAAGATCCCGTAGTGACGGCAGATATGGCCTCGCCTCACTCAGACAGCGCAGGGATAACCGTAAAGTTCCGATGCCAACCCTTTTGTTGAGTTGGATCATATTCTTTCAGACACACACGCCAAGATGTCGAGCTCGGCCGACCCGGGCGACCTTGGAGCGGCGGATGACCCGGCCGCACCTGAGAGATGGAACAAACACAACATGCCTTCTCAACTATACAGCATCATTGCTATTCGACTACTTCACTTCACGCTCCTCCCTTTGGCTCTTCTACAGGCTTAACTTCAACCCCGTGCATTCCCCCGTTCTCATGAGTCTCGCCGCGTACTGAGTACCAGGACTATTGATGAGGGTTTTCATCACGGTTGACTCATTCTTTCTTCCCCCTTTCATAACTGTGGCTGTTTGGATTTACCATGTACTGTCATAGCTCCAGCTGTTTGATCAAGTTAGAATCATTACGCTTGACTTGCCAATTGCCGCTGAAGCTACGTGTTTCCTGATCCCCAAACTATCCTCCTGAGAGTTGTCAAACACAGCGAGCAGTAGGGGACGTCCTCTGCGACTTTTGCATATTATCACAAAGGAAAGTTCAAATGCCTATCTTAAACCCTCGCTAATCGGACTTCTGGAGATGTCCAGAATAGCAACTCTGGATATCGAGAATTCCACGTTGGATCCCGGAACAGCTTCCCACGTCTGAACAGATGAGGCCGCGCCATATGATTGCTCCAATGCCCATCGGTGTGGTGGTCAAGCACTTAGGAAGAGAGATGTGAAAACATACCTAATTGACGACAAAAGCAGACCTCGAAAATGCGTCAACTGGGTTGCCATATCACATCGGACATTTCTCTAGCCGCAGACAGAGACCGTGAGGAAACTTTAGCTCATATATCCTACCCACGCTACAGAAAAAAGGCCCAGACACCACGCCATGCCATCCCTCCCTCCCTTTCCTCCCCGCGTCACCGAAGAGCAAGGAACAATAAAGAGGCAGAGAGATGAGCGCTACAAAAAGGAGTACTCGAACAAAGACCGCGAGGCTGTGCTGCAGAATTTCTTTGGTATCCCTAAAAACAAGCAAATCGAAACACTAGATAAAATAACGGGCTGATATTCACGATATCCGGCCCTTCCCTGCCAACGCCGCAAGACCTCCCCCCATTTTACGCTTTCGGAAGAAGAAGAAGCCCCCTGGATAAGGTGTGAGGGGATGAGACGATGCCAATGATTTGAATTCCGAGACGTCTTTCTTAATCAAATGGCTCAGTGAGCGGCCCGGTGGCCGCCGGATGGAATGTACAAGACGGCGAAAAAGACGACACCCGCCAACACCGTGATGCTTTTCTGCTATGGGAAGATGAGGTGCTTGAAACAAAGTGTGCTTATGCAAGGAATCGCGGCGTTTACTCGTCGTCAAAAATCTCGTAGCAGTTTTGCAGGATCGTGTCTACAACCTTGATTTGCCAGCCCGCATCGGCAATGCTAGTGCTTGGATCAGTGCCCATGACGGTGGGACCGAAGATGACGGCGAGGTTGTGAGAGTTCATGCGGTTGATGTGCGAGTTCTCCATGACGCGGTGGAGGTGGAGGGTGAGGGACCGCAGAGTGGCATAGTTGGGATCGGGGAGGCTGTTGATGATGGCGTGAAGAGAGTCGCGACGGACAATGTCGTCATCGTGTTCTGAGGTTTGTTAGTAATGGAACTGGGCGCATCAGGAGCGGGTTGAGACTTACTAGCTGCCTCGATCAACTCGCTGTGGTGCTCCGTGGTGAGCAGCGGGTTGGGTAGATCGCGGCAGAACTGCTTCAACAGGCCAGTAACACTGTTGACGTCGTGGTAAAAGTTCTCCGGATTCCTGAAATCAAGTGCAGGGTTGCTCGAGTCGGTGTCGAACATGGTCTTCAGTTTGTTAATGTGCGCCAACGAGCCAGACTGGCGGTAGATGCCCTCCACGCCAAGTCCGTAGAGGTCCACTGCCTGAATACACTGATAAACGACCATAGGTACGGGCAGACCATCACGCTCGTATAGAAGCGGCAAGCTGAGTCCGAAGACGGGCCTCGCGGCAGTGGGCGCCGGAGCGGAAGGACCGGAGGCAAGGGGAGGAGATTGTCTGTTGTACGCCTGGTAGGGTCCCTGTGCGGGTGGCAGTCCTTGGGCGGGATGCGATTGCAAGGGATTGCCCTGCTGACGCTGTTGAGGAGGAGGCTGCTGGCCCGGGTACTGACTCTGAGGTGGCGGCGTCTGTTGCGGCTGAGGAGGAGGCGACTGGCTCTGCGAGGAGGTCTGGAACGGCAGGGCTCCGAGTTGCGGCGGGCCTTGAGAGGCGATGGTGCTACCGCCGCCATTGTATCTAGACTGCAGAACGCCCGAGTTGCGGTTGGCCTGGAACTGTTGCTGTTGGCTAGGCTGCTGGTTCAGCATGTTGCTGGTGCTGAAGCTGCGGCCATGCTGTTGAGGCTGGGGCGCAGACTGCTGCTGAGACGAGGGACGCTGTTGTTGAGAAGCCGGCATGCTGGGTGGTGCAAAGCTCGACGCAGGCTCGGCAGGAGGCGGTTGGAAGTTATTCGGCCTAGGAGGAGGCGGCATCTCCTGGGTCTGTCCGGCTGGAGGTCCTGCAAATTGACCTCCCGGCTTCACTGGGGGGACGTTCGACACCGAGGAGTTTGGTTGGTGGCCCATGTTTGGATTGCGAGGTGTTGCCAAAATGGGGTTCTTCTCGTACTTGATCTCGCTGTTCGGTGGCAGCTTCGAGTGGTGGGTCAGGAGAACTTCGTGCAGGTCCTTCTCGTTGTTGATAGCCATAACGGCCTCGCGGAGACTTCGGGGTCCTCCTCCGGAACCTGGTCCTTTGATCGGGCTAATACTAAGGCCGTTACTCAAAAGGAGCTTTTCGCTGAAGGACGCTGCGAGATTGTGAGCTTTGCATACATGACAGCGAACAAGGTGCCGGCAAAAAAGGGAGGCATCAAACTCTGGGGCAACCAATTCACGAGGAAGACGCAACTTACCGAATTTCTGCATTTGAAGAGCCAAGCCGGCGTCTGTGTCCCTGACCAAGTCTTGGAGGGCAGCAATGGCCTCCGGTCTCGTTCTCGCGATCAATTCCGCCTTCTCACTCTGCAACGTCTGGACCTTGGTCTGGTAGTCTTGGTCGGCAGCTTGTGCTTTGCGCAAAAGGTCCTCCTCGTGCTGAGGCCCAGACTTGGCCTTCAAGCTGAACATCTTGCCGCTGTTCCTGCTCGTATCACCGGTTCGCGCGCGGTCGTACTCCTCGGCGAGACCGTCGTACTTGGCCTTTGACTTGCGCATGGCAGCCTCCAGCTCTGCCACGCGGTGCTCGGCAGCCAAGCCGTTGGCCTTCCACCCTTTTCTGCTGCGCTCGGCCATGGCGGCCATCTCGATCAGGTCGTCGTGCATCTGGTGTAGTGATACGGCAAACTGAACGCCGTTCTCGGCCATGCGCTCGTGGATATACATCATCTCGGTGTAGGCCTGGGCGAAAGTGCCCTGCTTGTGTTCGGGCTGGTGCATGGTCTCCTGGCTCATGCGCGACAGCTTCTTGAGGGCTGACGCGTGGGTTTCTTCGATGTGGGATCGCTTCTTGAGGAAGAGGGCGAATTCCTTCGCGGAGGCGATGCTGGCCTTGAGCTGATTCAACATGGTCGAGACGCCAATGTCGGAGGAGAGGACTTCTTGCACCTGGCGCGAGATTTCCGGGTTGGGGGCGGATTTCGTGTCGGCAGCGGCGGAGACGGCGCCGTTCGCGGGGCCGGGTGCGCCATTCTGTGAGGTTTCTGTGTTTCCAAGCGACATGCTGCTCGTCCTATCGCGCTGCTCTTCGTTGGTGGAGGGTAGGTTGTCGTCGGAGGGGGAGCGGAGGTCGGCCATTATGAGGGATCGGGAGTCTTGCAACTCGGCGCAAATGGGACGATGTGGTGCTACGAGATTCGGGGCTCCAGTGGCGACGGCGGGAGGCTTGGATCGGGGACGGACTGTGCAAGGAAGTCCCGGGAAGTCGAGTGTCTCGAGGTTGGACGTGTGAGTTGTTCTCTGTGGCCTGTGATGGGTATCGCAGGCTGGCACTTGGTCGTCTGTGGAAGCAGGTTCCCGGACGTTGGCTCAGATGGCTCGTTGGGAATCTGTTGATGTGGAGAGGCAGGGGGTGAAACGGGGGAAATTCATGCGAAAGGTCGATGGCGAGTTCGCGGGAGGATGGGTCGTCCAATGTGACTCGCGGGACGGGGAAGAGATCGTGTGGAAGAAATGTGGCCTTGGAGACACGGATGTGCGCGACGGCGACAAGTAGTGGTGGTGGTGGTGTGCTGTGCGTCCAACAGCTGCGGTGACCGGGGAGCACGGAGGACGGAATACGACGGGAGGAGCGAAGACGAGGACGGACAATGTCGAGGGCGGGGGTTGGAGGGCCCCTAAGCCTAAGCAGAGAGGTCCTCGCAGCCAGACCGTAGACGTGGACCGGGGTGATGGGGTTTTGGTGTGGGTAAGCTGGAGGTACGTCAGGGTCCAACGATGCGATGTGTTGTCGTCCTCGACTCGGCTCGACTCGACGTTAAAGGTGGAAAACAAAAATAAAGAGAGAAAAAATAAGTTGATCTGGAAGCAGGATGGAATCGACAATGGAATGTCTCGGATTTTGGACGAGACGAGACCAGACTACTGTGCCTTAACTTTAGCGCATCCAAAGTTCAAGTTAGACGATGCAGGAAGCGGGAGGAACGAAGCTTGAGAGGAGCTCTCCAATTCCCTCTTGTCCAGGTGCTTGTTGAACTCAGAACAGGCCTGCAGGAGCCAAGACGGCGCGTCGGGAGGCAACTTGTCGCACGGCCTTGCAGATTTTGGATGTAGCTAATGATCGTGCAGCTGGCTGCTGTTGGGTAGGTATTAGCCACAATGCTTTCGTCATGTCTTCTTAGCAGGCGCGAACGGAATAAGAGCACTTTTGCGACGCGCGGATTCAGAGGCGAAGCACCGCCGAAGAATGCTGGTTTTCGCCGCAAGAGACACGTCAGATATGCTACCCAAGTCACGCCCAAACAGGATTGCGATGGGCAGTTCTGCTATCCTATTCGAGTCGCAGAAAACTATGAATAGCCCATCAACACCAAGATCGGACTCGGGGCCTGCGGGATACACATCCAAAATGAACTCGTTCTCTCTCCACTCTCCAGGCTAAAACAAATACTTACCCGCAGCACTAGAACGCGGCCCTCAAAAACCACAGACTCGCACCACTGCACTGCGACCCTTCGAGCCTAGCTTCCCTCAGTTGAGAGTTGGAAAGCACAGCCACCGCTGAAGAATGTCCAGCAACGTGGCATGTGCGTCGTTCTTCTATTCTTCTCTCCTGATTCTAGATTCCGTCCTCAAACCTGACCAAGGACCGGAATCTGAAGCACGGAACCTCTAAAAGCACACACAGACGATCAAATTGTCGCAACGAACTCCATCCCAAAGCTTCAACCTTCAGCCCAGTGACACGCTGCTCGCCGGTACCGTTCGCACCCGGCCACAGTTTAATTGCAATCGAGAGACCCCGAGTGGACACCCGGCCCGGGGCAGGCCTGCTTCTTATTCTCGTATTTCTCGTATTTCGACGTGGACTTGGCGCTCCCAATTCCATGAATGCTTCATTAGCACTCGATTGACTCGAGTGGACGCCAAATTCACAAGTCGACGAGCCTTGTGAATACCTACCGGTGCTCAACCCTTCAACATCCCAGCTCTCGAGCGCCTTCAGTTCCACAGTCACACAGATCTCGTTGAGACATCTGCCGTGCTACCCAACGCCGGCAACTTCGCATCTCATCGACCTACTCACCATGCAACCTCCCGTCAACTCGGCGAGCCGGTCTCCTCTCCCTTTTCTTTCTTGTCGTCCCAAAACCAGCCCCTCGACGTCGATCTTGGTCAAAGTGTATCATCCCGGCCCCTTGTCCCAGAAAACCGGCACCCACAAACCTCCACGTCCGTCCGTCTCTGTACTGTTATCTCCAACCACACTTTCAGACCTCAGCAGATACAGAATCTTGACTTCGTGACAAACTCACAGCTCGTCGACATAAGTTTTCTTGGCTTCCTTTTTTTAACCATCTGGCTACGGACTCCCCCCACCTGCTGACGACCCCGTTCATCCAGTCTAGCAATAACCCAGAATAGTCAGCAAAATGACAAGCTCACGCCCCCCGCCAACTCTAAAACATGAACCGAGCCCCGAACCAGAGTAGCAAGGGTTCAGAACCTCATCAACCTAAAAGAAACCCCTGCTCGGCCTGCAGCGTGCTCCAATATGCCGGGCGTTGATACCGATATCAAGCTTCTGTTATGTGATGACCACACAGTGAGTGATCGCACACCTCTCACCTAGGTGCATAATAAGAACGCCCAAGAAACCTTCCCGGACGCAGGGGACGATCCGAACGAAGCGGCCGGCTCGCATATCGTGAACCCAAACGCCCGTCATCGAGGCAGCCCACATTAATGCCGGGCATGACAGCCCGTCAACGTTTCACGTCTTATCTTCCCGCAAAGCCTTGGTGATGCATTGATCACGACGGCGGGGACGAGGACGGCTTTGGAGGATGGGCATCTGAACAATTATGAACAACAGCCGGCTCTCGCCGTGACTTCCGATTGATTCGTCTCCATCTAATCGTCTAGACCATGAGACGGCCAAGTCTCTCTCTACTATTCCACTTCTCTACAACGTGGTCCGGATTCTTGGCAGCTTCACAGGCGTCTTAACTACCCGCTCGTCTCCGCATTAACAAGCCAGCCCATCGTGACCTGAAGCCCATCTCTGATATCTCACCGGGGCGGCCAGTCTAGGCATCATGCCCCCTCCCATAGTCCACGCCAATCCCCTCACATCGCCCTAGTAAAACATCAAGTCCAGATGCCTCTTCTCGTCCGTGTACCTCTCCTTCAGCTCCTTGCGCGCGAGCCACCTCGCGAGCGGCATCATCGTGTCCTTCATGTCCATCACACCGCGCTTCTTCTGGTCAATGTGCGACGCGTCCACCACCACCCGCTGCACCTTGTCCAGGCACAGCGCCCCGTGGTCCGCCAGCTCCATCAGCCGCGCCGGCGTGCCCACCGCGATGCCCGTCCGCGTCGTCTGCAGGAACTTGACCTGCTCCTCGACCTTCATGTGTTTTGCAAACTGGTGGGGGGTGTCAGTTCTCGGGTGTGACAGTCGAGAGTAAAGGAGAAGAACTCACCAGCTTCGACACTGTGTTCTTCTTGTTCTGGAATCCCCGCAGAGCCCGCACGAGGTCCGCCGCCCGCAGGCCCGCGGCCGTGACGACGATGGTGTGCGGCGTGCCCTTCTTCTCCGGCGCCGTCGGCAGCTTCTCGGGCTTCTCGGCGAACTTCTCCAGGAAGGCAGGCAGGTTGGGCGTGGACCGCGGCTCCGTCCACGACGTAGTGTCCTTGATCGCGTTGGCTGTTTTCATCGTCAGCGGGGCCGTGTTCACAATGCTCCCCTCACAGACACTCAATTCCACCCTCAGTTCTTCCCATCATGTGAAGAAAAAGATGTGTGAGTGAGTCCGGCGCGGGACAGGGTGAGATGAAGAACAAAACTCACCTGAGATGGACAAATCCGAAACCTCGACGGGACTCAGCTCCGTCGCGAACCGCGTGAGCTTCTGCGCCGTGTAGTCCGCCAGCAGCTGGTTGTCCATGACGGCGAAGGCCTCGTTGATGCCCAGCTCCTCGTTCAGCAGGGTCTCGTCGACCTGGTACGGGGACGCCTTCTTCTTCTTCTTCGCCTTGCCGCCGTCCTGGTCGGGCGCCGCTCTCTTTTTTGAGTTGGACATGTTTTTTTTGGTCTTGGTGTTGCGAAACTCTTGGGTGACTTGGTGAGAGTAAATCGCAATCTTGGGCCTTGTGATTAAAAATTCTCGTCGCGCTATGTCGTCGGTGAAGATGTTGTAAGAGACTGGGATGTGTCGCCGCTGAGACGAAAAATTTCGTTCGCTGAGAGGAAAATTCCAGTTTCGCACGGTACAGCCCACCCGTTCAAGGCCCAAGCTTGGAGGAGCCTGCTTGATTTGACCGCCGCGACGTACAGTGCGAAGAATTGCACCGCTAAAGCGGCCAGTGACATCCATGGCCGACTAAACGATTGAACGACTTTCTCCAACCCATCAACCTCCTACCTGGGTAATGGCTTGTGTTGTCAAAATTTCGAAGTATTTCGTAGTGTTCATTTGAATTAGCCACTGAGTACTTTCGCTCTTTGGTTTCACCATCTTTTTAGTTATCTCAGATTTCTCTGGTGACTTTATTGTTACCGTCACGATTTGTCGTTGTCGTCGGTTCCATCCATGGATCGTTAATATCATCGGACTAGCCCAGTTGACATTCTACATGCCTATGCGCATCCTCGAGACCATCTCATACCCAGGCAAGACGAAGCATTTGGGCGCTCTCGTTCTTACTGATAAATAAAACAGGTTTCCTCTTTTGCAATGTGTGTTCAATGTCCTCTAAGTTGAGAGTAGCATGTACTATCAGCTGTGACTAGGCATATTGATCCTCTCAAAACACCAGCATCAACTGCTCAAACTAATGAAGACTCTCCTCTTTCTCATATAATATATCAGATCTACATTCGAATTGTACACAAGTATCGAAAATACCAAGCCAAACATCACTGTCACCACGACTAAAGGCCCTCCGCAACCTCACCCAAACACGCCCGATCATCACCCGGAACCGGCGTCCCCACCAGGCCGCCGAACAGGCCGCATGCACCGCACCGCGCCCCCACTCTCTCCCTCTGTCCCTTATCCCCCCACACCGAACCTCAGATAAGAGTTTTTTTTTTCCCCAGCAGCTGTCTCATGCCTGGTCAACATTTTCAAAATATTTTGGTTTTCGCAGCGTTTCCCAGACCGCGTTTCTAACCTTTTCTCCACAGCAACCCGCGACTCCAAGGTACACTACGTCGGGGTCTTTCAATTCAATTCAATTTGGAATTTATACATACGTTTTCATCCCCTTAATCACCAAAGCAAAAAAACGCAATGGCCTCCGCGGAACTCTCCTCCAAGAAGCGCAAGCGCGCCGCCGCCGAGGCCGCCGCGACAGACGACGCCGTCACGAAGAAGTCAAAGTCGGACAAGAAGGAGAAGAAGGAGAAGAAATCCAAAAAGTCCTCCGAACCCGAGACCACCATCCCCGCCCCGGCCGCGGAAGCAGACCACGACGAGTTCATCGCCCTCGAGGAATCCAAAAAGGACAAGAAGGAGCGCAAGCGCAAGGAGAAGGAGGCCCGCAAGGCTGCGGCCGCCGCTGAGACCGAAGAGGTGGTAGACACATCCGCGATGGATATCGACCCCCCGGTCGAGGAGAAGAAAGCCAAGAAGAGCAGTAAAAAGGCTGAGTCTGAAGCTGTGGAAGAGGAGGTGAAGGAGGACAAGAAGAAGAAGGAAAAGAAGGACAAGAAGGAGAAGAAGAAGGAGAAAAAGGCCAAGGAAGAGAAGGAGGAGACCAAGCCCGAGACGGCGACGGCGACGGCGACGACCGAGTCCGACAACAAGAAGGAGAAGAAGAAGGACAAAAAGTCCAAGAAGACCAAGGAGGAGCCCGCCGCCGCCCCCGAACCCGCCGCCGCGGAGGAAGAGGCGCCCGCGGAGGGTGGTAAGAGGGAGAAGTACATCGTCTTCGTCGGTGAGTCGCACCACGCCCTACGTAAACAACGTCCCGGCTCCCGCTCCGACTAACACCACCGCCCGCGCACAGGAAACCTCCCCTACACGGCGAACCAGGCCTCCATCAAGGAGCACTTCTCCGCCTACAAGCCGACGGCCGTCCGCTGCCTGCACAAGGACGGCAACCCCAACGTCTGCCGCGGCATCGCCTTCCTCGAGTTCTCCAACGGCTCCAACATGCGCACCTGCCTCGACAAGATGCACCACACCGAGTTCGACGACGGCCTGTCCGCCCCGCGCAGGGTCAACCTGGAGCTCTCGTACGTTCACCTCTGTTCCCCTCTGTCACTCCCCTCTCCCTTTTCTCGAACTCCCCGGTGGGAGAGGAGAGGAATCGCTACTGAAAAGAAACACACGTTGCTAACGCAAAAGTCTCCAGCGCCGGCGGTGGCGGCAAGAGCAAGTTCCGACAGGAAAAGATCAGGGCTCGCAACGAGCACCTCGACGAGAACCGCGCCAAGCGCATGCAGAAGGAGGACGAGTACAAGAAGCAGAGAGCCCAGGAGGGTGGCACCAACACCCAGCAGGATAGCATCCACCCGAGCCGTCTTGCCATGATGTACCAGTAGAAGGAGGAAAAAATTGGTGGTGATATATGTACGAGTGGAGTCTGCTCGCTCTTGAATACTCTGGCAGGGCAGGTACTTGTACACAGATTGTGGCCTGGTGGTAAATAATATGGTCACTGTGTCTCACAAGACGACGCGTTCGTCTTGCTGCAGCAAGTTCAAGGCCTCATTCTAGATACCCCAGGGCATTTGCAATGACAATCAATTCTTAAAAGGCGAAGCTCATTTCCCATCCTGACCCAGTGTCTAGTTCCTCCTGAAAAAAGAAGTTGTGTTTGTGAGAGTGAGTGCTATCTACAGAAAAGCTCGGGATATCCTTTGTTTGATGAGATGCAAAGCCTGCCTGCTACCAACGCTTCCACCCCAGTATTTGCGGAGCTCCCTTCACTCTGCTTAGTGCAAAGAGTTAAAGCAAGAGCAGCAAAAAGACGATTCGTCACCACACTACCACCTTGTCCGGTAGAAGCCATCTTGTCCATGACAAACGGAAGTAGGGTGAGGAATGTGTAATAGTTGGGGTTGCTGCCATCTTCGCAGGGTGTGCTTTGCTCGGCCGTTCAGTGGGGCGCTTCTGAAGAGATTTGGTTGTTCTGCCCAGTTGAGGGTGAGGCACGGGTGAGCAACATGGTTGAGCCCTGAAGGCCTGGTTGAAGATAGGTTTGTGTAATCCACCTCGATAACGCCGTTTACAATGTGAACCCGCAAAGCTCAAGTTCAAACGACGCGCTCACAAAATTGTGCACTTGGACTTCTTCTTCTGCTGGGGGACAGGCCTGGGGTTCAAGACCGCGCTGAAGATTGTTAGCTTAATTTGCGTTTGGAAACACCCATAGCTTCAAACGTACCGGATAGCCTCATCAAAAACGCTCTTCAGATTTCTCTGCGTCAGGGCAGAGCACTCCAGGTACTTGTGTGCCTTGATCTCCTTGGCGCAGATCAGAGCTTGGTCGTACGACACAGGCTCCATACGCTTTTGGCGGAGCGACTCGAGGGTGTTGGGGTCTTCTCTCAGATCGAGCTTGGTGCCAACGAGGATGATGGGAATGTTGGGGGCGTGGTGGTCGATCTCGGGGTACCACTGCGTATAATTAGTGCTGACCATCATGCGACAGGGCTGCAGGCCGCCATACCTTGGCCTTGACGTTGTCGAATGATGGCGGGCTGACGATGGAGAAGCAGATGAGGAAGACGTCGGTCTGGGGGTAAGAGAGCGGGCGCAGTCTGTCGTAATCTTCCTGACCAGCAGTATCCCACAGTCCCAGGCTAATCGGCTTTCCATCGACCATCACACTTGCGGAGTAGTTGTCGAAGCTAGTCCGAGAGTTAGACGATGTCGACAGTCACTTGCGATCGGGAAGGCTTACACGGTGGGGATGTACTCGCCGGGGAAGGCGTTCGTTGTGTAGGAAATGAGCAAACATGTCTGCGAGGTTCGTCAGTCGCGGTCCCAAGGGCGCCAGCGTGAATAGAGCTCACCTTTCCGACGGCACCGTCACCAGTAACCACGCACTGCAGAGCGCTTGTTAGCCTTGTGTCTCCTTTAGCGTCGATGTGATGCGCACCTTCAGCGACTGAACTCCTGGTTGAGCCATCTCTGCGATGCTTGTGAGAAGACGTAGATTGATTCCACGAGGATACTGAACGCGAATAGAGTTCGCGATCTAGGCAAGGCGGCGTCGAATTGGGAACGAATCCGAGATGGAAGGCGGCGAGGTCGAGTGTGACACAAGGCTGCTTGATGGAGGGACAGGGGAAAATGGTTGAATGTTTCTCTGCAGCGACGGCCCTCGGATATGCTTGGTCCTAGGTGCTGTGAAGTCGCAGATATGGGCGTGCGGTATAGGGTGGTTTGGTATAGCAGAGGTGTGGATGGTACGATGTGGGCAGCTCGTGCTGGCTGGCGAGGAGCGTGGTGTCGAACAGGGCGAAGGGGGATGGTTCAAGGTAGTTTGGTATCGGTCGAGTCTCGAGCGGTCTGTAGGCGATCGATACTCTGCGGCGGTCGGTCGGTGGGAAAAGGTGTGATGTCGATGTTGAGTAAGGTGTATGTGTGTGTGAACAGAGAGAGCAGAGGACTGCGCGGCAGTAGCAAAAGACAGTTGGGGAGTCTAAGCTCTGGTGGGTTCCCTGGACTGCATAAAGAGTCGAGGTCAGAAATGTTTTGACACAGCGGAAGGGATTGGTGCCGCAGGAGGTGAAGCTGAGAGGGTGATAACGGTACCCTGTATATCTAACCTTCTTCTCAGGCAAAGAAAGTGGGGATGGGGGCAATTGGGAAACCTGAGGGAAGGGAAGTGGAGGGGGTCGGGGTCGGGGTGGGCAGCGGTTTAGGTAGAGTCGCAGCGCGGTAGGGTCGTCGTAAGGTCCCGTCTGGTCTCTGGTGCTGGTGCTGGTCTGGTCTGGTTTTTTCTGCTGCGGTGCTCGTACCGTTTCTCACAGTACTTTGGGCCTGCGAGGACGAGTACGGATACTGAGTACCGCAATAGGTACAGAGAAGACTGGGCAGGCAAGAAAGACTCTGATCAGGCAGTGGAAGAGGATGGGCGGGCCAGGGGCAAACGGGACGGGGGGGTTGAAGATGGTGGGAGGAGGTGAGAAGTTGGAGAGAGAGAGGATAGGGCGCTTGACTTGACTAACCAGATGGGCACGGCGAGACGGTGAAAGGTGACAGCTGGGAAGAGGCAAACTTTCTGTCAGTTGCCCGAATATTGGAGATGTTAAACACGCGGTGGTTGAAGGAGAGGAAGGATGAGGAAGTTGGCGAGGGGAACAAAGACGATGAGAAACAGCGGCGAGAACAGACGCTTCGAGTGTGGATGGAAGGATGGCGGATGTAGCAGCTGTAGCAGCAGCAGCAGCAGCAGCACTGGTTGGAGCGGCGGTACGGGTACACCTCAGTATGTACTCAGGCAGGTCAGGCAGGTAGGTAGGTATGGGCAGGGTAAAGGCAAGGCGAGGCAGGCAAAGGGAACAGGAGGGCCAGGTAAGGTACTCTGCGTTCCTCTCAAAGTACCTACCTACTTGCCGGCACGAGGCAAAGGATGGCACGTACCGGTCTGCGGTCTGCGAAGCGATGCGCGGCGACGCGATGCGCTGCAGCGAGGTGCCTTGCGGTATGGTGACAGCAAGGAGCTCCTTGCTGCAACAGTTTCGGCGTCAACGTTTTATCCCAATGGGAGAGAAGAGACGGCGGCGGCGGCAAACAACGGAGTCGACGAATGTTGTGTTTGGTGGGTGGCCTCGTTGGGAGGATGACTTTTTAGAAGGAAATCTGGATCTGTCCAGACAATGGACTTTGGTGGTGCACAAGGCGAGACGAGGCGAGGCGAAGATGAGACCAGCGGCGCTGCTGATGACTGTCCAGTTGCTGCACGGCACTGGCCTTTCTGCTGGTGCTGGTGCTGGTGCTTGGGTGCTTGAGCCTTGGAGGAACTTGGGACTGCGAGGAGACTGGCTCGATTGGTGATAAAGATCCGGCAGTAATAGGGAGGTAGAGTGAAGTATTCAGCGTCACGGTGTGGGTGTTAGTGTGGGTGTTGATGTTCGGAGGGTGGATTTGGATTGTGGTTCTGTGGATGCCGATAGTGGAAAGTGTGGACCTCGAAAGAGGTTCTCGACGGTGGCGCGAGGACTGAAGAAAGTGCCGAATAAACAAAACCCAAGTGGCTTCCAATCGCGTCTGTTTGCTGGTACTGGCACCTCGATTTTTAGATGTTCAATGATAAAGTGAAGGCTGGAGAGACGGATTTCAAGGCAAGAGTAAGAAGGCGAGAGGCTGGTGCTGGTGGCCCGTGAGGTCTCGTTGCCGTTGATTGGCGGGTGGTGCTTGGTGTTTAAAGAGCAGGAGGAAAGGTACTTAGCGGTACGTACAGGTACACCTCCAGACGCTGGCCACTCAAATTTGACGATGATGCTGATGATGCTGTAAGGAACCTAACCTTAGCTTGGTAGCGCCGGATATGAAGGGGGAACGACTGGCGTCTAACTTCTAGATGCCAGGACTACGGATACAGCGAATCACGGTCAGAATGGCCATTCTGTGTAATTGACTGGCTGATGAGTATCGATGCCTTCAACCAGCGAAATTCTATAAAATAGACCGCTCTTGCCGCTGCCATAACGCCTTGGAACTTGAAGAACAGATTCGACCAACTCAACGAAGGCTGTGATTGGCCGCAAGTCAACGACGGCTAACATGGAATGAACAAACGCTATGAACGGCGTGATTCGGAGATTTTGAGAGAATGACGGAACGCTCCTGACGTCTGACGTCGAGGCAAGAGCGTCTGGCGTCTGTGTGTCCATCCATCCATCATGGCCTTCCAACAATTCTCGAAAGCTGTCCGATGATGAACAACCCGAGAGAAGAACTCTGCTGTTCATCAGACCAAAGTGTGTATTCAAGGTTCCAGTTTACCTCTCGCATTTTGCGTTGTGTTAGGAGATTCATGTGCGATGATGTAAGCCGGCAGTGACAGACGCCATGTGGTGAAGATGTGGCTGAAGTATTCGTACCTCACCTTCAGTATCCAACTCCTCAACTCTGAGCATCAAAATGGTCGGCGATATCTTGCGCACAGAAAGCCTTGATCCCTGAAAGTCCCCCATCCATCTTCACTCCCGTTCGCCTGCCAGCGGCCAGTCACCCGCCAGCATCCAGCATCCAGCATCGGCACCAGCACCAGCACCAGGGCAGTTCTTCGGGGCACTTGAAATCGGGGCGGACCACCGTTTCTGGGAGGCACGGGGAGGGGGGTCCCTTCCTTTTTTGCTGAACAGGGACAGCGAGTGCCAGGGAGGCCAGGCCCTGATAAGTGGGCCAATAGCCGAATTCGGAATGGCTCCGGCCCGTCCATCGAACTGGTCGATTTTACGAAACTTGCGAGGGGCTGGACCCGATAACTGCCAATCGCGGCAACCGTAGTAGAAACATGTTAGCGCCTGTATCTTTTCCAATGTTCTTCTTCCTCTCACTTCTCTTGCCGGCATCAGCTTCACCATCTGCACCATCGTCACCCAAGTTTCTGATGAGTCGGGTCTCCTTTGTTTCTTGTCAGGTCTCCTTCTCCAGTCCACCACAACCACCCACCACCACCAATACCAGTCACCACCACCATCACAACGAAACCAAGTCTCGTCTCTTCTTCCAACCACTGGGATGGAGGGGAAGAAACGTCCGTTCCCACTCGCCGCCCGCTCGCCTGCTCGCCCCAGACTCTCTGCGCAGTGCGCACTGAGTTCAGGCGCCACTTGACGCACCTCTTGTTACAATCTGTTGCGCTGCCTTCGATGGAACATCCGAGGAACGTTTTGAACCTCCTTCTTCTCGCCTTCCAACCCGTCTTCTTCGCCATCCTCCGTTCCAAGGGGTGCCCCCGTCACATTTCAACCGCCCACTCCAAAACCAGCCCAGCACCTCTCGCATCCGCCCATCTTCATCTTGCACCGCAACACGCGAGAGCAGTGCTCCGCAGCCCTGAGATTGACGAGCCAAAGGCGGAAATGGAAGACGCCTGGTCTGATTTGTTGCGACTTGCAACGGCCCATGACTTTATTGATTCCAACCGCCGACTAGCCCACATATTCGCCTTACATGCCTCAACCTTGACCTGCCAATCGGCACGGATATTGAGTCTTTTCCATCTAGCATCCCGGTCACCAATTCCCTCACTACCACCTGAGCCGTTGACTCCTGTCGTTGCTCTTCAGCCCTGGCCATCCACATGAGCCGCCTTCGGAGTCTATCCGGCTGGCGTCAACCACACCTTATTGATGCCCTTTTTTGCTGTCAACCCGTCCTATGTTTCCTCCTTGAACTCCTGTCAAGTCAAACAACACTCCTCAGATCATCGGTCTGCTTGGCGGCAGTGTTCCCTAACCATCAAAGTCACGACGTTGCCCCCGGCCTGGAGAGCACCGCCTGGGTCCGTCATGGAACATAAGGAACCAGGCCGGGTGTTTCCACGAAACATCCAGAGGTCTCATCCGTTTCTTTCGTCTTCGAGCCGAACCAATTCGTTGCACCCCGCACAGATCACTTTCTCACATGTAACCACACCCGTTTCCTCATGCGCCTGATTACGCATGCAGCATCACGGACGTCGTCACCTTACCATGGCTTGAATGAGAAATGCAAGGCATTATCGGTCTTGCAGCCAGGCTCGCTGACTGTCACCTTTTTTCGACATGCTTAGCGTTCCCATGCTTGCATTGAACGATTCGACATGACTTGTAAATTGTCGTTCAGAATTTGAGGAACGACCGACATTCTGATTTCACCAGTTCTAGTGTCCTCGCGGCTGTTACTTGCACTCGTCCACAAGCTTCACATACTGTGCTGCTACTTCCTTCACTACGTCTTCGCAGTTCTCATATTGTCGTCCAAGCAATTCCTCGCCCTCGGATTCATCCGTGGGGATGCTCACCACCAGCTGTTTACTGTCCTCGCGGAAGACGCCGTTTGCGAACGCCTCAGGAAAATGCTTCTTCGCAAAGTCCCTAGCTTCCTCGAATGCAATATGTTTTGAGAGGATGAACGACTTTCCACCAGGGACCGACGGAGACAAAGCACGAATATGCGCGTCCACCACGTCCTGAACGGAGACGTAGCCCGTGTTGATGGTCCAATCAAACTTGTTGCCTCTCAAAAGTTCAAGCAGCACGCCGTTGGAGCCCGACAGCAGAGCTTCCGGTGTTGTGGCGAGCTCCTCGCGACCAAAGATCCAGGCCGGCATGATGGAAATGAGGTCAAAGGCCGGTTTGTGCTCCCTCATCCACCTCTCCGACGCTTCGAGCGCGGCGGTCTTGCTGGCGCTGTAAGCGTCTTCATATGGGGCAACCGGCCAAGGTAGTCGGGACTCGCCGGTGAAGGCCGGCCGGTCCAGCCCCTCTCCCCGGAAGCACGACCTCGGCATGATGGCGACGATGGAGCTCGTGACGACGATCCGCTCGACCGTGTCACCGGCGTGGGCTGCCGCGCTTTCGAGCATCCCCACTACGCCCTGGACGGCCGGGTTGACGTAGATTTCATCATCGGTTCCCTGACGCCCATCGGGGCGTAGCTTGACCACAGGCGACGCGCAGTGGATGATGTACTTGACGCCTTTGACGGCCTCGTCGTATGCGTTCGGGACGGTTATGTCGTGGACGATGACCCAGGCCAGCTGCTCCTCGGACGGCTGTATACTCCGGAGGCTCGGGGATGCCATGATTTTGTCCCGGCCCGACTCGGACCTCACGGCGCACCGGACGCGGAAGCCGGATTCGAGAAGGGTGACGAGCGCCCTGGAACCGACGAAGCCGGTCGCTCCGGTCAAAAGTATGAGATCGTTGACCATCGTGCTTTGGTTGCATTAACTTTGTGGGCTGCTCGCGGTCCTCCCGCTTCGAACCAGGTTGGTCTTGAGTGATGCTTTATCATCACCCCATCTCGACGTTCCCTTCTCTTCAAATGACGAATTTCCCCGCCATACTGTACCGAGGCCAAGACTTCACCTCACCGTCAGCCGGGCCCGAGGGACGGGCTTATGACAAAATCCGGCCATTCAAATCTCACCGGCACAGCATCTGATTTCTAAGCTCCAACACATTGAGCATCTGGACCAGAGATATGTGAGTGGTATTTGTAAGAAACCCGACATAACGTTGGTGAGAGTGATCTCGATCTGCAGCGAAGGAGCCAGAGATTCTGCAGTACGCCGCAGAGGACTTACACCAGTGATCCTAAAGTCCGAGTCTTCAGAACGGACGAGCGGGCGGGCTTACCGCTAAGTCCGGGAACGTGATGAATCCTCTCCTCGATTATTGTTTTCTCCCGTCGACAGTTCCCTGTTTTCGCAAGCAGATTTTGCAATCCACGAAAATTCTGTAATATGGGGCGGTTAGTAGACTATTGATCGCGCGTCAAGTATCACGGCGGGATAGTATACTAGAGTTTCGGGTAGTATTCTTAGCTTAGGCGGTCCCGGTAGGGCTGAAATGATGGCTCACCCGCATCGGCGTCTCCAGGATGATTTCCAAGAAAACGAGAACGAGATCGCAATTATGTGCCCGATGGCTCCTACTTTGGGATATCGGACGTTGAAACAACGGCCCTCAACTGAGTTCGGCCAGTAGAAAGAACAGTAGCTCAGAATGGCAGCGGAACCTCCACGTTCGATCATGAATGCCGGAAGATCTTCATATTGTACACGGCTCACGAATTCCTGCCGATTGCCCGGTTATTGTGGGTATCCCGGCCGTATCGTGCTTTCGCATTGTCTTGTCGTGAACGTCACCACCCAAACATTCGCTTTCACCGCGACAACACTCTTGAAGATAACTAGTCAGAACGACAGCCGAAAACGTTCCCACAAGGACGGGTCTTCCTTCGGCTGAGAGGGAGCAACAGCAGCCCATCGAGTCAGATTCGCCCCTCGTTTTCGGATTCCCCGAGTTGAGAAGGAAGCAACCTCCCGATTTCATTCTAGAAGCACAATCCTACCCCGATTGAGTTTTGACGCAACGAACCTCACCAAGCCCTTAGTCATGGATAGAGTTCTCGGCGCCCCGGACAACAGAAGCCCGGCACCGCCGCTGGTGGTTGCCGGTGGTGGGGCCGGATGTCGAGGCCCGTGCGCACCCTGCTTGTTTGACGACATCCCATCACCGAGAGTGCAGGCAACGCGTCGAACCAAGCTATTTCGGTCGCGTCTTCTGTTGCCCTCGGTCGGCCGCGGGGAGCATCTCCCACAACACCCAACCAACTATTGCCCACCTCACCGGACGCCGGACGACGTCTCAATTCTTCAGCCACACGTGCCTCGAGTGTGCGCATTGAACGACTCATGCGGTGCTGATCTCAGCGCACCCTCATCGCGGTAGATTGAGCGCCGTCGCAACACCCTCAAAGTCTGCGACAGCTCGTCGCAACAAACACACACACATACCATGTCCTTCAACACACCCAACGCCCGCGGCGGCTCCTTCCTCGACGATGACGACCCCCTCTTCTCCTCCGCCATAATGGACACCACAACCCGCAACATCACGGCCTCCGCCCGCACACCCACCGCCCGCCTCCGCACCATCGACCCCCCCTCCTCCGCCTCCGCCCTCCAGACCCCCTCGAACCCCCCGCCCTTCCGCAGCTCCCTCCGCAGCTCCGCCTACCGGAACCCGGCCACGCCGGGCCTGTCGGCCTCCGTCCGGCGCAGCATGGCCGCCACGACGCCCCACGCCCGCGCCGCCTTCCGAACCCTCGACCAGCGCCGCGCCGCGGCCCTCACCCCCGGCGGCAAGAAGCGCAGGGAGAGCATCCGGCCCAGGAGAGAGTCTCTGCACGGCGTCCTGGGCCAGCTGAGCAGGCTGGTGAAACACGGCACCGAGCCGATCCCGTCGTCTTCCTCGCCTAGCGACGGGGGGAGAGACGGCACGACGTCGCGCCTGCCGATCAGGAACCGGAGGAGTATGTACGACGATGACGATGACGACGACGAGCTGCCTATCGACCGGCCCGAGTTGACGCTGCCGCTCGACGCCGACGACGACGACGATCTTGTCCCGCCTAGGTTGTCGGACATGAACGACGAGAACGCGACGATCGAGTTCCCCAGGCGTCAGGAGCAGCCTAGTCGGTACTCCATGGGTGGCGAGCGGTTGAGCGAGTTCAGGGGTCCCGTGGATTTCGGCGCGGATGATGACGATGACGAGGGTGGGTTCGACCCGGGCTTCGCGGACTTCGACGAGGATGGGAGGGAGAGACAGAGGAGCTTAGACAGGTGAGTTCTCCTTGATCTAAGCTAGGGGGCGTCAAGGCTGACTTTTCACAGAATCGAGGAAGACGTCGCGCGACGAGAGACGCTCGCGTCCGCGAGAGAGAGCGACTTCGGGTTCCAGGTGCCCACCGACGCGGACCAGACGACGTTCATGATGGCCGTCGAGGGGCAGAGCTCGCCGGCGCGGCCGCTGCCCGAGATGACGGACGAGCAGCCGTCGCTTAGGATCGAGCCGCTGCCCGCGCCGGTCGATTTCGACGACATGGGCCCGGCCTACGACCTTCGCAGCTCGAGCCCGGAGGACTACGGTCCGCCGCAGCACGACGACGTGATGGACCTCGCGGGGGCGGACGCGGACGCCACGGCCGAGGAGGAGGAAGACGCCACCGCGCACGCGGAGCAGAGGCCGCGCAAGACGTCCAAGAAGGGCTTGAAGCTGTCGAAATACGGCACCGAGTACCCCTCGCTCCCGCCCGCCGTCGTGAAGAGGCTGGCTGGGACGTTTGCCAAGGGGAGCGGGATCACCAAGACGAAGATCAGCCCCGAGGTCATGGAGGAGCTCCAGCGCGCTTCGGATTGGTTCTTTGAGCAGCTGGGAGACGACCTCGCGGCGTATGCGAAGCATGCCAAACGGAAAACCATTGACGAGAGCGATATGCTCACGCTCATGAGAAGGTGAGTTCTTCCCTCGTGTTTGTCTAAAGGGGCCCTAATCTTGGGTATCGACGATATTTCACGGATTGTACACAGTATGTGCCTCTAACATCTACTCTTACAGACAACGCCAGACCAACTCGACGACCACGCCCTTCTCCTTGGCGCAGAGACATTTACCCCGGGAGCTGTTGCAGGAGATGAGAATGCCCAAGCCGCCCAAGGTCGCGCAGCCGAAAAAGAAGCGCCGCGTGACCAGGGACGGCGAGGAGGAAGTCACTTGAAGTCGGATGAGGGGTGAACCACGCGGCTGCAGTATGACAGCCGGTTTCTACCAATGCTTATTCATGCGCACCCGCCGCGAAACGTCGGACGGGGGCTTCTTCACGACCATCCACAGCATGATTGATGTCGCGAACGCAAGGCCGTACCTATGATTAACGTCAGCATTACACCTAGGAAGAGACGGAAAGGGGAGGGGCAGGTGGGGAGGGGAACGTACCATGTGAAGATGTACTGGGCGTGGTTGTTACGCAGGTTCACCTCCGCAGCCCTGCCGATAGGAATACCCCTGGACTTGAGGTCCATAATACGGAAGAACTCGTGGTCTGCGAGACGTCAGCATCATGTACATTACAGATCATATCAGGGGACACCTGCGCGAAAGACGCAAGAAACGTACCCACAGTAGCCTCAATCCAAACCGGCTGGCTCCCCGTAAGCTCCGCCATCTGGTGCACGTCAGGGAAGAAGAACTCCCACCGATCCGGCCTGTTCTCCGGCGTGAACATGTTCTTCTTCCACGGCTCCCTCAACAGTCCCTCCACCGTGACCTCGCCCGTCGGCAACCCGTGCGGCCTCCTCCTCTGGTCCGCCATCTCCTTGCTGATCCACCCGCGGTTCACCAGCACCGTCGTGCCCTCGCCGCCCTCGCGCTCCAGCGGCGTGACCACCATGTAGCCCTGCTCGCCCTCCCACATGCGCGGGCCGATCAGCATCTCCTTGTCGTGGCGGAAGCGGCCGGTGGCGTAGACGCGGCGGTAGTCGAACTCGTGGACGGCCTCCGGGTCGATGCGCGGCGGGAGCGGGAGCGGGTCGCGGACGAGCCGGTCCTCGTATTTCGCGATCAGTCTCGTCTTCCAGTCCAGGCGCTGCACCTGCCACGTCCCGAGCGCGAAGGCCGTCACGGGGATGAGGGCGAGGAGGATCAGGCCGGGCCCGTGTCGGCGGCCGGTGCGGACGAGGTCCGGGGGGTTGTCGACGATGGAGTGGAAGTCGGGAGGGGGTTCGGAGGCGAGGGGGCGAGGGGTCGTGTGGAATGGGCGGGAGGTTGTATTGCAGGAGGAGAGGATGCGAGCTCGCGGTTGTGAGGTTGTTAAGCGGGCGATTGGGGCTAGGCGGGAGAGCTGTGTTGGGCAGCGCGGGGCCCTGAGGAGGGCTCGTGGTAATGGTGGTGGCATTGTGTGTGGTTCTTTTCTGCGATTCGCAGCTCCTGGCTGGGAATTGGTGGTTGGGAGGTAGCTTGTTCAAAAGCTCTCGCGAGCTGTCGGGGATCGGGAGGATGAGGTCAGGAACTGGCCGGCCGGCTTTTTTTTGGCGATCGGAAACCCCTGCAAGGTACCTGCTGCAGTGCGGGCGGCGGGAGGTTCGGTGGCGTAGCGTTCGATGTGGGGTTCCTCTCTTTGGGGGAAGGGACCATGCCGGATCGGATTGGCCCTGTCTCTCGCTCGCGCAAAGGGAGAACGACGACACCTGTCCCCTGTCACCAGTGAGCCTCTGATATCTCATCATCATCAACTGGAATTTGACGGTCTTGCTCTTCAGTCAGCTTTTTTCGATTGTTATTTAGGGGAATTGGGCTGCCGTGACGAACGGAAGCTTCCGAAGTTTAATTGCGATCAGAATCCGGCTGATTTGGTCCTCACTGCAGACCTTGTTTGCGTACTTCGACTTGCAACTTCACTCAACAGCAGAAGATCATAGTAGTTCGTCAAGGATCGCCATGTTCTTCACGGGAAGCCTGCAGGAGGGCATAGCCTCGGCGCTGCAGCAGAGTAAATGCGTCTTTTGCTTCGTGACGGGTAAGATTCATAATTTTGTCCGCAAACGCTCTGAGATACGGATCAACTGACACGACGGCAGACGAGCAGGAGGAGAGTCAGCGCTGGGAGACCGAGTACCTGACAGAAAGCTCCGTAAGTTGCCAACGTGAACTATTTAGTGGCCTTCAGTAAGAACTGACGCTTCATCAAGATCGCAACGCTCCTCCAAGACGAAGCAGTCGCTTTGCGCCTGAAGCAGGGCTCGGAGGAAGCCGGCTTCTTGGCCGCCATCTTCCCCCTGCCCAACACGCCCACCGTGGTCGTCATCAAGAACGGCGATTTGAAGGAGTACATCGTCGCCGGCACCATCAAGGACGAGTTCGTGAGGCGCATAACGACTGCTTTCCGCGGGGCCCAGGGCGAACCTGCGCAGGCGGAACCTGCTGCTGCAGCTCCTTCTACTCCAGCTCAAACTCCGGCCTCGGTTCCTGCGCCTGTCCCGACTCCGGCAGCTCAACCTACAGATGATCTGTACGATTTATACGATGAGACCCCATCGTCGATTCCTCCCCAGACGACCACCCCGCAGCCCCAGGTCAGGAACCAGGCCGCCGCCACCACAACTACCACCAGCTCCAGCTCCCGCAGCCCACCCACTCCAACTCAGGAGGACAACAGCTCCGCCTCCGTCCGCGCCGTTCTCGCCGAACGCGCCGCCCGTCTCGAAGCACAACGCGTCGAGAACGAGCGCAAGGCCAGGGAAGCCCGCGCCGCGCAGGCCGAGGCCGACAACTCCAAGCAGGCGGCCCAGACGCGGAGCCACAAGGAGGCGCTGAAGAAGGCCCGCCAGGAGGCCGCCGAGGAGAAGGCCCGGATCCTGAAGAAGATCGAGGACGACCGCGCCGAACGCCGCGCCAAGGCCGCCGAGCGCGCCGCCCTGAGGGAGTCGGAGTCCTCCGAGCCGAAGCTGGGCGACGTGGCCGCCGCGCTGACGAGGTCCGACTCGAGCTCCCTCGCCCCGGGCAGCTCCGGCTCGAGCGGGATGACGGCGCTGCAGGTGCGTCTCCTCGACGGGTCCACGATCCGCAGCCGGTTCCCCAGCGGCAAGAAGCTGGCGGACGTCAGGAGGTGGGTCGACGACGAGAGGACGGACGGGAGCAAGGAGCCCTACCACTTCAAGGTCGTGCTCGCGCCGCTGCCGAGCAGGCGCATCGACGACACGGAGGAGGACAAGAGCCTGGCGGAGCTGGAGCTGTCGCCGTCGTCGACGCTGCTGCTGGCGCCCGTCGGGGCGCACGCGAGCGCGTACGAGGGGGAGGGCGTGGGCGGCGCGCTGCTGACGTTCCTGATGATGCCGCTGTCGCTGCTGCAGTGGCTTTGGGGGCTGATCACGGGGGTGTTCTCGGGGCTCGGCAGGAGGGGCGAGGAGGACGCCGCGGAGCCGGTTACGGTGCGGGAGCAGCGGAAGGGGAGGTTCTCGCAGTTTGAGAACAAGGACGACCGGAGGAGGGACCAGCAGTTTTACAACGGCAATTCGGTGAGTTTGTCTCTTGGTTCTCGACATGGGAGCGCGGAGGTGCTAATCTTTTACAGACCAACTTCGAGCCACGGCCGGACGAGAAGAAGGATGAGTGATTGCATGTCATGGGGTCACTTTTGGAGAGAGAGGGGAAGTTTCATGGCGAGTGGGAATGTCATCTATTGTACACCTTAGGAGATGTAATATCCGTCCGAAAGCCCTCCCATTCGAACGCTTCCGCCAATGCAAATGCCGTGATGAATCGTGAAGCGTTCACGGTGTATGTTTTTTTCAAGCTATATCCTTTCCCGTCGGATACTTGCACATGTTGTTTTCCCACCGTTTCCCTTGTGATATTAAGTACATATAACATCCGATGTTACTCGGCCACCAAAGCTACGAGAACGCCCTGCTGCTGCTCGAGCAACAGAGACTGTCCGGCACCTCGGGAGTGAAGAAAGCGAAAAGCCTAGTACTGGCTGGCGGCGGCCTGGCAGGCCTTGAGCTGGTCGAGGTACCAGTTGCAGATCTGCATGTTGCCGCCTTGCTCGTCCATGCACTTGGTGAACTGCTGGGCGGCGCCGGCGCAGTTGTTGCCCCACTGCTGGGTGGTCGAGGACTCGGTGGCGGCGGCGACGGGGGAGACGGACTGCGCGGGGGCGGGGGCGGCCTCGGAGGAGCCGCCGCCTCCGAAGAGGCCGCCGATGGCGTGGCCGATGGAGGAACCGATCGCGACACCGCTGTTGGAGGGGAACGTGTGTTAGCTTCTTCTTTCTTTCGTTGGGGGGGTTGCGTGTCCGGGTCTGCCTGCGTCGTCTTGCGCGGAGGCTGGCCGGGAGGGAGGGGTCTTCGGGAGAGTAGGGACGTACGCAGCGGTGCTGGCCATCTGGCCCATCAGGCCGGGGCCCTGGGGAGCGGCGGCGGCGGGAGGGGCAGCGGCGGCCGGGGGAGGAGCGGCGTGCTGCTGGGGAGCGGCCATGGTGGTGGCCGGGCGAGACTGGACGGGGGCGGGCTTCGCGGCCGGGACGGTAGGGCGCGAGGGGGCGCGGCCGGCGGAACGTTGACGAGGCATCTTGGGCGGGTTGTGTGTGTTGGTGGTGTGTGTGAGGAGGTTGTGACGTGAGACGGTGGACGGTGGTGGAGGTTGAGGATTTGTAGATTTTTGGCGTGGATTGGGAGGGAAGTCGGCAGAAGTTATGCGCTCCCCCCGGGTAGATGAGTTGAGAGGGTGGTTTGGAGCTCGGCTTTTTTTCTGGGCTTCCGGCCGGGGTGGGTGGCGAGGTGTGGCCAATCAGCTGCGGGCGAATTCGGCGTGGTCACTGCTGATGGAGAAGGGGTCTTTTTTTCTTGATTGGTGGGTATTGAATTCGTCAGGGGTAAATGTTCGAGAAGGAATATCGTTGAAACGGGGGTCTTGAATGCAGGGTGGTATGAATGTGTAGAATGTGCTTTGCTCTGTCCTTGATTTCCGATGTATTAAGCAATGGTTCCGTTCTATGCTAAGGGTATAACTTTTCCTTCCCGATGAACAATGATTCCCGCCGCATTACGGGCTATCCATGATCGCCCGCGTGATCATAACGATAAGTCGCAGCGTTGCTCCGTCGTCGCGACTGCGCCGGCACAACTGCATATGCCATGCCTGACTCCCTATATCAGAGGTACAGCATATTTCTGTGCCCCATCCTTCCCAAGTTGATGCCAGGAATGCAGTGTAGCTCCGTGTTTGCGTGGATCCACCAAATGCCGGGTTCGCGCGTTTGTCGTAGCCAAATTCTTCTCCTTGCCAGTCTCAAGACTTGTTCTTGCCGGAGCTCTTCCTCCTCGAGTTCTTCTGCTTCTTCTCTGGGCCCGATGAGCTGGCGGATGGCGACTCGGGCGCGGGTCTCTTGGTCCTCTGCATGGAGTTGAGCAGCGCCTTAGCTCGCTCCTCGGCCAGCTTCTCCTCCAACTTCTTCTTCAAGTTCTTGTCATCACCCTGCGCTGTTCAGTACTCGCACGTTCAGCTGTTAGACACAGTCACTTACCAGATCCGCCTTCAAGATCCTCGTCGCCGCCTCTGTGTTGACGGTCATCGTCCGTTGAGCAGGCGTCTGCGCCTCCTCGACCTTCTTGATCTTGCCGAAGTACTGCTGCACGCGCTTGAGTTCTGTCATGACGTTGTGGCCTTTGACGTCCACATTTTGGAGACGGAGGGAAGCTGCGAGCGAGGTTAGAACCGTGACTTTGAAAGAGCCGAATTCACTGACAGAAAAGAAGAGACTCGATGGCGTAGGCGGTCAGCGCGAACATCTTTGCCTTGTCGAGAAGAGGCAGTTCGTTGGACATTTCGGTGAGGTCGGAGATAAGGGGCTGGAGAGCATCCTCGAGAGAGTCGATGCTGTTCTCGAGCTTGTCCAGCTCTGAGGTAATGTCCTTCATGGCCATTTTGACGCGTTATTCGATTCGACGAGAATGATGAGAGGGTAAATAAGATCGAGTGGAACAACCAAGCCGTAGAGGAAGAAAAGCCACGCGCTGATGAGATCTCGAATCTGATATGAGAGACCCTGGCGCCGATGAGATGGACGTTGAAAATTCAAAAATCCGTTCGTCGAGTGATTTGCATGCATCTAACGAGGTGCTAGGGGTCACTGCAAGCTCGGTGGGTCCTTCCTGCGAGCCGGGATTCCACGGCTGCGCTACGTACCTTTCCAAGCTTGCACGCGAGCCAAATTTTGTGACTGAGGAATGTCCCCGTCATCCACACCGTTGCCTCCTAACCACGACAAAGACCGCGCTCTCGAAAGGACGAATTGTCCCTGTATATAAAATCCGAACCCCTTCTCGACACATCCAACGACAGGCAGTGACTGGCTACACCGAACGGGATCGCGCATTGCATCGCCACCTTCCGAAACCGGCCGACAAAACTCGCGCAGTGAATGCGCCGAACCCGATAACACATTCATCGTGGCAGGCACTCTGGCAAGCATACCGAGACCGCGGCTCTCCTCGCGGATACTTAGGACACAGCCGACATGGAAGACAGGTAGCACAGGTGCTGGCCGGGTGGCTCAAAGATGCGTTTCGACCGACTCCTCGAGGACCGGCGGCGGCCGAGGAGATCCGCCGCATGGCATCGCCCCTGGGAAAGTGGCTCCCGGCGAGATGGCCGCTACAGTTCCAGGCGCTTCAACTTTAGGTCTGTCGGAGGAGAAGAAAGCAAGTTTCAACAAGGTACTGGGTCTGCTGCCCGAGCAGCACTCGAAAGAGCTGTACGCGATCTTCAAGGCGGATAAGCTGTCGAGGTTCTATGTGCCGGCGGTGATGATGGGACACGACTCGCCACCCCCGCCGTCTTCGAGGACGGTGCATATTCTCGGGAACGACCAAAAATCCAAATTCTTATCGCACGCGCTGCACGGGGTATACGACGCAGTAAATATGGTCGACATGCCTCCGAATACGCGCTACACAAACGTCACCGGCAATGTGGGATCGTCGAGGAGACGAGACGGAATATGGATCGAAAACAACCAGTCGATTAAAGAAGGCCCGGAATCAAAGGACGAGAACGGCCATATCAGTAATCTGGTGGTCGGAGGCCGGCCAGCTGAAGCGGTCAAGCTCCTCGAGAAGGTCAAGCACCGCGTCGACGACCGAACTGCGATCTGCTACATGCAAGACGGTTTGGGCATCGCTGAGAACATCAACAACAAGATCTTCACGGACGCGGCGAAGCGGCCGTCGATCGTGCTCGGGCATATGGGCTCGTTGGCGTACAACAGGGAAACGAACTCGGTCCGTGTGATGGATCCGGAGTTCACCACAGCGTTGACAGGCGTGCGACCGGCGACCTACGACCCGAGCAAGGATATCGCCTCCGACACGTGGTTACGGACACAGGGTATGCTGGGAAAGTTCGCGGCCTCCGACGTACTAAACGCTCAGGGCGTGTACCTCGAGAAGTGGATGATGGTCAAGATTCCCTCGCTGATGTTCTCGGCCGCTGTCGAGCCCATTTGCGTGATGTTGGACGCGCACTATAAAGACATCTTATACAACCCTACTGCTCACCGGCTCATTCAGCAGCTGCTCGTCGAAATCTCCGATGTTGTGGGGCTTATGAGCGAGACTAGAAAGGCACCGGGGCTGCAACGACTACTGCGAGGTGACGCCTTGATGAAGCAGATGATGGGTAAACTCAGGGGCAAAAAAGACTCCCCGAGCAGGATGTCGCTGCAGATTCAGCGTGGGTTGCTGACGGATATTGAATACTTGAACGGATACTTCATCACGAGGGGACGCAGGAAGGGTTTAGATATGCCGGCGAATCAGCTGGTTATGGATATGGTAAAGGCGAAGCACAAGTCGGTCTTGGAGAAGCATCGGTCATATATCCCGATGGAGGTCACTTCCAGGCGGCAGACTTGATAGCATGTTGGGTGCAAGGCTGGTATTGCATGAATTCATGGCGGTAAGCATTTGCATGACTTAACTAGAACTAGACAAAACGTACTACAATACCGATAATGAGAAGTGGTAACCCGTCATCCAATTCGGCACAATGCGAATGTCATCGATCGTTCGCTGGCGGTCAGACCACTTGGCCGGCCGTGAAATTTGTAAGGCGCCAGTGAGGTACTCCAGGTAACCCCGCCAAAAACTTGCCGTCAGGCAGGGTCGCCCCGCGTTTCCCTGTACCAAACATCAACACCATCACAAATTACGAAAATGGACGACTCCGAGCTTGACCAGGTACGCAGATGCGCGCGAAGTCGCTGCGAAAGAGACCCGACATCAGGACTGACCACGCGCACCACAGATCCGAAAGGCACGCCTCGAGCAGCTCAAGGCGCAAGGCGGCGGCGGGGCGGGAGGAAGCTCCCCAGGCGGCTCGAACCAGCAGAAGCAAGCCGAGCAGAGACAGTACGTCCATGCACTACGCACATCCCCTCTCTGTCCTTTCCAGCGATCACCCGAAGCTTCATTCGAGCTTGAATAACCCTGTATCAATGCTGACTCGATGCCCACCGCAGACAACAAGAAGCCGAAGCGAGACAGCAAATCCTCAACCAGATCCTCCACCCAGAGGCGGCGGACCGCCTCGGTCGCATCCGCCTCGTCAAGGAGCAGCGCGCCCAGGACGTCGAGAACAGGCTCATCATGCTCGCGCAGTCCGGACAGCTGCGCACCAAGGTCACGGAGGCCCAGCTCAAGGACCTCCTGACCGCGGTCGCCGAGAACAAGGAGGAGGAGAAGATCGTCGTCAACAGGCGCAAGGGTTGGGACGACGACGATGACGATTTGCTGGATTTGTGAAGGGTTTTTGTCGATCGCGAGAGGTGAAAAGTCTGAGTTGTGCGAGGAGGATTGGATCATGAGAGCACGCACATACGTCTTGCTCAAATCGTTGCCGTTATCGGCCCTCGAGCTATGTGTTTGAGGAGGTATCTGCTTTTGCAGAGAGAAATGGTGTGCCGGCGTTGGAACGGCGTTATTAGCATACTGCAACCGCAGATGAGTTTGCGTCCGACAGTTGGACGGGAACGAGTACTACACATAACCTACAATACGTTTACATGTCTGCCCGCACACTACATGTTCTTCAGCGCCTCCTTTGCCCTCTTCTTCTCCTCCCGCTCCTTCTTCCGAATAGTCCTCATATCAGGCGGCCTCTCGATGCCCAGCTCGGCCCTCAACTCGTCCACGTCCCGCTCGAACTGCTCCTCCCAGTAGACGTTGATCACCTCCTTGGCCCTCAACCCGTTCCTCACGGCCCACGGGCCGTAAATCTCCCTGAACCGCCTGCGCTCCCCCTCCTTCAGCGTGATGTAGCTGAACGTCGCCAGCCCCGTCATCGGGATCAGCGTGTTGGCGAACTCGAACGCCTTAAGCGCGACCTCGCCCTCCCTCACGACCGGCAGGCCCGTCAGCGCGTGGTAGAAGTCGTGGCACTCGCGGTACCGCTGCATGACGTACGCGCACTCCGCGTCGTCGATGTACCGCACCCGGCTCCTCGTGTCCGGGCTCACGCCCTCGGCGTCCAGCCAGCCGACGTACGCCCGCCCGACGCTGTTCTCCGGCAGCCGCCGCAGGCGCTCGAGGTCGAGTGTCTGCGAGGTCATGCGGGGCCGGTCGCGGAGGATGCGGCGGCCCGTCGGGTCCGCGAGCATGGCGTCGCGCAGGCGGTAGATGAAGTAGGGCGTCGCGGTGGCCTCGCCCACGGCGGCGATGAGGTCGGCGCGGTAGGGGGACAGGAGGGACCAGATGCCCGCGCCGAGGGCAAGGGCTCCGCGCTCGGTCCTGGTGAGGGGAACGTGGCCTTCGTAGTTTGGCGGCGGGCGGTTCAGGACGGAGAATGGGCGGGCGGAGCTCGAGGAGGAGGGCGTTGATGTGCAGGCGGCGCATAGGGCGGGGATGGCTCGCCGGCTTGGTGCCGTGGGCAGCGCGCGGAGGGCTTTCATGTCGATTGAGGCGCTTTCGAGCTTCCAGGCGTAGCGGCGGGGACCCGAAGAGTTGTCGGGGGAAGAATGGCTTGTTTTCGGAGCTCGTGGGAGCTATCAACTCAGCTTGGATGGTGGTGGTTCGATTGTCGGAATCACTTTTCGGGAGCTTGGGACCAGGGTCGATTACCTCACTGAGCGCCGTTCCGCCCCCGAGATTTTGGAAATCGGGTCGGACATCGGCGGGGTTTAGCACCGATCAGGTCGTGGGTTTTTGCTAGGGATGTCCAGAACCGGGAACATGGGAAACGTGATTGGTCCATGTCTTTTTTGACGGCAGCTCATCTCAACTTGAGTTCTTCCCGTCACTCAACCTTTCCCATTAACTAACTCACTTGATAAGTCTAAATGACTCGTTCTTAGACTTCATCTCAAGTACGTAACTCTTTGAAGAACAGCATTTCGAATATGTGCCATCAACATACCGGCATTCTCCACTCTAGCTGCGCACGCAATTGAAGCGTGTATTCATACACAGCTGTAATAGTTCATCGACCTCTCGCTTACACACAGGCATCTCTCATTCCACGACGGTTTCTCTCGATAGATATTTAAATCACAAAATCGACTTCAGATAAGCTCAATTTCATTCGGAGGAAGAGGCTTGCTCTATGATCTAGAGACGTTAGACCTGCAATTCTGATACACGAGAATAACTATTCACAACTCCCGGGCTTAGAGTCCGGACCGAACTCCCACAATGGACGCAATCGAGAACCTCCTAGCCTGGGCAAAGACCCAGGGCATCACAATAAACAACGTCGGCCCCAAAGCCCTCCCAGGCCGCGGCATAGGCATCGTCGCGACCTCACCCATCAAAGTAAGCCCCCTTCCCCCCCTCTCAAACCCGCTCATCGTCACCAACACCCCACAGAAAGACGACCCAATCCTCGACGTCCCGATCCCGTGCCTGAAAACGATCGCCACGGTCCCCAAATCCATAGCCCGCCTCTTCCCCAAAGACACCGCAGTCCACGCCCTCCTCGCAGCAGACATCGCCCTCGACTCCTCCCCCTCCTTCGGGACCTGGTCCGCCGTCTTCCCCACCCCGGAGGACATCTCCTCGTGCCCCCTGACCTGGCCGGCCCCCCTCGCCTCGCACCTCCCGCCGGCCGCCTCCTCGCTCCTGTCCGCCCAGCGCGAAAAGTTCGAGTCCCACTGGGCCCTCGCCTCCGCCGCCGCCCTCCCCGCCGATCTCGGGTACGAGGCCTACCGCCACGCCTGGCTCCTCGTCAACTCGCGCACCTTCTACCACGTCACCCCGCGCACGGCCAAGCGCGACAAGGAGGACCACATGATCCTCCAGCCCGTGGCCGACCTCCTTAATCACGCGTCGAGCGGCTGCGCCGTCGCCTTCGACAAGGAGTCCTTCACCATCCGCGCGGAGAGGGACTACGCGCCGGGCGAGGAGATACACATTTGCTACGGGCGGCACAGCAACGACTTCCTCCTGGTCGAGTACGGATTCGTGATGGGGGCCGGGGAGAATGAGTGGGACGAGGCGTGGCTCGACGACGCGGTCCTACCGAGGCTCGGGGCCGCGCACAGGAAGAGGCTTGAGGAGCGCGGGTTCCTGGGGAAGTATGTAGTCGACACGGAGACGGTGTGTTACCGTACGCAGGTGGCGTTGCGGACGCTGGTGTTGCCGGCGAGGAAGTGGTTGAGGTTCGTGGACGGTTTTGAGGATGGCGAGGCCGAGCAGGCTGAGGTTGATGGGATATTGCGCGAGATCCTAGCTGCGTATGACGAGGAGATCAGTGCAAAGATTGAACTGGTGAGCGGGTTGAGGGAAGGGGAAGAGGTCCAAAGACAGATGCTCGTGGCGCGGTGGAGACAGATACAGGAGCTCGTCCGCGGGGCTTTGCAGAAACTCAAGACATGATGAAGATGGGTAGAGATGGTTGAGTGAAATGATTGAACGCAGCCTCAGGAGTGTACATGATGCGAATCTTTTGAGAACAACTATAACGCCAGGCCCAGTTACGGGAGACCATCTCCACGCAACCGAAATTCTAATAGTACAATACAACCGAACCAGCGACACAGTAAGCATCTGAACGGGGACGTCTCATTCTATCCAGCCGTATTATATGCTGGGACCTGTACCCGATTCTCCGAAGCAAGACTCCATTATCTGCCGAGACTCCCCGTCCCATTAAGATCTCTGGCGCACCTCACCTGTGATGAATCAAGGCCTTCGTTTTCAGGATGCGCGACGTTTCGATCCGAAGCCTAGTTTCAGCGGGGACTCCTACTCCGGACGGGGCCGCTTCGCACCGTGAGGGTTGCCCCAGTCATTGCCTCCGCCCTGGTTTCCGCCGAAGAAGGCCGGGTTGAACTGCTGCGGCATGCCGTGGAATCCTGCTACCTGGTTAGTGAACAGTCACTGGCTATCAAAACACACAAGGAAGTGCAAACTGAAGAAAAAAAGAAGGAGACAAAGTCAGCTAGCGCCGAAGGTAACCAAGTCCCGAAGGTCCAGGAACACGACCAATGGTAGTAGTAGGTGTGAACACCAAGCCACTATCCTTCGTCCATTGTCCTATGTCCGTCGCGGGAACAGATTGAGGCTGGGTCTTCTGACGCTTTGCGTTTACAAGCGCGGTGTTATCAGGTTTGGCAACTTTGCTCTTGTGCCCGCTGGGCTGCTTGCGTTTCTCGGGTTGCCCGGGGTTGGGATAAGATGTTGAAGTTTGATGCTGTTGCTGAAATCCAAAGAAAAGGGGAGTCGTACCGGGCATACCACCGCCCATCATATTCATGTTGGGCATACCTCCCATGGGCATACCACCCATCGGGCCCATGCCCATTCCGCCCATCGGGTTGTTCATGCCGCCTCGGCCACCGCGCATTCCGGGACCGCCGCGCATGCCTCCGCCGAAGCCACCTCCGCGTTGGAAGCCGCCTCCACCAAAGTTTCCACCGCCCATACCGTTGTTAAATCCGCCGCCCATGTTGTTGTTGAACCCGCCTCCCATGCCGCCCGAGAAGTTACGGTTGAAGCCTCCCTGGTTCATGCCTCCACGAGGTCCGTTGAAGTTACCACGGCCGCGGTAGCCGCCACGGAATTCGCCGCCCATCGAGGAACCTTGGTTGTAGCCGCCGCGCTGGCTGCCTTGGTCCTTGCCCGCACGGTTCGGCGCGTCCTTGGGCAATGTGCGGAATGGGTTGACGTTGGGGTTTGAGTAAGTTACGTTGTGCTTCTTCGGCACACCGTTGACGCCGTCTGCCGACTCAATGACATGCTTGGCCGCCGTCGCTGCTTGTTGGGTGGTGAACTCCAAGTATACCTGCCTGCATTCGAGTCAGCAAACTCATGCTCCAGCCAAGACGATCTTAATGGACCTACCCCTTGCTCTTGCCGTTCACCTTATGTTCACTAAACGTAATGTCCTTGAGCTCGTCTTCGCAATGGGCCTCCTTGCACCATCCTCTGATGTCGTCATCGGTATTCCACCAGTTAAGGTCGGAGATCATGATGGCTGTTGTCGCGCCGGGGTCGACAGGCCGATCGTCGCCTTTTCTCTTGATGCCCTGCTGAGGGGCGGGCGCATCCTGCTGGTCATGGTTCTCGTTCTGGTCGTGGTATTCCTCCTGATTGTCATGCTTCTGCTCGTTGTGGTTGTCGGCGTGTCCGTTTGCCTGCAATGCGTCGTACTCGGCGCTGCCGTCCTGGTGATCCTGGGGCGCGTCGCCGTAGATATCGATCTCGAACTCCTCCTCGGCCATCTTTCCGGTAGTAATCTGGTAGCCGTGAGTTGAAATAGAGAGCTTGGTTGTGGTTGAAATAGGTTGTTATTAGTCTGCGAGATACAGGGACCGTCTGCAGTCTTTGAACATGATCATCAGCCGCTGCCATATACAGGGTCATTGCCAGAATCTAGAGCCAAAAAAGAACTCGAGCAAAAAACAGGACGGAGACAGAGAACAACTGATACGTACACTCCTCGTTCCGCAGATAGACAAGATTGGGAAGAGGTTGGATGAAAGCCCAAGCCAATGGTCCTCTCCCTTTCTTTCAGGTAAATGAAATCGAAGACGAAGCTCTGTGCCTCGGTCTTCCCTTGAAGGCGGGATGATTGGTCCTTCTTTCCTTGTTCGGCCCAGAAAGCCTTAGGTACAGGCAAAAGATGATGAAGTTGGACGAGGGAGAGGTGGAAACAGGATCCCGATATTCCAGAGTCTGTTTTCTCCTTCTACCACCGCTCTTGACCGTCGCTACCTCGCGCGCGTGCCTGTCCGTCCAGCGTGTGATCGGTGCTGTCAGCCGGGGCTGGTTAGTAAGTGATCGAGGGACGCCAACTAAGGTTTCCAGTCGAAGTCAGCAACCAAGAGCTTGCTTCGTTGGCAGTTCGGGGCGGGTGTTCGTGACAAGACGACGCGTCGAAATCGATGTGCTGATATGCTGTGTCGGGTTTGGCCAGCAAGGGATATTAGCTTGTGTGGATGCTAACGCGATGGAAGAAAGACTGGCGAGGGAGGAGGAGTGTTTGGAAAGAGAAGAAAACTGGGGAGGAGCTCCTGAAGAGCTGAGGTCGCATCCTGAACCAGGCGCGACCGGGCACCAGGCTGCGGCAGGCACAGACGCCGGACAGTGGATGCCAGGCCCAGAACAGCGTCCCCCAAAGCCCACCGGCGGGGGGAATCCAGGGGGCTCATCCACTGAAGGATGAACTCCACCCTTATCGGACTTAGATAAGCACACCTGCGGCGCGTGCATCGGGGGCCGGCGCATCGTTCCTCCACGCCTCCTTTATGGCAATCTGGCTTCCTGCCATTGCGGGAGCTTAGCCCGAAATTTCGAGGACTCTTGGTGACCTTTGGCGCGCTCAATTTAACACATCTCCCTTCGCCATCGACCTCTCGAATCTTCCACATATCCGACCTTGCACGTCTTAAACACTTGACGTCGCGCTTTCTTTTCATCCACTTCGTCGATTCCCTGTATTTCACGACCCATTGGGATTTCGTTGCGACTTTCGACCCTGCCAAAACCGCCTTTCGCCTTCTCTTCTATACCCACGCGCTTCAACCTATCCACACAATGGCCGACCAAGTCAAGGAGATCCTCGAGGTTCCCTCCGAGTTCGCTCAGGAAGGTGTTCAGTTCATGAGGAGGTGCACCAAGCGTACGTACACGATTGCAGTCGTCGTTAATGCTTTGCGCCATTGCTAACGTGTCCTCAGCCGACCAGACCGAGTTCCTCAAGCTCTGCCAGGCCGTTGGCGTCGGTTTCCTCATCATGGGCGCCGTCGGCTACATTGTCAAGCTGATCCACATCCCCGTCAACAACATCCTTGTCGGAGGCGCATAAACGGACAGAACACCGTCAAAACGGAAGCACCAGTAACACGGACCGGCTTCACGAACACACCAGCGCCAACGCGGTTTGGCCAAGATGAACACGTTATACGAAAGCAAGGGGTTCAAACGCATCGCACGGGCAGATTGCACATGAGCAACATCGACAGGCGAACGACGCACGCAGCGTCAGGAGATACCCCCGAACCCAGTGGCTTCATCGATCATGTATCATTGCCAAAAGAGGGGTGGACATTTGTGGAAGATGTACAAATAATTAAAATAATCCTCCTACGTTGTCTGATGCAGTGATTCTTCTCGAGCTTACATGTAGGTTCCGTTGCCGACTGGACGCAGCTTCTCGTCTACATTGCGACCCATTTCTGGGTCCGCCTCGTCTTCCTCCGCTTCGTTGTATGAGTGCAGAGTGCATGATCCGTGAGCCATGTTGAAGCCGTTCCATGCAGAAGCTATCAAGGTCAGTAGCCGAATCTCAGACGGCGGATCATAAGTACTTACCGACGAGTACTGGCGCATTGGGGTGCCAGCTTACGTCGCGCACGCACGTGTTCCAGTTTGACAACTCATCGCCATGGTAGATGCGATATCTGCGCTCGAGAGGTCGCGAGTTCTTCGTCGCCTTTCTTACGTCAATGGTACCAGCCAACGTGGCATCCAGGTTCCAGATGTAGACCTTTCCATCCTGACTGCCCGAGTAGACGTATCGAGAGTTGGTGCTGGACGGCGGCGAGAAGTGGCAGCGGATCAGTGTGCGCATCACCCGGTGGCCCCTGAAAGTGACTAGGGAGTTGTCATTGGGGTGAGGGTACCAGTCCTCGTCCCTGTATGTTCCCCACCTGTAGTCGAAGCCGCTGTGCCCAGTGTGCCTTGTGGGGTCGTCCTCGTCGAACTTGGACATCGACATGACCATTCTGAGATCCCATAGCTTCATGGTTTGGTCCTTTCCGTTGCTCAGAATATACCGACCGTCGCCTTTGCTGTCGATGTACGTCAAGCCCTCTACGTGACCGACGAATGCGCCTGCTGGCCGCCCGTCTCCCATGCTACGTCGGTCCCAGACCTTGATTGTGGCGTCGTCAGAGCCAGAGTACAGAATGTGCGGAGACGACTTGTCTGCGAAGCAGACTGCGTTTACGTCGTCCTCGTGGCCCAAAACGTTGTGAAGTACTCTTCGCGATTCGATGTCGTAAACAACAATGGATTGCGCGTTAGTACCGGCTATCAGCTCTCGGCCGTCACCGGAAAACCTGACGGACCAAATTCCGAAAGAATGCCGCGAGCGCCATCCGGCGTGTCTCAGCCCCCCGCCTTCGGCAAGGTCGAGTGTGTACGGATCTCCTGTGTCATTCGGGTCTGTAGGTGCGAGGCATACGTTGCTCTGGATCGACGTGTACGCGAGCCAACGATTGTCGGGGCTCAGGGATGCGTCGGTCAAGGTCCACTGACCAAAGGGATATTCAACCGTCTTGTAATACTTCCAATTGTACGGATTCGACGTGTCGTACATTCGAACTTTGAAGTCATGTCCACAGGAGTAAAAGAAGTTGCCGTCGTCGGAAAACTGCCCACAGTAGACAGGGTCGTCGTAGTGTACGATCATCTCCGGCTTCGTCGACGGGATCATGCCTTGAGCCATGAGATCCTGGTTTTGTTGTCGGTCACGGTGCTCGCCCAGTCCCAACTCGCGATCCAGAATCCTCCTGGCCAACTGTTTCTTCGTCACGCGATACCTATTTGCGCCGAACACACCGGAGTGCATGAGCTTCGTCCCTTCGTCGCTGGGTACCTTGGGAAAGTTGACTGGCTCTCTCCGACGTCGCCTCCTTCGCGCTCCTACGCCCCAAGCCAGGTCCTCGTCGTCATCTTCGTCGTCGTCTAGAGTGCTGCGGAGTGTGACATCGCCACTCTGGATCAGACTGAGCAGTTGAGCCCTCGTCAGGAATCCGTTTCCATTGCCTGCACCAGCTATCGTGCAATGTTAGCTGCGAACACGGAACACGCAGCGTATAAACAATGCGACTTACTGATTAGGGATACTATCCTCGAAATCGTGTTGTCGCCCCCGACTCCGCCAAAAGTTTCCTCCTCGTCGTCGTCGTCGTCTTCCGCATCCATCAGCACTTGAACTTCGACGTTGCCGTCACCACCGTCGTCGGCATCTGTTGAAATTAGGTCACGAATTCCCACAGCGAATGTCTATTCTGACGTACCGTGGTAGTCGCTATCATTGTCATCGTCTTCATCAGGCTCATCTTGGAAATCAGGGTCGAATTCGTCATCGTCCATATCAGCGACTTCTTCCGGGTCGAAAAATAACCTCCAGGTCGGCTCGCCGTCATCACTGGACGGGTCCATATTGGGGGGCGAAGGCGAGCGAGAGGCATCAAAGGGGTCCATTTCGAAGTATTAGAATTCACGGAAGTTCGGATTGAAGCTGACTGATACAACGGAGCTCGGACATGAGACTGCCGATGTGTGATGCGGGTTGGATGCGAGAGTGTCTGTGGTAGTTTCGCAGTCGTCCAGCGTGCAGAAAGGATCGTTATGTAGTAGTCAGACAGATGTTAGTGAAGAATAGTGGTGTGCGATGAGAAGTAGTGGTCCAGTCTACGTTTCACGGAGAGGCGGTCGTTCGTGACGACATCCATTGAGTCCCGGGGTAGGTGGGGCACTGGACTCGCCGGTCGGCGGAGATAAGATAGCGAAGCTGCTGTAAGCTCCGGCATTGAGTGCAACAGCTTAAGGTAGGTTGCCTGAGCTCAGGTCCTGCACCTCGGTACGTATCTACATAGTACGTATCTGCATCGTGGGCTGTTGGCTGTTTGGCCAAGCAAACCCTCGGAATTCTGTGTTGTAAGCTGTAAATCTGGGGTCAACTGGATGCAACCCGGTCCATTGCGCTCCATCCACTTGTCAGTGAACTGATTGGCATTTTTGATGGATGTGTCCCTGCTCATAAGATAGACAGGATTGTCTTGGGGTCTGCAGCCAACATCGACTTCATGATTTCTAGGACTGCTAGAGACCACTCCTCTATCCGAGCCCACTCTGTCTTCTATGAAGTTATCCGGCATAGCTTGATTGGAGGCCCCCCTGCGGCGGGAACACTGAATGATTCTCAACACAATGGCACGAATGGAACACTGCAGTGTGTGAACTCAGGGCGCACCGGGATCCGCCAAGTGAAGTCGCCCCTTGTGGGGCAAATTTAGGCCATCGGGACATGGGGGAGCCGCGGCGCGTCCTCCAAATGGCTCCCCCGTGGCCGTGCAGCAAAAAAGATACGTAACAATTTTAGAATCCGTCCAGTGGCTCAGCAGTCGCATTGGCAGCGTAAGGTAAATCAGAAACCATTTACCCTTCTCTTGCCCCTGGCAAGGACAGCAAACTTCCAGGTACATCGCCAAAACTCTCTTTCATATCCCACTCTACTGCCCCCTAAGTGCGAGGCACGATATCCCTCGAATCGAGTTCACCATGAGGCTGCGCACCCGACACTCTCCTCTGCTCCTGCTCCTCATCCCTGGTCTCGTGGCCGGTCTCGCCGTCGAAACCAAGGACAAGAATGGAGCCCAGGCAGTAGCCTCCAACGACAAGTCTGCTGATCCTGCTGTCGGCTCGACCATTAAGACACGATATGGCACCGAACACGCGCCCGTCGACGGCAAGGACGGCATGCCCCATCAAGGTCCGTGGGTTGACAAGAACGATGGAGACAAGAAGACCGCCGACACCGACTCCAAGAAGGGCTTACCTCCCTTGAAGGGACGTCCGTCGGACCCGACTGTCATCGACGGCCAGAAGATTCCAGAGACCAACGATGGTGTCATGGACGACAAGGCTCGCCAGAAGCCTAAAGAGGGAACCACCGGCACCGGGGGAGGCGTCAGCGAGAAGGACAAGGCACGCAAGGCCGAGGAGGGCAGGACAGGTGGAAAGGTTGATACCAGACCAGTAGCTCCCAAGGAGCAGCCTCCTCTGCCACACAGCGAGCATGAGAAGGTTTTGACCGATAAGGACTCTGGAAAGAAGGACACAAGCAAGGATAAGGATCACGACCACGATCGGTACACACCCGAACATGTCGCCGGGCTCGAGGTAAGTTTGCGACAGCTTGACTGTGATGCTAGACGCTGACGCCCCCCAGAAACCCGCAGATCTCCCCGACAAGCTCGACGACAAGCCTAACCCGATCCCCAACTCGGCGCACAAGGACCACCTGGACGTTACCAAGTCCAAGGGCAAGTCTTCCTCTTCATCCGAGGTCGACGAGGGCGTGATCCAGCCTTTCCACTCATTCGTTCTGTCCTTGACCATGATCCTGGTCTCCGAGGTTGGCGACAAGACTTTCCTTGTCGCGGCGCTTATGGCGATGAAGCACGACCGCATGGTGGTGTTCTCTGCTGCTTTTGGTGCGCTCTTGGTCATGACTATTCTCTCTGCGGTTCTCGGCCACGCGGTTCCGACGTTGATTCCTAAGCACATCACAAACTTCCTCGCGGCTGCTTTGTTCTTTGTCTTCGGCGCAAAGATGCTTCGCGAGGGTCTGGCCATGGATCCCAATGAAGGTGTTACCGCTGAGCTGCACGAGGTCGAACGAGAGCTCGCTGAGAAGGAGAAGGAGGGCAAGCGTCGTGGCTCTGCCGTGTCTCCCTATGCGCTGGAAATGGGTCTCAACGACAGGAAGTCTAGATCCAAGAGCCGCTTCCCCTCTCCCCCTCGCTCACCGTCCACCTCTCCGGCCCGAAGCCTGTCTCCTGGCCCAGGTGGCATCAAGGGCTCTCTCCAGGGTCTGAACAACCTCTTCTCCCTTCTCCTCAGCCCTGCTTGGGTCCAGACGTTCGTCATGACCTTCCTCGGCGAGTGGGGTGATCGCAGCCAGATCGCGACGATCGCCATGGCCGCCGGCCAGGATTACTGGTGGGTCATTCTCGGTGCGATGGTCGGCCACTGCGTCTGCACTGGTGCCGCAGTCATTGGCGGTCGTGCTATTGCAGGTCGTGTTTCCCTCAAAGTTGGTGAGTCATATGCTGTTATCCACAGAGAAGTCCCTCAGCTAACTTTCCTCAGTTACCGTCGGTGGCGCCGTTGCCTTCCTCATCTTCGGCTTCATCTACTTCGTTGAAGCGTTCTACGCATGATTCCTCGGGCTCTCGGTCCCGCGTTCTAAACTTCCTTCTTGTATAGAATACGCATTCTTCACGTCTCAACCTTGAACCCAGTGATGCCCGTCCGGCACACTCCACATTCGCTACATATCAATATTTTAATCAGAAAGCCCTTCGGATGATTTCTCCTCTTCGGCGCGGGAAAGGCACGAATCACATGGCTGAAAGATGACTACAAGAGGCGTCGAGCCTGTTTCATTGTTCTGGATCATACATACGTACGAAAGCAAACGGTAACGGGGAAACGGTATCTCTTTGGGAAACATGCTGGCGAAAGCGTTCGGTTTGCAATGGAAAGCACAAAAAGAGGGGTTGTAAGAGTCAAGTCATGTGTATAATAAGAAAGTCTCTGGCCATAAGGGCATAGGTTGGGAGTTATACGGAAGAGAGACACGAGGCCTAGGGTGGCCTGTCTCTGTACAATGTATTGGCGTTATCTGCACTGTTTTGATGAAGCCTCTCCTTCCACATGGATCTATCTCTTGACTTCGCAATCGTCACGTCCCTGCTGGTGGTTTTTGACGTGGGTTGATAGACATACCGTGTCGAACCGTATCACATATGTTGTTTCACTCCCAGCTTTTACTTCGTTTCGATGACATCAAAGTGAAGGATCTTTCAAGCCTCACACTACAACTAGCTTGCTTATTTAGTTCGAAGCCATGCTGCGCTAGGGTGGTAGTCAATTGATCCGGCTCTGATCAGAGCCCAACGGGCGAAAGCCTCTGTCTGACAAAGTCCTTTATTGCATCTCCACCTTTTTCTCATGAATGCAACTTGACATCCCGAACTTGAACTCTTCGTTTCTACCATCCACAACGTCGATCATAAACACGGAGAAACGGAACTAATACTTTGACGAATAAAACACTAGAACGATTGAGACTTAACCGTGCAGGCTGTGTTAGGAACCGACGGTCTCACGGCTCAACCCCGGTGGCTGCTCAAATTCACATCTGCTTGTATATCAAATCGACTCAACAAGTCCGAACTCACAGAACGACGCTCTCAACCGCCTTTCCACAACTCCAGCTCCCCGTCTCTGAATGCTCGGCAGAACCTGGTTCACGCCAGACATCTCCTTCCCGAAAGGCGGCACCCCGAAAACAACCCACTACAAAAAGGACCTCGCCGCCCGGCGGCCCGACGACCCCAGCCCCCGGCTCTGCGAGCGGTGCCAGGACTGGGACGTCCCCGAGTTCGCCGCGGGCCAAGGGTCAAAGGCGCACCGCAACCTGCCACTCGGCACGATCATCCGAAGCGCGGCGGAATGCCTGGTGTGCGAGGCCGTTGCCGAGGCCGTCGAGGCTCGCCGCCGGGAGTGCGAGTGGTTGAGGGACGCCTCCGCGGGGAGCGTGTTCGTCGTCGTGCAGGGGCCGTTTTTCTTGGACGCGGGGCTCGCGGGTGATCAGGAGGGACGGCTGCATCGGACCGTGGGCGAGGCGGAGGTCAGGTTGTTTTTGGAGTTGACGATTAGTGTCGTCTCCAGGGGAGACGAGAAGACTGGGGAAGTGGTGCCTTCGCCGTTTTTCGTGACGCCCCAGTTTCGAATGAGGTATTCTGGGAAAGACACGTTGCGACTGCAGGTCGTCGAGGAGTGGGAGGTTGATAGATTTGAGGTCAGCACGTTGAAAAGCTGGATTGAGGATTGTGAGAGACGACATTGCTACGGCAAACGCGGCGCGAGGCCGTGTCTTCCGGATCACAACTCGATATGTAAGTGCCATTCAATACATCACGACGAAGGCTGCAAGCTCTGACTATTCTTCAAGCTGAGCTGCCGAAAGGATTTCGGGTCATAGACGTAAAGTCCATGAGAATCGTCCAACCCGACAAGGCAGTGCGTTTCGTCGCGTTGAGCTACATGTGGGAAGCTACCGAAGGCACGGGACACACGCAGCTCGTGAGTTCGAACACGGAGGACCTCGGGGTCGAGGGCAGCCTCAACGCGATCAAACTCCCCCAAATCATCACGGACACGATATCGCTATGCAGGGACCTCGGGAAGGACTATCTCTGGGTGGACCGGCTGTGCATTATACAAGACGACGAGCGGTCCAAACCGGAGCAGATAGACGGCATGGACCGCATCTATCAATCTGCTACGTTCGCCATTATGGCGGCGTTGGATGATCGCAATGGAAAGGGCTTGCCGGGCTATCGGGAGCACCGCAGGCGGCCAAGGGCTTCGCTCTGGGGTCCGCCGAGGAATCGCAACAGTCGGCGGGGAATTGATCCCAATGGCGTCCAGGACATCGTCGACCCTTCGTTGTGGAACCGGAGGGGATGGACGTTCCAGGAGAGGCTGTTCACGAAACGGAGGTTCTTCATCACCGAGTATCAAGTCCTGTTCGAATGTTGCCGCGGTCAAGCTGCGGAGGAACTCACATGGAGCCTCTGCCCGGTCAAAGAGCCACCGGCCGTCATAGACAATGAGGATGATGACAAGGGAGACACAGAGAAGAACGAGGAAGAAGACGACGACGACAACGATGCACAACCCCCGCATCTCCAAGAATTCATGATCGACAGTGTCGAAACCGAACAAAAAGTCCACCGTCCCGGAACAGGCTTCTACCGGAAGCCGTCATACTACAAGCCCAGCACGATCAAACTCCAAGACCGCGTCACGCTGGCCGACTATTGCCACTGGGTGGAGGACTACACCTCTCGCCAGCTCTCGCACCCGGCCGACATCCTGAACGCCTTCGCGGGTGTAGCCAACGCCGTCAGGAAGGCCATGAAGACCGATACTATGTTTGGACTCCCGGCGGCGTGTCTGCCGCAGGCCCTCATGTGGAGTCACGTAGGCGCGTCCGCCCGCCGCGACGAGGCGCGATGGATCCCGAGCTGGAGCTGGGCCGGATGGGAGGGCACCGCGGGATACCGCTGGATACACGGGGAGGCGAGGCTGGTTGAGAGCAAGCTCGTCCGCGTCGCGACGCTCGTGTCGTTTCACTACCACGATCCCGCGGTCACGGGGCGCCTGAGAGCGGTAGGCGTGAGGGAGCGCTGGCTGGGCCTGGAGATGCGAAAGCTGAATATCCACGGGCCCGATAAGCTGCCGAGGCTGCAGCGGCGGATGAGCGGTGGCAAGATTAATATCCTAGAGGAGACGGACCGGCTGTACGAGGAGATGTGGCAGATGTGTCCGCATAGTCCGTGGGAATCGCTTGCGCGCGGGGAGCTTGATGAGAGGGCCGTAAAGGTTGCGAAGGATTTTCCTGGCTGCCTGGTCTTCAATACCACAGTAGCGTCTTTGAGAATCGGACGCGACCGGAGGTATTCGCAGACTCGAGAGCGACGCGCGTTTGAGGACGCCGAGATCTTGGACGTCATGGGCAGACGCGTCGGGTATCTGGATAAGATGGACATTCACTGGATTGCCGGGCGGAAGGGTCGAGGGGGCAGGCGGAGGCCGCTCGACTTCATCGTCATCAGTGCTTCGATGGAAGAGATTTCCAGCGAGAAGAATGAGTGGGCATTCGTCGAGGGGCAATTTCACGAGTTGTGGCGGTTCAACGTTATGCTGGTTGAGAGGCTGCCGTATGAGCCGTTCGTGGCGAGGCGCGTCGGGGTTGGGTTTGTGAGGGTCAGTCAGTGGAAGGAGTGTAATCCTCGGTGGGAGACGGTGGTTTTATGTTAGGTAATCTGAGAAAGATGAGAGATGTTCATCGATTGATGAAGACGAATGATTTTCACGGTAGTGCTCGACGTCAGGCGTTGCCCTCGGTTATCACGAGTGACTGGAGTCAACCAAATTGTTCACAATAGAAGACCAAAAAGCGTCGCAGGGAGTTCTGTTGAACGGATTGGTTTATGCACGACTAGATTGAACGTCTCAGTCATTTGAGTAAGAAACTCATCACTTATGCGCGAATGTTGTGAAGTGAGATGAGCTCCGAGCTCCGTTTTCAATCAGAATCGCATAGCTGACACTTCCTGCGCGTCGTTTTCATTTTAGGGCGATTGCGGCAGGGCTTCTAGGCATCAGCAGCGAGTTGAGTGACGTGGCCTCAGCTTACCGCAGCAACTGTCACTAACTCTTCATACTGCTGCCACATGACCATTCACGCAGCGTCGTTCTCATCGACGGGAACATTCTCTTCTTCATACCACTGCGCAGAAGCAATGAGATACAATGAAAAGAGGTGTCTTTCGACAGATATGCATCAAAAATTGCACCCACGATGGCCCCGAAGGACAATCGAGAGAGGTCGACTCCGCGATGTGCAATGCAGGCCTCCCTCTCTGCCAGCCGGATTTCTTGATCCCCAGCTGACTGAATAAGGTAAGTATGAAGAGAAAAGAAGTCTTGCGTTGAGAGAGGCGGGAGAAGGTGAGGTATTTATATTCCATCGTGAGGACACCCTGGGGGCATCCGAGAGCGAGTCAGCCCCGAACCACACGTGATGCAAACGCAGCTCAGGGCATGCATGGGTGTGCCGGAGAGGTGACTAAGTGGAGCTGGTCTCACTTGCTCATTTCCGTAGTCATACGCGTGTCTCGGCCGAGAATGAGAGTGAGTTCGGCTCAGCGGTGAGTGAGGCGTTCAGTGGCTTTGCGGTGACAACCTCTTTGAATGCTTATGACCTGATGGCTGCGAATGAGTCGATTATTCTGAATAACGACTATGAGTCAAAATGATTGTGGAAGACTCTGTTGCCACTGATATGTTGATCGAACATGGGGAGGGCGATTCGGGGTGAGGACACGCTCATGTTATGAGCCACACCTGCTTGAAAATGCAATCCCAGGGCCCAACATCATACTCTGTACGTGAGAAGGCCAATGTTGCAAACCGTCTTCCTCCCTTATGTCAAGTTCATGGCATTCATGTGATACATGGTTTTTCACTTGACCTCCACGAATTCTCGAAAGCGCTCAAGGCATCAGCGTCAGATGGCGTTTGAGCATCCTTGGCGCCATTGAGGTCGGGAAACCTCTATGGCGGTTCTCGATTGTTCTGCCAGCGTCATAATTCAACCAGGTAACGGAAACTTCTATTCTGTGGCCGGCCGTACTAAAGCTGGCTTGAACTTTACCAAGAAGATATTTTGCTTTCTCTCTGCGTGGCAAGTTTCCATTGACGGCGCAGAAAGGTTACACAAAAGGGTATGGGGGGCCCCGACGCCGGGTCCGGCCCCACAAGACCGGACCGGACCGGAAGTCAGGAGACTCCATGAGAGTGACTTACATGTGAAGGAGTATTCATCTTAGTCCTTCTTCTCAGAATCAGGTCAGAAAATGCCGCTCCAATCATGCCGTCATCTCACTGAGTGTCTCATTTTGCGCCCAAGAGATTAGAAAAACAGAGAAACAGGAAAAAGACTTCCGTGCCTGCCGCGCTGAGATTGGAGCGGTTGGCGTGATGTGCTTGAGGTAGCATACCTCCCATGAATGGATTTCAATCGTCATGAAGTGTAGTGCCATGCGTTGTACATTGAGGCTTGGTACGATTGGCTATCCTGAATCCCCATCTTAGACACTGAGCACTGTGGCAACTAACTCCTGCAGGAGTTGAGGTCATGCACCCCGTCGGCGGACGCACGTATTGGGTGATCGACCCGGCCAAGTCAATATGGGGTTTTAAACGCCGTGAAACATACCATCAACGCAAACGTTCAACCAATTGCAGTCCTTTCATTCTGTGGTCACTATGCGTTATCAATCGCGTTTCCTCTGATACGAGAGCTGCATGTCAGACTCTCATCAATACCACTTAACCTGCTTTTATTGCGTCTTCTCAACAACTCATCGATTTTGATGCTTCAACACGATGCCGGGCCAGACGTGCAGCCGGTATATCAATATGAGCTTGGTGATTCGTGAAGTTTCGCAGCGAGAATGCCGGACATCTTCCCGGATGTGGCTTCTCCTCATTATCGTGCGTTTTTAGGGTTGCGTTCTACGACATATCTGGATCTGGGCACTACAGGCATGCTGCACGCAATGCTGACTGCAGGATGCGCAGCGGTAGTTGGGTGATGATCACAACCGGTGTAAGCGCCGTGTAACATGAGTACAATCAACTACCAAAATCAGCAACGGAAACTATTCTATGGCAATTGGTGAGTCTATTCACCATCACTAAATGACACTGACTTTGAGGGGGCTATCTGAGTAGTCCTCCACTCTTGGTTGTGCAACATGAACATATTTAAGACACATCAAAAACCCTCATGACAGCTTGATTATTGATTTTGAATCATCATCCTCTTACTCATCACCATTGAGCACCGCAATGGAGGACTCATCGCTTTTGATCGGTTTCGTCGCAGCCATCTTTCTTGTTTTTCTTGTTGACAATCTTCTGCATTCGAGTAAGAATGCCCCGTCTCTTCCGCCCGGTCCCAAGGGCCTCCCCATCTTGGGGAACCTCTTGGATTTACCGAAGCCAACCGAGTTTGCCGCCCATTTCTGGGCCAAACACAAAGACCTATATGGTAAGTCTCAACTATCATGTAACACGTGTGCGTGTGGTATATGTGAGATATCCGACTTACAAACGGTTCCGATGTTTCAGGTCCCATCAGTTCTGTCAACATACTCTCGAAAACCGTGATCATCCTGAACGACCCGGAAACTGCCTTTGATCTTTTTGAAAGACGATCCGCCGAATTCTCATCCAGGCCAACCCAGGAATTTGCCGCAGATTTGTATGTAAGAGATGTCATCTGGCATAAGCCTTCTCAACTCTCACCCATTTCCATGTCCTTGCCACTTTGATTCCTTCTCTAATCTTGACCCAGTGTTGGATGGGGACCTGGGACCGGGCTGCTCAAGTACAATGATTCCCTCCGTTTCCAGCGCAAGGCCATGGCCCGCATCTTGGGAACGAAGTCGGCAGCCGCACAGTATAATGACTTACAAGAGGCTGAGGTGGCTCACTTCTTGATCCATGTTCTGAACAACCCAAAAGATCTCAAGGATCACATCAAAAGGTGAGTTGAATATGGAAGAAGAGAAAAATAAAGTAAATACTCACATGGATTACTACTAGGGAGGCTGGGGCGGTGATCCTGAAGCTGTCATATGGCTACAACACAGAGAAGTACGGGAGGGACCCTCTTCTCAGTATGATGAACCAGGCAATGGCAAATCTTACTTTCTCTATTGTTCCTGGGAACTTCCTGGTGGACAATTTCCCGATTCGTAAGTCCGCCTTGAGAAAAGTATTCTCCAATCTCGAACATCGTCTCATGCTTCGTAGTGCGCTATGTTCCTGAATGGTTTCCCGGAGCCGGGTGGAAGAAAACGGCAAAGAAATGGGCCAAAGAACTGAAGACCACCGTCGAGACACCATTCCAGTTCGTCCAAAATCAAATGGCCGAGGGAAAACACGAACCATCGTTCCTTTCACGAGCGCTTGAGAGTACCGAAGACGCACCTCAGGACGTCTTCAACTACAAGTGGACTGCGACGGGTCTCTTTGCTGCTGGATCAGATACTGTAAGTTCGCTGATTGAGAAAGAGGACTTGGCGAAGTGGCCACCAGATCACCAAACTGACAGCTCTTCAGACGGTAGCGGTTATTGCTGCCTTCTACCTGGCGATGGGTATGTTCCCTGACGTCCAGAAGAAGGCTCAGGCAGAGGTCGATGCCGTAGTTGGCAGCGAGCGGCTACCCGTAGCGAGCGACCGCAAGAACCTGCCCTATGTGGACGCCTTGGTTAAAGAAATGCTGCGCTGGCATGCGATTGTTCCCATGGGCCTCCCCCACTCCTGTTCAGAGGACACCGCATATAAGGGGTATCGAATTCCTAAAGATTCCATCTTGTTGCCGAACATCTGGTAAGTAATTCTTCTTCACCCACTCCTTCGCTCCTTTGTTTCAGGGGTAGAGACTCTAGGGCTATTAGTGACGGTTTACAGGTGGTTCACGCATGATCCCGCTGTCTACCCAGATCCCATGGAGGTTCGACCTGAACGCTTCCTGCAGGAGGGCAAGGAGCAGCCGCCTGATCCACGCCAGTTCGTCTTCGGTTTCGGCCGTCGGGTCTGCTCAGGCAGGCTACTAGCGGAGAATGCTTTATACCTCACCATTGCACAGTCCTTGGCTGTGTTTAACGTTACGAAGGCAGTTGTGGATGGAAAGGTCGTCGAGCTTAAGGCTGAATTTGAGCCATTGGCGGTGAGCCACCCAGTTGACTTCCAAGTGTCTGTGAAGCCTCGGTCGTCGCACCATGAGGAGTTGGTTCGGTCGATGGAGGCCAAATTCTCATGGCAGGAATCGAACGCGAAGGACTTGAATTTGGTAAGCGAATAGCAAAGCCTTGTCTTCTTACATTCAATGTTTCTCTTTTCTTTTCATCCCCCCCCCCCTCTCGAGCCAAGCCCACCCTGCGGAGCTCAGCTCGTCGGGATTGATACACTACTTTATCTTTACCAATAGTCACAACTTCATCATCATTTCTTATTCGAATGTAGTTTTCTACTCAAGAAGTAATCGGGTACAATTATTTTGAACTATTTGACAGTCGTGATTCTCAGAAGAACTATTGAAAAGCCCTGTCGAGTACACTACAGGCTGTTCAGTGCGATGATGAATTATATCATAACGCAACTCATATGGTATGACTCCTCCGTTATGTATAGCCCTCGCCACGGGACAAAACCAGGAGAAGTCTTGTTGCTCAGGTCGTAGTCGACCCAAGATTGCACGTTGACACTAAGTCGACTTTTGGTCCCGTTACTTTTCCTTAGTATCAACTTGCCCCGTCCCCAGCTTTGGTCATTTGCGAAAGCTTTCTTTCCAAGCTCTTTCATACCTTCCATGTTCCCCTCCATGGCTGCATCATAGATTGCCGCATTTTTTCCGTTCTGGGCTGCCAAGCAAAACCATCTTGCCCCATTCTCGTAAAACCCACATGCTAAAATGCATGATGCCCCTTCTGTGCCAAATTCAACAAAACACTCAAAGCCCGGCTGCCTTTTTGGTTCGAACGCGCGTTTTTGTAAGTTCCACATTGCCTCAGGTCTACCACTTCCAATCCAGAACCCGTCTGGAAATCTAATGAAGAGCGCAAATTTCTCATGCTCGGATCCGAGTCGCGGGTTTGTCAAGTATGCGGGACATTTTTTCTGGACGTGGAAAGTTTTCCCTTTCTTCGGCGTTCCTCTATTCAGGTATTCAAGTTCGTGAGCATTTGCTCGAACAAAAAGCCCTTCGCCTTGAATTTGGAGATGGATTCCAAGGGGACTTGCGCAGGTGTCTGAAGATCTTTTGCACTCGAGGCTGAGGAAGTACGTTTCGAGACCTATTAGGTTGGCGTCGGAGATGATGCTCAGACCTCTTTTGGTCATTGTGCACTAAAAGATGTTCTGTTAGCCTTCTAAGCAAGTTGAAACCTTGAATCAGGAGATTTGGTACCTCGGCATGGTCCTTAACATTACTAGTCCACACGAGATTTCTGGACGCCCTGAACTCATCCGGGGAGATGGCCAGAATCCCGCGATAACTTTCGTCTGCCGAGGGCGAAACCCATGCGAATAGGCTCAGATCGTTCGTTTCCTTGATGATCTCCTCTTGAAGCCGTGCAAAGGCCCTGCTACCTCCTTCTCCGTACTGAAGAGGCATGTACACGTCAAAGAGCCCTAAGAGACTGTAGGTGCGGTTTTCATCTCTGGTAGTCGTCCGCTCAAAGGCCCAAGACATCCGTACCGCTACGGGTATATCGGAGAGCTCCTCGTTAAGGCTTCTTCTGTCTGGTGAGTTTGAGGGCTGCCTGAGGAGAATGACTTCGCTGATACCAGTGCGACTGTTGATCATCTGGCAGAGCTCAGAACGGGTGCCTATCGGGGTCCATGACTTGTCGAAAAACAGCACTTGAGAGGATGCAATAAGCTCCTGCAACGTCCATCCCCGCGTGAACCATAAGGACTCATCCATAGCCTGACCAGGCCCTATATCTGATAGGTATGCAAAGCATAGTGTGGAAGAGGCATACCACTTAAACATTGAGTTGATCGCCTCAGTGAGCTCGGTGAAATCCTGCTTGTTGATGCAGCATGTGTCAGCCCACACATACTTAAAGCCTTTTTCTCTAGCGAGACAACATGTTTGCCGTATTTCATTCCATCCTTCCTTCTTTTCCATCATTTCCTGGTTGCCAATGTCTTGGTAGGCTGCTTCGTCATGTTCTCATCTATGAGAGAGGATAACATAAGATTGCGGGATTGAAGATCCGAAGAACTCCTCAATTTCGAGTGTAGAACAGTTGAGAAGCTTCATCGACGCGAGTGAACGGAGAACTCGAATTACCGTGTGTAGGCTACCTTGGGGACCAAGCATGAAGGATGCCAGCGCATTTATGTGAAAACATGCCGAGCCAGAACAGGAAGCAAACATGCAAGGTCTTGCATGAATTTGAATAAATGTGTACTCGTTGGGTATGGCGAGATATCAATGACCAGATTATAAGGGTGGCTGCATTGTATTGCGCGGCATATTGCATTTTTTGTATGAATTTGAAACTCAGCCAGTCAAGACAGTCGCTTCGATCGCCGTGACCCATGCCGTGTCCCGCCCTGCATAGGTCGCCAAGTCTTACACAGCATACGACCAAAAGGTTCAAGGGACTAGTCCACTACCAGCGGGTAGTCAACCCTAGCTTCTTGGTTTTTGGAATACGTTAGCAGATGAATGAGGTGGCGAACCAACTGAGCCGCCTGCAATATATGGCCATATCGCCGGTAAGATTCAGCTGTCATGTCTTATTCCTCCACCGGCGCAGGCAGTTACGCTACTCCACGGTTACTACTCCTGGTCGAATACTTCAGGGGTAACACCGGATATCAAGGAGAATACCAAAGCTAACAACAGAAAGGATAGGCATAGAGATAGCGAAAAGTATTTACAAGGGAAAAATAACCGCCAGTGCAAGTAGCTCGAGTCTTGCGCAAATAAAATCGTTACTGTAGCTCTGGCAAGAATGAAAGGAAACATTGATAAGAAAAAGCGAATTATGGAAGGAATGAAATTATGGTGGTATGAAGGTTCAAATGTATCGTTGAGGCACAGCGTGGTGCCTCGCTAGGATATTGATGATCCTACTAATTGCATCCGCAGCATGTACCAAGCGCGTAAACCCAGCCCCCGTCTGCTTGCATTCTCTACAAGAAACGGTTGCACGCTAAGATACCCTGTGCGACCTCATGTCTAACGTCACGTCCCTCTTGCCCTTGTTATCGTCACAATGCTGACCAAATGGGCCCGCAAGCTCCACATTCCCGGGACATCAGGCTCTCAGCAGCCGGAGTTCAGCTCACCATCATCGGTCCCGGAGGACAGACTCCCGGTCCTTCCTCATCCGCGCGTACGACCGATAACACCACCTCCATTAGCATCAAATGAGTCGTCATCGGCCGCCGTTGCAACCAGCCAATTTGGACTTTTTGAACGGATTCCCTTCGAAATTCGCCAGCAAATTCTCATTGAGGCTTTTGGGGAGCAGATAATACATGTTGATCTCGTCTACGGGCACCGTCGAAATGGGCAGCAAACAGGTGAAAACCATAAGCAGCATCGATTTCGCCGACCGCCGCGAAGTGGAAAGGAACTGGCCTCCGCACCGATGCTGCAGAAACTGAAGCCGAAGCGGTGGCTGTGGTACAGCTGCGTCTGCCATGCGAACTTGCCATCCAGAACAAACTCTTGGTCTCGATTTGCCGAGCCCTGTGATGATACCTGTGGATTGAGCGATGTAAACTTTTGTTGCGATGAGTGGCCTGGCGAAGCTCCTCATAAATGTTGCATTGGTATTCTAGGCTGGCTACTGACTTGCCGACAAGCGTAGGTTCTGGTTCTTCTAGGTCCCTACTATCTTATCTCTCCTTTTAACTGCTTGATTGCGTTTCTGATTCGTATTACAGTTATTCAGAGGGCGTGGACGTTCTGTGGGGGACCAATACATTCCGCGTGCAGGACATGGTTATTCTTCGGCACGCACATCGACTTTTCCTACCACATCGCTGGGCCAGCATTCGACGATTAGAGATTCAGTGTTTCTTCAGTCCGTACGGTTGGATGTTTCCCGCCACCACGCAGACCCCCGTCAATCCTCTACCGCCATACTGTCATCGAGAGCCCTTCCATGATCTCATGGATCATTTGCCGCTAGTACTCTGCAACCTGCAGACCCTCCACCTGTCCTTGAGGAGCACGACCAAAAGACGGTTCGCTGATAACTCGCTGTTTGACTTGGAAGAGTTGATGAAGCCTGTCGAGAGAATGCTGCGCCGGTTACCTCGCAGTATTCACGACTGTACAGTTGCGATTCCCAGCTCCCTTTATCGTCCCAGTCGCGACGAGGCTAAAAGGAATGGCAATCATGCCGTGGAACACTTTGTTCGGAGACAGAAGGAGAGACATTGGAGAGAGTTGTCGGGGCCAACGGAAGGATTGGAGGGTTATTGGATGCAGCTTGGAAAAACAGACTTCTCGCCCTTTTCGGTCTTGCAGACACCATGCTTCGGGGGCGGTTCCGATGAATCTTGGAGGGATCGAGTGGATGTTGAGGAAGAAGATCTCATACTGTATGGGCTGCACTGGCTATAAAAGATGATCAAATAGGAGTCGAGCAAGAAGTAACTCTCATTCTCCAGTTTACTTAGACATTGTAGGCTCGATAGATGGTAAACAATGGCCCGCTCACGCCAATGCAATACCAGCTGTCCAACCAGAGATTCCAGCAATCAGTACTAACCTCTGAATTCAACTCATAGAAGTAGTTGCGAGCGTGGATTGCTGACTCTGACTCCATGGCAGAAGAGTTGCAGTGGCTTGCTTGAGATCAGTTTCCATCTCGTTTAACAGCCCAGCAGCCGCCCCCCAGCTTGAGCGAAAAATAGAAACTGCGGCAACCAGACATGATGTTTGCTACCGACGCAAGCCCAGGCATTCCATAACAGCTGATGGCCATAATCCCCAACTGCTGGGTTCGTAGACAAACTAGACAAGTTGTCAGCATGAGTCGACCGAGGTGGTGGCTGAGAACATACATGTTACTCATCGCTAGGTTGCAAACGCGGGGCTGTTCTAAGATGTAGTCGCAGGTGTCTACCATTCATTTAATGGCAGTCGATACAGTCAACATGCTGCCCGGCTTCGGTCTTCTGTGGAGAAGATGCCGTGCGAGTCCGTCACTTAGGTGCAGCTAAATCAACCGCCGCCTTTAGCCCGCGCAAGATACGACAGAGGGTGAGTTAAGTGAACTATGTCTCTACAGGAAGCTAGCGTACAAGTAATCTAGTCTGAATCAGGCAATATATGAGCCCGGATCTGAAGAACTCGTGACGTAGGTATAGGTTTATCAGGTATCTGATTAAGCTGAGGTTGCTGAGGTTGCTGATTTGGTTTGAATGAAGCGATAGATTTTGCTTGAACCGCAGGTGGTTGGTTTGAGAATGTGGTGAACTGTGCTTGAGTCAAAGATGCTGGATTGATTCCGTTCTTGATGAGCATTTGCTGGGCCTGCACCACTCTGGTGTCCGATGAATAGTTGAGCGGTGGACCGGTTGGTGATGGACCGATTTGTGACGAATATAAACCAGTGGGCAAGCGTGATAGCTGTCCAGCTTTGCTGCCCGTAGTATTATTTGGGATAGTCCTATCAACTTCGACGGATCCAGAGCTTCTAGGAAGGAGATGGAGTCGAGAACGGACGAAATCCCCTGGAATACGGGTAGATTGATCGTTTGCTTGCGTGGTAGTGATATCTTCTGACTCCAAGTTTTGTCCCGCATAGGTGTCGTCCAACGACGGTCTCGACTCTGACAAAATGTTAACCCCTCTTCTTTGGGACAGTATTTTTTGGCCCTGAGTCTTGACGGAAACGTTGAAGTTCTTCTCGAATTCAGTGTTTGGATTGAGGACAGTACTCTTCTGAACCTGTTGCGGCGCCCCATGGCTCCGAGGAAAAGCGTGGTGTTGCTTACCTTCAGCCAGCTTCATCGCTTCGTTCTCGTCGTTCTCGTCTCCTCGTGCGTCCTGCTTTTTTCAACGGCGTAATTCTTGATCGAAAACCAACATTTGAGCCATTGCTGTCTCGTTGATGGCTTGAGTGCAGATTCCGGGGTCGGAAGAGGTCCGAAATACCATCAACTGATGATGATGGGTGGTTGCCTCTTGGAGCGTGCGGTGGCTTTTGGGAATTTTGCTGGAAGGAATTCGAGTTTTGGTTTGGGGACGACATTTTGACAACCCGGTGCGGAGTCTCTTGCAGTTTGATCCCCAAAGAGCTATGAAGGGAAAGCTGTGAAGGGCCAGGTTGTTTCGTTTTCTAGGTTAACAGTTGGTGAAGAAGATGGCTTGCAACGCGATGAATGTGTACTCGCTGGGGGTGGCGAGATGTCGAATAACGTCAGAGAATAAGGGCTGGCTATTACTGACGACGCAAGTTGTAGTGCAATCTTGACAGTAGCTGGCAAGATCTTTAATAGACCAGGAACCCTTCCTAAGGTCTCAGCTTTCAACCTTGATGATATGTAAGGTCATTCAGTAACGCCACCACGTACGCCTAGAAGCTTATTGGCACAGAGGCTTTTTCTTTCAGAACGTCAAATGTTAATGTGTACTTATTGGGTTCGAGACATCAAATAGAGTCATAAGGGTTGCTTTATTGTATTGAGCGGCGAATCGCAAGGATGGCCAACGCCCAAATGCACCAGCAGTGTTCAACTGTCAGCAGATTGTGTCAACAATTATCTATCCTCGGTTCGCCAGAAATGGTAGATGCTGGCCCGCTTATGTCAATATGATCAGCCCTTTGACCGCACTTTATTTGTAAACTCAGACAAGTAATTCAAGTAGTATTTTTGCCCGTCATTGAACCCTAATAATAGATACAGCTACTTAATTGATAGTGAGGCTAATTTCATAGGTGTCTATGCTAAGTTACTTATGCGAACACCTGAAGCGCTTTTGAAAATCCATTGGGCCCTGGCGGTTGATGTTAGCCCCCGGTTGGCTGTGATAATCCACTTTCTGAACCTGGCGCTTACGCCAAGCCTCTTGCCCTTCAGACTCCAGAGCCTGATTTTGCACTTTGCGCAGGTGTCCATATGACCCGCCTTCTCCCATCGTTTCCCCTCATCTCCCAGCCATCCATGAATCCCCAGTACCATCTCCAACAGCTCACGCTGCCTCATCCCGCCCTCAGACCGATTCCCCATGTCTCTACTCAAGACAGCACTTCGACCAAGTCACCATGGCATCCGAAAACTTGAAGTGTCTTGATAGCGCTGACTTCTACACCGTCGGCTGGATCGCCGCGCTCTCCATTGAACGAGCAGCAGCTGAGGCTATGCTTGACGAGGAACATGGAGCACCAAAGAACTTCCAACCTCCCCCAAATGACAGCAATTCATATACTTGGGGTCGCATAGGAGAGCATAATATCGTTATTGCGTCTTTGGAAGAGGGCGTTTATGGGATTGCCTCTGCTGCTGCCACCGCCTTACGAATGACTTCTACGCTACCTTCGATCCGAGTCGGGCTTCTAGTCGGTATTGGTGCCGGCATTCCACGGCCTGACGATGACGAGCTTGATGTACGTCTAGGGGACGTGGTAGTGAGCAAGCCGGACGGGACGACAGGTGGCGTTCTTCAGTACGACTTGGTAAAAGCCACGCCCGGTAATCGTCCCAAGCGGCATGGCTTCTTGGTCCCCCCGCCGCACGTCTTACTCAATGCTGTTTCCAAAATCCGATCAGTTCATGAGCGCAAGGGGTCTAAGGTCCCTTCGATCCTTGAACGTATGTTGAAAGAAAACCCTCTCATGGGGAAGCAAACCAAGAAAAAGCCCGGCTATATCCACCAAGGATTCGAGAACGACCGCCTCTTTCCGTCTTCTTACGAACACAATTCAGGCAAAGATTGCGCTTCCTGCGAAGCAACTAAAGAGATCGAACGCGAAGCACGGGACTCGCTAGACCCCGAAATCCATTATGGCGTTATTGCATCCGGCAGTACCCTCGTGAAGAACGGTGTGCTTCGCGATGAAATAGTGGCTGATGCAGGAGAAAATTGCCTTTGCCTTGAAATGGAAGCTGCGGGCCTAATGAACCACTTCCCGTGTATTGTTATCCGTGGAGTCTGTGACTACGCCGATTCTCACAAGAACGATCGTTGGCAGCGATACGCGTCTGCCACCGCCGCCGCGTACGCCAAGGAGCTCCTTGCTTACGTGCCGCTCGCAGGCGTTCAGGAAACTAAGCGCATGTCGGATGTTTTGAACTCGGGTTAGTTTGCCTCCCTGGTTTAGGTAGCAGTTGTACAAATGCGCGGGCGGTGACGTGCTTGGATAGAGAGAAGTAGCTAATTGTATTCAGTCGCACGAGTAACACTAGCTACAAAAGGGACACTCGACTCGCTTGCAACCGAATCTCATCGTGAGAAAATTCAAAAGTGGATAGCCGCTCCTGACCCCAATTCAAACGCCGGTCACGCCCGAGAGCTCCGCCATGATGGAACAGGCTCTTGGCTATTGGAAAACGAGACGTTCCAGGGCTGGGTGTCCGGGAAACACAAGCATCTATGGTTACGTGGGATGCCCGGAGCTGGCAAGACTATTCTGAGCACGACGATTATAGATTACCTCGCGAAGGTCAGCGACCAGCCCGTCTTAACCTTCTTCTTCGACTTTAGCGACACTGCTAAGCAAACCAAAAATGGCCTCTTGCGTTCGATCGCCCTTCAATTATTTCAAAAGGGACTCGATATCGAAGGACTTGTCAACGATTTATTTCGGCTGCGGCAAGATGAGAGCGACAAGTTGACGACACGTACACTTGAAGACCTTGTTCATGCCATCTTAGAACTGAGGAAAGGGGTTTTCATCGTTCTTGACGCCTTGGATGAGTCAAGCTCAAGAGTAGAGCTTCTGTCTTGGATCAAGACAATGTTCGAATTTGACCACGTCAGAATGATTTATACTAGCCGAGAAGTAGCCGAGCTCATACAAGGTGTTCCCAAACTGATTGGAGAGGATTGTTGTCTTTCCGTGGATCGAGAGGCAGTCGACGTCGACATATTTTCCTACGTAAAGGAAACTATTGAAAGCGATGTTCGTTTTACGAGCAAAAGACTGGACCAGCACGAAGATATCAAAGACGAGATCAATAACAAAGTTGGCAATGGGGCTCAGGGGATGTAAGTACTATATGCTATATGCGTATGGTGAAGTGCGTAAAGAGGTACATGTAGCTAATGTTGCTCACTAGGTTCAGATGGGCAGCTTGTCAACTCGACAGCCTTGCCAAATGCATGTCTCCTAGGCAAATCAGAGAAGAACTGGGCAGATTGCCGGGCGATCTATCCGAGACTTATGAAAGAATGCTCGAGAACATACCGAAAAGCTTCAGCAATAGCGCCGTCCAACTACTTCGATTTATTGTCCATGCGACACCACCGACGCTGCAACAGGCGATTGAGATTATTGCTACCAACATTGAGGAAGAGCCCCCGCATTTCTATATCGACTGCAGATTATTTGATAGCGCTGAATTCCTGCATCACTTTACAAGCTTGGTTTCAGTTGTCGAAGTCAGGTCTTACCGGAATGAAGCGACACAAGAGATACATCTTGCGCAGTTCTCAGTCAAAGAGTATCTGAAAGACCACCCCCGATTTAGATACAAGGATGCTAGCATTACAATCACGAAAACCTGCTTAGCCTATCTTACAGACATAAAAGGCCTCCGATGGAACCTTCAACAGAACTTTCCTATGGCAAGATATGCGTCTCTTGCCTGGTTTAAACATGCCCCGGTCGCAGAAGCATCAGAAGATGTTTCAGCAAGCATAGTCAAGTTCCTTCAGAACAGGAAGACGTTCCAAAGATGGAGCTACTGCTACCATGACTTCGAGGAAGAAGACCTCTGGGACAGCTATCACGAACTTCCTACTGGTCCTAGCCTTCGTTACGCCTGCTCTGGTGGACTCGCCGTGACCGCTAAGTCGATTTTACACCAAGGCGCGAATATAAATGCCGGAGGGGGTTCTCATCAGAACGCTCTCCAGGCAGCTATATATGGCCAGAATCTTGAAATCGTAAAGCTGCTTCTGGAAGATGACGATCTACACATTGACGCCGAAGATGGCACACTTCAAGAGGCGCTTCAATTGGCGTCCAGTCTCGGCAATATCGACATTGTACGGAGCCTCCTAGAGATGGGCGCAGAAGTGAACCCAGATGTATCACTATTCAAGACTTCGCCGTTACAGGCAGCTTGTGCCAGCAGCCACTGGGAAGTTGCGAAACTGCTTCTAGAGTACAACGCGGATCCCAATTTGCAAGGTGTCGAACGCGGAAGCGCCCTCTCCGCCGCCGCTAGGCGTGGAGACCTCGATATTGTACAACTCCTCCTCTCGAAGAGAGTCGATATCAACGCCTGCTACGATTTCCATGAGAACGCGCTCCAGGCTGCTGCCAACGGCGGCCACATCAAGATCGTGCAATTGCTGCTGCGGGAGGGAGCAGATGTCAACGTTCAATGTGGTCATTACGGGGATGCACTCAAGGCTGCGATTGTGTGCAGACACAACGATATTGTCAAACTGCTCCTTGATAAAGGGGCAGATGCCACAGCGAAGAAGGGGTTCTATGGGACTTCGCTACAAGCAGCGGTTTGTGGTAAGAACCAGGAGATTGTTGAATTACTCCTGGGCCTCGAATTGGATGTCAACGAAGAGGGAGGCGAATATGGAAGCGCCCTGCAAGCTGCATCCGAGAGGGGCTATGATGACATTGTGAGACTGCTACTCAGCCATGGTGCCAACGTCAACGCTAAAGGAGGCAAGTATGGAACTCCGCTATTGGCAGCATGTTACTGCGGCCACCGCAGCACTATGGACATTCTGATTGCATCAAACGCCGACGTCAGCACATTGCACATAGTCGACAACTACGTGCATCTCTTATCCATGGCATGCGAGGGCGACATTAACATGGAATTCTTCGACATCCTAGCAGAATTTGAAGTGAACTTCAACATACCTCAGAACACTCTGGATTATTTGCTAGAGACTGCATCTTTTTTCGGTACAGTTGAGACTGCACAGATTTTGCTTGATTTGGGCGCAGACGTCAATGCTCAAGGTTTCCAGGGTTATGACAGTTCTCTTTGTACGGCATGTGCAGAAGATAAACAAGACGTCATTCGGCTTTTGCTTCAATCAGGCGCGGATATCAATCTCGGTGGCGAATACAGCACTGCTCTTCGTTGTGCAGCTTCCAAGGGCCAAGAAGCCGTTGTAGAGATGCTGCTAGACTTGGGCGCTGATGTTGACGCGGAGGGTCCAGGGTCCGCCACCGCCCTCCTAGCCGCCTCAGCAAACGGACATAGTGGTGTTGTCCGGATACTTCTTGAGAATGGAGCTGGTATCAATCTTGTGGATGATTTAGGGCGGACGCCGCTATTTGTTGCATCATCAAGTGGGCAAGCTCGGGTAGTGAAGCTACTCTTAGGAAGAGGCGCGAGCCCCAACGATGCGTCTAGAGACTCATGGACTCCGCTATTTGTCGCGTCCCTCAACGGCCACCTCGAGGTACTAACCGCCCTTCTGGAGAATGGGGCTGAAATCTCGGCAACTACTGGAGACGGATGGACGCCGCTGCTGGTGGCATGTTCTTATGGACATGTTAAGATTGCCTCAAAACTCGTGGGCGTTGTTGGGGCGGATCCGGACCACAGGCATTTCAAGAGCAGTCGAACCGCCTTATTTTACGCCGCCGAGAATGGTCACGAATCTGTGGTGAAGCTACTGCTCGCAGATCTTCGTGTAAATCCCGATTCAGCGGATCACAATGGCAGGACGCCATTGTTCTTTGCTTCCAAAGAAGGACATGATGTCGTCGTCGGTATGCTCTTGGAAAGAAACACGCCGATCAATCTGTCGGATCGCTACGGCGCAACTCCTCTGTCATTTGCGGCCAGAAGAGGGCACATAAATGTTGTGAGGTCCCTCTTGGCGGCAGGTGCCAGGAGCGATTCTCGGGATCATTTCGGCCGAACACCACTTCTTTGGGCCAGACATCGTTCGCACGATGAAGTTGCTCAACTTCTACTCACAAAAAGTGGCCAACCGGACTTCATCCTGGACGATGCAATGGTAGTCAACACCAAACCGCACGTTCCATTTTCCCGAAGTTGTGCTGTCTGCACTTTCAGCATTGCCGAAGACTGTGGTTACTATTACTGCCCTCTTTGCTGTGGCGGGGATTTCGACATATGCGAAGATTGCTATGGGTTGGGAGCTCGCTGTCTTGAGCAATCGCACGAACTGGCTTTCCGCGCCTCCGGAGGAGTCGAGGACACGGACGACTGGTCGAGCAGTGAGAATTCTAGCGATGTACCTTACGGCTCGGGAGGTGATGCGGATTAGGCTTTCATCTAGTACAAGCAGTATAAGCAGAACGCGCAGATAAGTGTCACTTTGTCCTTACCTATCTGCATTGACGAGTTTCCATATCAATAAGCCGTGCATTCAAGACTCAACCTGCCGTCGGAGTCTCGGAACGAAAGAATCGCCAACGGCCTCAACTTCTCCATCTTGAGATCTAAGCCAATTTCGCAAACAAAACTCGGCGCCGACATACTGTATACAGAAATAATTCGTGGGGCCCAATCATTGTCGTTGCGTTTGAAGTCATCATGGGTGGAACGTTAGTGACGTCTGGCTATGGCAGTTATCCTGACAACAATATTAGATCGGTCGACTATTTAACCAACTCCGTGTTCATCTCTGGACTGCTGAATCGTTATCCACGACACAGGTTCAACCATCTCTAAGTTACAACGGATTACTTTCGTTCATCCTTCCAATGAATCTCACAGTACTTGACCACATTCGCCTTATTGCGGCCGTTACCCTGGGAATAACCATCCCAGCCACGGCGCAAGACACCAGCGTAAACATCATCCTCGACGACAAATATCGCACCATCGCCCCTCCAAACGATGACTTCCCCTACGACGCCAACCACGCCTCGGTAGTGTCCGTCATCCTGCTCATCCTCTCCCTCACCTTCGTGGGTATAAGCCTCAAGGAAAGCAAACGCTGGAACTCCACGGTCCCGGCAGCCCTCACCATCGGCGCGGCCTCGTGCATCCTCCCGGAGGCGATGGACAACTACCTGGCAAACTGCTACTGGGCCCAGTCCCACGACCCGAGGTTCCTGATGTTCACCTTCCTGGGCCGCGAGTTCGACATCTTTGTCGGCATCATCTGGTGGTCCTTCGGCGCCGTCCTCGGCTGCTGCATATTCGGGGCCCTCATGCGCGGCGTGTCGACGGGCACCCTCTGGAAGGGGCTGGCGCTCGCGGGCCTCTTCGACATCGTCCTCGAGGAGTGCCTGCTCAACTACGGCGGTCTCTACTTCTACTACGGACACCAACCGCTGGTGTTGATTGCCATGTTCCCCTGGTGGTGGCTTTTCTGCAACGTCTCGGCCATCTTCATGGGCATTGCCGTGACGTATCGCTACCGTGAGTGGTTCAACGGCTGGAGGAGCGTGTTTGTTCTGCCCATCCTGCCGTTCTGCTACATCGGGGCGTGGTCTCTGGCTGCGATGCCGACCGTTTACGCGGTCCAGGCCGACTATTCTCCCCTCGTCACCCAGGGTTGCGGCGTGCTCACCTGTTGCATCGCGTTGGTGCAGACCGGTGTCATGATGGATGTCATTCTGGGCAGAGATCCTCTGGATCTTGATTCTTGCTGCTGGGACGTCTCTTTTCAAGGTGCAAAGACTCTGGACAGCCGTAAAGTGCGTTGGAAATCATCCACTTAGTCAACCTGAGTTCGTGTTGGCTTTTGCGGACTGATGTACTTTGCCAAAATTTATCAACCTAGCAAACTAGAGAGATTTCTTCCCCAACTTGCAGAAGAACGTGCTTGCCATTTTGACCAATCAAAGCTCACCCTTGGGCAAAACACAGTTGACAAGCATGCTGAGAGTTATGCCGGTCGACTCTGCAACAAACCCGGCAAATATCTGCTTATAAAACCACATATCTCTCTTGCATAAACAACTGATTTGCTTCAGACTTTGTAGAACCTTGAGAGTCTCCCACGTCTTTGTCATTGCTGCGGGCAAAAGCGGGCAGCCCCCCACAGAAAGACGATTCTTCAGAGAAGACAACCTCCAATCGATTGGGCCAATTGCGTCAGTAGATCGTCAGGAACTGGATCTAGCGTTTGGGAAATGTTGGCGGACGGTGGAGTTTACGGAGCCGAAAAAGCGGACTCGGAATGTCATCGATTCACATTGCCACTGTCCAACCGTCCAAACGGTGGAAAACGCATCCCAAAAACTGGGGATAAGGCTCTCGGTGTAGATACCCTGCGATATCGGGTCCAGTGTAACCCCGCAGCCGGCAGCCGGCAACCCACCGACAGCCGCTAAGCCGATGGAACCACGCGGACGTCGGGGCTAAGGCCCCACTAACCTGACCGAGCTGACCGACGACGCGGACGTGTCGATGTTTCGTTGGGGGACGGCGCAACGAAAGGAGATAACGTGAGAGATCTTGGAGAAATCTAAGGTCAAGGTTAAGCGGGCATGATCTGCGAACTGCCAAACTTGCTTGTCCGATGAAGGGTCCTTATCCAGATTATTGGGTTCATGTGAGAGGATGCCGGAGTGGCTTTGTAAGACATGCGAATGCCCGCCGCATGTCACTGCCAAGAAAAACGTCCGAGGCCAAGGGGTCACGACATGGCCGTTATCGACGACGGCATCTGCTGTTGTTCCGTCGAAAACCAGAGTCTATGCTTCTACTACATGGCAAATCTGTCTGTCTTGCCAAGGGAAACGAAGCAGCTCCGGCCTTTACAGCCATCCCACGCGTACGTACGGATAAGGTCGAGTTTACGGGTGCTTAGCCCGTGGCCAAGAGGCTGGGCAACCAGCACGCCAGATGAGGCTGGAATGACAACTTTGACGAGATTCTGCATGTCTCGCCCGACTCTTGCTGACCCTGAGAGAGCAATTGGCTTTCAGGGAGAAGAAGACACGGCGTGGCGCGGGGACCCTGAAAGTTGATTTCGGTGAACCAGCCACATTTGGCGGGGTAATTAACTTATCCCACGTCCATATCCCACCATCACGAAAGACCACCACTTGGTTTGAACTCGTCGTCTGATTACGACAAGCACTCGTGGGCATCTTAAGCTTGTTTGTATCACACCAAGTCAGATCTGCTAGAGCACAGGCTCGAACACATGAGCGTTCGTCAGAGACTCCGAGCTTCCTTAGCTTACAAAACATCTTTCTCATTACCAATCCGTTCCCTACCGGTGTGCATACCACCACCACCACCACCAACGGGTGGATGCCGGAAGACCGAGCCGCGAAGTATTGCCAAAACCCAGCAAGCAAGACCCCACGACTCCATGGATCTCCCATGGGTCGTTTCGGTCGTCACGGTGTCAGCCATGCGTGGAGTCAGAGTCGCTTTTTTCCGCGGCTACGTCCACGCAGCGAAAATGGCATCTCCATTTCGGGACGGGAAGATGGAGTCTCTTACGGGCACTTATCGTGGCGATACATGACTTATGCCGCTACAGAGCAGCCAAAACCCGCGCCGCCAAGGGAGGTACATCTGCAAGGTAGCGATCACGTCATTTGAGCTAAACAGCCTCCATTTTTACCTTGGACAACGGTACCAGCGCAGCAACCACCAGCAACGCCGATTTGACGCCGGGCGAGCAAACAGTGACAATTTTTTCTCTCCTCTCTCTCTCTTGCGTAAAGGTACCGGAAAGGAAAGAGCCCGCATTTCGCATTGAGGAAATAAAAAGACGCCGTTGCGCCCTCATCGTTTCGTGCTCTTCCTCCTCTCCTCTCCCGGTTCTCTCTGTCTTCCTCGTGTCCTCATACCCAAATACCCCCTTCCCCGAAGTCGTCCTCGACTCTGTACCACTGCGACCAAGTCAATTGGTTGTTATTCTTTCTCTTCCGAGCTTTGCAGGAGCTTCGTCCAACCTCTAGCGTTCTCTGTTACAACTCAATTCGAGCAACCCCATCTTTCGTCACAATGGCCAACTCTCCCCACGGCGGCGTCCTCAAGGACCTCTTCGCGCGCGATGCGCCGCGTTCCGCTGAGCTGCTCGCCGAGTCCGAGAAGCTCCCGTCTCTCGTCCTGACTGAGCGTCACCTCTGCGATCTTGAGCTTCTGCTCAACGGTGGCTTCTCTCCCCTTGAAGGTTCGTTCGTGTTTACTGCTTGCCTGCATTCCTGTCGCGGAATTGGTGGGGTTGGTTGCTGCGGAACGGAGATGACCCCGCCATGAATTTTTTGGAGGGGCAGTCTTTTTTTGGCCCCGCGATTACGTTGGAGTCCCGTTGAAAAACAGTGGAACTGACCGAGGCATCACCACTTGCGCAGGTTTCATGACCGAGAAGGACTACAACGGCGTCGTCAAGAACAACCGTCTCGCCGATGGCAACCTTTTCTCCATGCCCATCACCCTCGATGTGTCCCAGAAGACCATCGATGAGCTCTCCATCAAGCCGGGTGCCCGCATCACCCTGCGCGACCTGAGAGACGACGCCAACCTGGCCATCCTCACCGTCGAGGATGTCTACAAGCCCGACAGGTAGGTTTTGGAAGAACATGGGATGAAGATGACGGAAGCTGACTGTGTTTCAAGAACTGTTGAGGCCATTGAGGTCTTCGGCAGCGACGATGACACCCACCCCGGTGTCAAGCACCTCTTCAACAACACCCAGGAGTTTTACGTCGGTGGTAAGCTCGAGGCCATCCAGCGCCTTGCCCACTACGACTTCCTCGACCTCAGATGTAAGTTCGAACTTTACCCAGAGCACCAGACGTCCGACTAACGACTCACGCAAAAGACACCCCCGCGGAGCTGAGACTTCACTTCGAGAAGCTCGGCTGGAACAAGGTCGTCGCCTTCCAGACCCGTAACCCCATGCACCGCGCCCACAGAGAGCTCACGGTCCGCGCCGCTCGCTCCCAACAAGCCAACGTCCTCATCCACCCGGTCGTCGGCATGACCAAGCCCGGCGACATCGACCACTTCACCCGCGTCCGAGTCTACAAGGCCCTCCTGCCCAGATACCCCAACGGCATGGCCGCCCTCGCCCTGCTGCCCCTCGCCATGCGCATGGGCGGCCCCCGCGAGGCCATCTGGCACGCCATCATCCGCAAGAACCACGGCGCCACCCACTTCATCGTCGGCCGCGACCACGCCGGCCCCGGCAAGAACAAGAACGGCAAGGACCACTACGGCCCCTACGACGCCCAGATCGCCGTCCAGAAGTACTCGGACGAGCTCGGCATCCAGATGGTCGAGTTCCAGGAGATGATCTACATCCCCGACCGCGACGAGTACCAGCCCGCCAACGAGATCGCCCCCGGCACCCACACCGCCAACATCTCCGGCACCGAGCTCCGCAACCGCCTCAAGACCGGCAAGGAGATCCCCGCCTGGTTCTCCTACCCCGAGGTCGTCAAGGTCCTCCGCGAGCAGAACCCCCTCCCCGCCCAGAAGGGCTTCACCATCTTCCTCACGGGCTACCAGAACTCCGGCAAGGACCAGATCGCCAAGGCGCTGCAGGTCACCCTGAACCAGGGCGGCGGCCGCTCCGTCTCGCTGCTCCTCGGCGAGACGGTGCGCCACGAGCTCTCGGCCGAGCTCGGCTTCAGCCGCGAGGACCGCAACAAGAACGTCGCGCGCATCGCCTTCGTCGCATCCGAGCTCACCCGCGCCGGCGCCGCCGTCATCGCGGCCCCGATCGCGCCCTACGAGGACGCCCGCAAGCAGGCGCGCGAGCTCGTCGAGAAGTCGGGCCCCTTCTTCCTCGTCCACGTCGCCACCCCGCTCGAGTTCGCCGAGAAGACGGACAAGCGCGGCGTCTACGCCAAGGCCCGCGCCGGCGAGATCAAGGGCTTCACCGGCGTCGACGACCCCTACGAGAACCCGGCCAAGCCCGACCTCGTCGTCGACGTCGAGAAGCAGACCGTCCGCTCCATCGTCCACCAGATCGTCCTGCTGCTCGAGAGCCAGGGCCTGCTCGACCGTTTGTAAATGCGTGCTGCGGCGGCGGCGGCGTGTTCGTTTGGCATAGCGTAGATGGATGGAAAGTATTTACACGGAGTTGTGATGAAAGAAACTTAACCGGGTTAGGAAATGTGTTTTTCGGAAAAAGCCGATGATTATTTTTACGTTTTTTTACTATTTATACACAAGACATGATATATGAAGCTATATCATGGATGGATATGGATATGGCCATGGCATTTGGCATAGATCTATGTCAAAAGACTTGGGGCGGTTAGACTCCCTTGGGATAGCTACAATGTTAGAAAAGACAAGGAAGATGAATTGACGAATGAACTGAAACGCTCGAGCTTTGGATGGACGGTGCTTTCTCCCTCTCTCTCTCAGCTGTCGCGATCGTATTCTGCTTCGCTTTCTCGATTTCCCGATCATCAGAAGAAGCCCGATCGGATTGACGAGTTCCAGCACGTGCAGACGGACGGACCCTTGCGAACCCTCCAACGGCCGAGCCCGACCGCATTGGTGGGTGCCACATCCCGCGCGAGGAGACCTGTCTTTTGGAAGGGTTGGTTGGAACTTTGGGGGCAGTCGCTCAACTGTGTTCGTTGTGTGTGATGTGTGAGTGGGAGGTGTGCTACTGCGGGAGTGGGGAGAGGGCCGTTGGGCGCTTAGCTTAACGCGGGTATTGGGCGGGAAGAGCGGTTTCTAGATTCTTGGTGCCCGACGTTGGCTCGGCGCATTTGCTGGCGGGTATCAACACATGTCGAGGTGGTATGGCATATGAGGTGGTGAGGGGTTAGTTAAACTAAGTAGGGCGTTATTTTGGGAAACGAGTTGAAGGTAGGTTCCGGTATGAGATCGGCATCGGCGTTGGTGCTGGTGGTTAGGCATTGTTCGATGGATGGTTTTAATGCTCACGGTGGCATTTGAATTCCATGAGGTATTTCAAGTGTTCCCTGAGTATCGAGAGGGTGAAATAATGATTGTTGGTCTGGTATAGGTGAACAATGTGTGACGGAGGTGTGCTTCGTGGAGGGCAAGTCAGGACGGGAGTATCAGGCGGATGCTACCCGCTGCGGAAACTATGCTGAGTTTGGACACGCCTCGAGTTACCTCGACGATGATGCTTGGAGTCAGTGAAGGACAGAACACGAGTTGTCTGACGGAGTACCAGGGCGGCGGTTCGATTCGCTCTGCTTGATTCGAGACATGGCATCACTCCATTGAATCTGAACGTCTCTCATCAGCTCGACAGGAACCAAGCTAGTGCCTAAGGTCGGGGCAGAACGTCTCATTTCACAGCAGAAACCGCGTGGAGTGATCACAAGTCCGGCTGCTTGATGATATGCGTCTGCGAAAGACTACGCAGTAAGGTAGAGCCCTGGAATCTAGAGTTCGGGTGTCATGCCGCGCCATGTTGGCAGCTCGGACGGTCTCACGGCCCCTTTCCGTTCTCCCCGGAGGCTTCTTCAGATCCAGCCAATGTTGTTGTTTGCTTGGATCGTTGCTTGCAACTTCCTTTGCTGCTCGCCACGCCGTCGGACGGCACACACAGGAATATCCGTCCAGTTGCCCAAGACGATGCACGTGTGAGGTGGTTCAGTGCCTGACTGACTGCTGGGCTGCCCTGAATACACAGGACAGAGGGAGACCTCGCGCCTAAAACGCGGGATTCAAAGTCGGATAATCAGTGCAGGTGTACTGAAGTACCTAGGTCCGAGCTTCTGGCAGTGTCCGCTGTGGGGCGCAAGGGACCTCAGCCTGGTGCCACGTCAGGCTTCTGGCCACTCACTCAATCGGTGCAAGTCTCCTGTCGTCTTCAATTGGTGAGATTTAGGTGAGGCAAAGAAGACGAGTGACTTCTGTTTGGTGAGGGAGTTGTGTCACCGCCCCGTCCCTCCAGCTTCCTTCCCTTCCACACGCCCCGCTCGCCCAGCCCACAACCACCTCACCCCCTTCACCCTTCTCGTCCTTCACAGTGACGCTTGTCCATTCTTGCCGGGCTTGCCCAGCCTGCCAGCCTACCATATCCGCCCCAAGCAGCGAACTGCTCCAACGCAGCAGAACTCAGGAGACAGGGGTTGGGTGCAAGAGGGCAGGAGGAAGGTCACACTCGTCAAATCGTCCTAACCGCCTGTCCATCTTTCGACTCTCTCTTCTCTCCTCACTCTTCGCTGTGTCGGTGACTTTCGCGCTCATTTCGTCACCTTTCGTCTCTTGCTGATTGCTGTCCATTTCTGAATTGCTACACCTCATTTTGCTACGGAAAACCAGCCACGAAGACGACCGTCGCTGACGAATCGAACCGAACCAACGATCACTCAAACAGGGGGGGTTGAAAAAAAGGTCACCACTATCCCCGGTTTTTGTCGACTGCCGAGTCGCCTCGCCTTTTTCTGATCGGTGAACCCCAGACCAGGTCCTGCCTGCCTCCTACCCGCCGTTCTTCACATCATCCAAAGCCCTGACATCGAAGACGGATCGCCCCCCGACGGGCCCAAAAACCTTCAAGCCCACCCTCAACTCTCACGACAAACAGCTTAATTGATTTTTCTTTGGCCAAAAACTCCCGACGACTGCCCAGCCAGCCGAGCCTCGGGGGCTCGCTTCCATGCTCCACCATGTCTTCCAAAGATCGTGACGTCGACGCCGTCGACGACCTTGACAGGCTTCGCGAGAAGAAGACCTCCCGCAGCAAGTCGGAGCGCAGCCTCAGGTCTGACAAGGATCGCTCTCACCGCGTGAGCTCGCGCTCTTCCAAATCCAAGCTCGACGGCAGCGGCCTCGGTAGCGATACCCACTCCCACTCTCACCGCCGCCACCGTACCCGCGAAGAAAAGGACCGCGACCGCGAACGAGATAGAGACCGAGACCGAGACCGCGGCCACGATCGCTCCTCCTCCATGACCGACCTCGTCCCCGAGTTCGCGAGGACCTCCCTCACCGGCCCTGCCTCTACCGACCGCGTCTCGATGCCTTACCCGACCTTCAGCAAGGCCCACAGCAAGGAGGCCGTCCGCAGCAAAGACGACGTATCTGCCTCTGCCGCCGGCGCAAAGATGAAGGACCCCTTCACCCCCGAGGCGACAGACCTGGGACAGAGCGATGTCCACCGCTCCAAGAGCGTCAATGACTCCGAAAAGCGCAAGGTCTCGTCAAAGGAGTCGAGGCCGCCGAGTCCTCCCGAGACTGACCTGTCAGACAAGAGACGATCTGAGACACCCGAGTCGTCGAAGAAGGAGAGAGAGGAGCGGTCGAGTTCGAGATTGAGTGGTGACAAAAAGGACAGAGGCAGCAGGCCCAGCTCGCGACTGAGCGGCCTTTCCAGGTCGGGTTCCAGAGCCGACGAGAGATCCCGAGTGAGCTTCAAGTCCAAGACTAGCAGTCAGGCGACGTACGTGAAGTCGCCGGCTTTCCCGCCCGGTGTACAGGAGAGCCTCAACATCAAGCCCACCGCTTCCAGGTCCTCCTCGAAACGAAGCTCATCAAGTAAGAAGAGCAGACGATTGGACACCCAAGATGGTGACTCGTCGCCCGAGAGCGTCCAGGACTCATCCCCAAAGACCCCGACAGCCTCGCAGCCCCCGAACTACCCTCCGCCACTGCCCCCATTCCAGAAGCCTCAGCCTGGACTCGCACAAGTATATGCCGACGAGATTACTCCTTCTGGCACACCTGCTACTGACTTTGGCGGTGCTCCTCCGCCTCCGCCACCACCGCCGCCTTTGGATGTTCAGGAAGCGCCCAGAGTCGACTACCTCTTGCAAAACGGCGGATTGCTTCAACCTTTGCCCAAGAACTTCCTCGCGGTCCTTCCCCGACAGAACGGGGCTCGGCCATCTAACCCTCCTCTGGTGGGCGCGCAGACACTGTTTGCGCCTTTCTTCAATCTTTTGGATCAGTACAATTCGGTTCTTAGCAGAAACGGCTCAGTGGCTGTCGCGACTGGCCATCGATCGGTCGCCCGCAGACTGCTCGACCGTCTCGAGAACGTATTTTCCCGAGAGCTTCCCGAATACGGCTGCACATGTCTCGTCTGCGAGAGAGGCCCTGATATCCAGCACCGGGGCTTGGGCTGGGGAGAAGTCCTCGAGTGGGTTAGCGGCCGCATCGAGCTTCCACAATGGCCCCCCTTCGACCTGGCCAGCCTGGGCTCCAACGCCGCGGACACCGCAGCAGACCTGCCCCCTCGGCCAGACTCGCCCATCAAGATCGATCCTGATATTGCTGAAGAGTTCCGCGAGCACTACCTCCAACGATCTAAGAAGGTCAGAGGAGCGGTAGACAAGTGGCTGAACAACTGCGGCGACTCGACCGCGCCGACGCCGCAGGACGTCGATGACGACACCCTTACCTTCGCCATGCTCACAAACTTGGACCCCGAAGACCAACCATACTTTAATGCCATTCTCACCGGCTCCAACCACCTCAAGCCGACTACAAGAGCCCCGACACCTTCTCACCGTGCTCGCCCCGACTTCATCATCAAGGCTGGTCTGTCGCTGCAGCGCCTGTACCGCCTGCAGCAGGTTCCTCGGGATGCCGAGGTCGCGATGTGGCTCGTCAAGAACCCCCACACCCACGATCTCATCGTCACCATGTCCGATATCAACACCCAGGAATGGGAAATCCTGACGTCGGGAAGATTCGATGGCTTCCTCTGGTCCGGCGCCGATGCCGACGACGCCACCCCGACGGCCGAGTCTCGTGGCGCTACTCCCGCGAGCAACTTCTTCCCGTCCAGGCCATCTACAGGAGGCCCCATGTCGCGGAACGCGACTCCCTACTCTCGCGGCACCACGCCGGCTTCGTTTGTGAGCGGAGCGTCATCTGCGGCGAACCGCCAAGCTGTATCCCGCGACGAAGAGATGGAGATGGCCGTCCTGGCCGAGGTGGAGCGTGAGATTTACCAGGGCATGGAGGTGTTGGAGGATGCTTTCGAGGCACTTCACCTCAGGGCAGAGGTGGTCCGTACAGCTCTGCGCAACAGAGGGGCCGGTCTTGCCCACAGCCTGCAGAGCCGTCGTCGCATCGACGTACTCCCCGGGTCCGGAAACTCGCAGTCCTCGGACTACGAGCGCCCCAGATGGGCCCAGGACGGCTACGACAACAGCGACGACGACTGGATGGGCGAGGAGTTCGAGCTGGCCCCCGACGATTCGGCCAGCAACATCAGCAGCTCACGACACAGACGGCCGAAGCGCCGCACGGAGAGACGGACACCAGCCCCGATTGAGGAAGACGATGAGGAAAACTGAACTCGAGAAAGAAATGAAAAATGCGCTTGTCATGGTCTGATGGTTTCGATGTAATGGGGGGTTTTATGAAAGCTGCATGTGCGGGATATCATGAATTGATGAGTTGGGAAATGTTGGGATATGAACGGTTGATTGGAGAAGATGGCCAACTTCACGCAAACGTCATCCGGAGGAGGGGAACCTTTTTTCCATCGAGCATTCCGCATGTCCATTGTTTGTTCTGGCATTGATGGCGGGATTGGGATGACATTTTGCATGAATCGAGATGTGGACGAAGCGGACGAGCTTTGGATTTTTTTTCCCCCGACTGGATTTTTTCTTGCTCACTCCCCTCCCTCCTTCCTCGTTCGTTGCTGGGCTCGGCTCTTGCCGGGTTTAGTATCCGTTGCATCATCTTGGAGTTCTAGGTTTTTCGTATGCCCCCCGTGGGCCGGTCTCTTGTGTGTGGTTTTTCGAATTTGAGAGCTTGAAGACGAGTGCTCGTCTCTATTTCATGACTACAATCGGCACTCCGCCTCGTGATGTGTGCCCTGGTGTGAGAGCTTGGGTCGGATTGACTGTGATGCTGGATGTAGGTTTTCCCATGGTCAGCAATACTCCCCACGTTATTAGTTCATCAGATATCACGACCTCATGGCAAGCTGTATGGAGATCCTTTATAGAACCAAGTAAATTGAGGAATCAAACCGCTCTGCGATGATGTCTAGGTACACAGTCCGCAACCCCCTCGTTCCGTCCCGTTCTCTGCGCCATGAAAGCTGTTAGCCAATGACGGGCATCCAGAATACTGCGCGCCCCTTTCCGTACCATCCAACGCTGGCTGTAACTGTCGAAGTTCAAAGTTTGTGTAAGTATGTTTTGTGCTGCAAATATGTTTGATTGTGATTTCTTTAGGCTGTCTTTTGTTCAAATCCTGTTGTCTGGCGTTTTGTGTTTTGTTTCTCGTTTGTAAATGTTTGTTTTGAGATGTGAAGTCTAACCCTTGAGGTAGTAAGTCGCTGAAGATGATGGATATGGAGGCCCAACTTTCAGGTGGGTGAAGATAGCCCGTCACGTAAGCCCTTCCCTCCACTTCCTCAACAACGCGTCGAACTCCTCCCGCGCCATCCTATCCTCCTCCTCGGCCCTCTCAAGGTCGCTGGTCGCTTTCTTCAAGATCTCAGTCGCGTCCCTCAAGTTGCGGCTCGCTTTGCCCAGGACGCCGGACGTCGTCTCGATTCTCTCGGCGGCTCGTCGGAAGTCGTCTGCTGCTCGACGACGATCGTCCTCGCGACGCTTCTCGTCTTCGCGCTGGCGTCTCTGTGCGTCGAGGGCGGCTGCGATGGAGGCGGCTGCGTTTTGGAGGGTCAGGTCGACGTCGCCTAGCACGGTGATGACTCTTGTCTGTTCGGTACTCTCGGGATTTGGGCTTGTTTTGATGGGAGGGGATGGAGGGGTGCTGGTTTGGGGTTTGTGGGTTCTTTGTAGGGCTGCTGGCAGTGGGACGTTGAGGTTAGCGGGGGTTCTGGCTGGTTTGGTGATGTTTGAAGGAGTCGCGAAAGGCTTTGGCGTGCTCTCTGTCCTGTGTGAATTGGTGCTGGGTGTGAGAAGTTGAGTTCGGGAGGGTTGTCCGACGTTGGTTCGGTGCTCAGAAGCGAAGCTGCGAAAGCACTCGCCAGAGAGTTGCGCCACGTATAGTCCTCCGAGATCTGGTTTGAGCCGGACATAAACGGGTGAATAGGTGCTCCGTTGCTTCTCGCAGCTTCCTTCGAGCGTGAGGCTGACATGGCCTGCGTCATTTGGCGCCGCCAGGAGGGACTCTCGCGGCAGGAGACTGCACCACCAGGTGAAGGAGAGAAGGAGTTGCTTGATTCTCTGATTGAAAGAGTCTTACTGAGGTTGTTCTCTGGAGAAGTCAGTGGGGAGACGCTCAGGGGTTTCGTCGTTGAGGAATGCGCGGTCGGTCCCGGAGTTGGTTTGAACCGCTTTGGCTCTGGAGATGATTCCTCCTCTTTCACAAGGGGTCGCTTCAGCTTGTTGCCGGAAGTCGGCTCTTCCGAAGTGCTTTCCCGCCTTTCGTCAGATGTGGTTTTCGATGCTCGCTTCTCAATATCGGATTTCATTGCTTGCTGTATACTCCGCAGTCTGTCACGTTCAGGTGTTGTCTCTTCTTCATCATCAGATAGGGAAGGACTCGACCCCGTTTCCTGCACGGCTTGCAACTTCTTCTGTTCTGGCGTCAAGCTCGGATCGCAGCATTTGATGGCGTCCCAACCGGCGTTCGCCAACAATTCGCGAAGCTTTATGGGAAACTCGGAGTCGTTGAGCTGACTGATGATCCTGACAGCTTCACACGCACCCGCTGGAGGCACTTCGCGATGCAGGGCAACGTACTTTGGCCCAAATTGCAGCTTGAGGAAGTTGTAGGGCGGTTGACGATCGATCCTTCTTGGCTTGTTTCTCAAGCCGCTCCACTCAATGTCGTCGATGTAGGAGTTCAGTCGTGAGTCCTCGTACGGGTAAGATGCGAACGCTGGGTTCTTTTGGGCTCGAGCATCTTTCTTCCACTTCTCTGGACCGATGAGCTTCGTCGGTGAGCATGTGCTTTCGCCATTTGTATTGAACAGCCCCAGCTGCCCGAATTGGTGGCTCAGAAGAAGGCCGTCCGGCCCTTCAGGTTGTGCGGTGCTGTGTTGTTCATCATCCTCGGAAGCCGATTGCTCCGACTGCTCCGTCGTGTTCTGGGACTTTGTCGACAGTTTCTTCTCGGACGGCGTCAATGTTGGATTGCAGCATTTCTCAGCGTCCCATCCCGCATTCTCCAGCCATTGGCATATATCATTCGGCAGTCTTCCCTTGTTCATGATTCGCGTCGCCTCAAGGTCGATGGCGGAAGGAGTGTCGTCGGGACCTGCTTCCCCTTCGTGACCCCATCGACCGATCAAATGCTTGTAGGGTTGCTGCCACTTGCAGATCTTAGGGCGGCCCCAGGGGTAGTTCTGGTTGTATTGCCAGTCGACGGCTTCGAGGACTTCGTCCAGGATGGCGGACTCGGGCGTGTCCTTGAATGCTGGATTCTTTTGTCTCTTGGCCCACTCCATCCACTCTTGGTGTATCTTTGGCTCGGTTTCTTGTGTCAAGAGTTGTATATGTTGGGCTGAGACGGAAGTCGAAGTTGAAGTCGTGCTTGTTCTTCTCTGAGGTGAATTTTCGGTAGATTCGGAGGATGATCTTGAAGAAGGCTGTGAGGACTCGTCGTCTGTCGCGATATCTGGGGAAGGAGAGCGCTCAGAATCTTGGTCCGCACCTGCAGGACTACCGTCGGAATCTTCCTCTTCGCTCTCACTTTCGATGTCGGACCTTGCCGGCAACCTTTTGTGTTCATCCCTCAATATTTTGCAGCATTTTTCGGGGTCCCAACCGGCCGCTTGCAACGACTCTCGGATGAATTGCGGCAGCTGACCACCGTTCATGATTCTTGTAGCTTCGCAGTATACAGCCCTTGGCGATGAGGATTTGACTCCCGCGTCATTCTCATTGGTGGTGAAGTATTTAACCAATTCCTTGTATGGTTCTTGCTCGGTAATAACCACTCCCTTCTTCTTGCAATCCCAGATAACCTCATTTAGGAGTCGGTAAAGGTATTTCAGTGGATACGACACATTCCATGTGTCCCATGTTACCTGACGCCGGGCCCACTTCTTCCACTCCTTCTTGGTTCGCGGTTGAGTTTGATCCATGGTTTTTCGTGTTTGTGAGGTGAGGAGAGTTCTGACGACGGGCAGCTACTAATGAAGCAGTGAGAAAGCGTTGGGTTCGTGTTTCTTGGTGTATTTTTGAGTGACCCAGAGACTGAGATGTAACTCCTCGCACTTGATTTTGAAGCTGAGAGAGTATGAGATGGTAAGTGTGATGTGAAGCTCAGAACTGGGTTAGATAAATGTAGAAGTAAGACGGAAGGATAGAACGACGCGTAAATGTAGAAGGAGCAACGTGATGTGATGCCTTCCCTCTGTCGCTCACTTTATTTTCTCCCCGTTTAGCAGAAGAAACAATGAACATGTCCGAAGTTTGATCGGCTTATTTGGCGTCTGTTCTTCGCTCCTTCCTGGCTGGAACCGGGCAGTCGACGGCGCTCCGATGTGATGGTTTTGCACAGCAAGCGTTGTCTATGAAAAGTTGCCCTGAGTGCCTTTCATTCGGGTCGGGTTCTTCATAAAACGAGGCGTATTTCGGTCCCGTAATCCGAAGAAATTGCGCGAATTGCAATAAGACTGATGGGGATGTCGCAACTTCGGTTTTTTGCAGGTGTAGCTGTGAGTTACGAGTCGAATGATGAATATCAATGCTTGGCAAAGTTCTTGGCCAATATCGCTCTCTCGGTCTTAGGCGCCATCCCTCTCCGTATGACAGAAATCTCATGCTGCCTTTTTTCACATGTTTCCCAGCGCATAATTTGACGGCTTTCGAATCGGATTTACACTTTTTGGCGCTCTTTAATCCGATGCCCAGACCGTCGGGTGTGCCGGGTGAAAGGTTGAGTGGATAATAGACAGGGCCGGAGAAGCCCGTTAATCATGGGTCAAGAACATGACGTACTGAAGATTTTACAAGTGACATACTGTAGTATAGACGAAGTCTTGAGCGATGAAGCCAAGATTGTGCGTTACCGTTCACGGAAGGACGCGAATGCCACCAAGCCTCTTGCTTACGAGTCCTCCTACTTTGAATGCAACTTATCACATTGACTAGAGTTGAATTATCACAAAAGAAATTGCATAGCAGGGATATAAACGTAGCTAGTTCGATTGGTATGGATTCGTCGGAGAGACGGGACTGGCGTGAGACTTCATTAGATCTCCAACGCTCTTTTCGGAAACTATTCTAAGATGTAAAGATTCATACTTTGCGCTCTAGATACGTACGGATTTTCTTCATCACTGTTCTCTTGGTTCATATCTCCAGGGACATAGAGCATTTCGCAGCTGAGAATCTCATTATGCATCTGTCTCTGACCAGCTGGGCATGGATCCCTCTCCTTATTCCTGTGGCTCAAGCAACTTCAATCCTGCTTGAGCGTGGCAATGTCATCACTTTTGACGAAGAAACTCTGTCTCCTTTGGTCCTCCGCAATGCATCGATCTTGATCATCGATGATACGATCTCTGCCATTTTCCATCCGTCGCGCAACGACTCCGTTGCCGTTCCCGATGATGTTGAACGTATTCCAGCCGACAACGACATAATCTCACCCGGGTTCGTGGACACTCACCGACATGTCTGGCAGACCGTCCTGCGAGGACTTGGTGCCGACAGCACCATCAGCGAATACCTCTTCCGATGGGCAAACCCACAGCTTTCAGCTGAGTCCTTCGACCCTGAGATCATGTACTACTCGCAACTCATGGGACTCTGCGAAGCTCAGAACTCTGGTGTCACCACCATTGTGGACAACGGCAGCAACACCTTTTCCGAGGTGATCGCTGAAGCGGAGCGCGATGCCTCCATCGACAGCGGCATTCGAACGTTCTGGGCCTACCATATCGGAAATGTCTATGCCAACTTCTCTGTCGAGGACCAGATCGCCGTCTATAGGAGATTTACTGCAGACCCCCGAGTCCAAGAAAGTCTTTTGAGCATGGGAATTGGCTACGAAGGTTTTGCAACGCTTGGTGCCAATGTCACCAACACCGTACTCAACCTTGCAAGGTAAGACTTCGCCCACTCCGTCCCATGGACCTTACGCGCTAACAGACTTACTTGTAGGGACTTGAACGCTTCCGTTGTCGAAACTCACTACGATGGCGGCAATCTCGGCTCCTACAACAGCCCAGCTCTCCTCCAGCAACTCAACTTCTTGAACCAGTCTTTCCCGGTCATCTTTGTCCACTCCAACAGGCTGACGCCAAGGGACATTGCCGTGTTGCGCAGCTACGATCACTACACCTCTTTCGTGCCGGAATTCGAGCTGCACCACGGCAACGACAACTACCTTCCCTCACTGGCCCAAGACCGGGGTTCTCTGAGCGTCGGAACGCACTACTCCTCCAGCGGCGACATTGTCACGCAGGCCCGCATGTGGCTTCAGACCGTCCGCGGATGGAGACTCTCGTCGGTGATGCAAGAGTTCAAAGTCCCCGCCAATAACCCCATGTCAGTCAACCAAGCCTTCCTCCTCGCGACCAGGTCCGGGGGCTTGGCTCTCGGAAGGCCTGATCTGGGTGTGCTGCGGGTAGGCGCGAAGGCCGACATTGCAGTCTTTGACGGCACCGCGCCAGGGATGCTCGGCTGGCAGAATGCCATCGCTGCTGTTATCCTGCACTCCAACGTCGGAAACGTTAAGCATGTTCTGGTCGATGGGCAGTGGAGGAAGCGCGATGGAGAGCTCTTGTGTGCGGTTAACCAGACTGATGTCGAGTCCAGATTCCTTGAGGCTGCCCGTAGAGTCCAGAGTTTCTGGGAGGGCGTTCCACCTACTGTTTTGGAAGGTGTTTCTCCTCTTGCGGGCTCTGAATATGCTATCTTGGACGAGGTTGACGTTACGCGGAGGTTTGATGTAGATAGTTAAGAAGACGCAAGTGAACCCAAATTTGGCCTTCGACCAAATTCAACTGTGATAGTTCAATTAAGGAAATCACGTTCACATTAAATGGCTTTACCCTACGCCCGCCTCCACGAAACCACGACTAAGTCAATTGACTGCCCGTGAGGCAATGAAACACTACGAAGGCAAGGGCATGCGGCGAAAGCCTTATCATTCACGTGTATCTTAACCTAGAAAGGTTTTTGCCGGAAGAAAGTTCAATTTGTACGTCACCACCTCGCGCGAAAACTCAGCACGTCCAGATGATCACTCATGCGTGATCCACGGAAAGATGCCCCCGAGGAAATCATCCGTGACCAGTAGTCCGAGATCGGTATCGATAGGCCCCGGATTTACTTGCGGCATTGAATCCTCTACTGCACTTCCCACGTGAATAGAATGCGATAGCCCTGCCATCAGAGCGACATCCGGGAAGGAGTCGCTTCTCGACGTTCTTTCCCCATCTTTCTGACTTGCTTGAATTATACTGTCGCGAATCTCAACCACACAGGGCCAGACATTCTGAACAGCAGTCATGGCTTCCAATACCCGAGTGAGAGCTTGCGAAGTCTGGATCTCGTCCAAAGGCGTCCCATCTAGATAGTGTCTCATCATGATGGTTCCGGCTGCGGTTGCTAGAGTGTGGACGAAGTCGAGTGGCAGGCACTCGTATCGATAAAAACGAGAATAACTCCGCATGAGGCGTAGTATGGCCTGAAGAGACTCGTAGCATATCTCGACGTCCTCGCTAGATGCAGTATCGGGCTGACCAACCAGGTGACGCGGCGGACGGTGAAGAATTATCATGGCGGTGTGGAAGCGCATGCTGAGGATGTCAGTTACTGAGGTGAGTGGAATGCAAATTGAGAACTCACTGGAGGTGGAGGACGCAAGCTGGAATCTTTCCCACTGTCCATTGATTCCAGTAGAGCTTCCCAGGCAAACTGGCCAGCCACTTCGTCAGAGAGACGTGGAGTTTCTGGACTGTTGCTGCTGTGGTGGCATTATGTGCCTGCGAACGGCGATTCTCAAACAGCTCAGTAATGATCTTGTGTTGAATCTTCGATAGCTCTGCTTGATGTATGAGAGCCCCAACAAGAGCTATGCCGTCCTCGAAGGCGCTGATGGACATCCCCGGTGCGATGTATGTATCCAGTAACCCCTCCCAATCGGGCGGATAGGGCAGTCTAACCGTGTTCCTGACATCCGACTCGTACAAGTAAAGTGCGGGCGGACGACCGAAATACAAACTCAGTTGTTTGTCAATGATGAACGCGGCCCAGTACACACGACGCAAGATTTCTCGGTCAACATCGGGTTCGGAAGTACCAGACCAGTTGTTGGGATCCAGATGCAGGCCCATCTCGTGAGCTAAGCGGAATGCCATTCCACAGAACAGCCAACCCTTGGAGGCACAACCCCGGCCAATCTCACATTGACCCAAGATCAAAAGAGCCTGCAGACTAGTGAGATCTGGTCTGTCTAGAGAAGGGTATAATAGCTGCTGGGCTTGGGTAGAAAACACTTGAAATAGTTGCAGATCGGCAGGGTCTCCGGTTACAAGTGATCCCATTGCGCAGATTGCGAAGAGAAGCAAGTCGGAGTAATAGCGACCAGTGCCGATGTCGTAGTCCCTAAGGAAATACTCCCGGTAAACATACATGTTATACGAGTACTGTTCCCTGAAGAAGGATGCCATGAGACGTTGTGACACATCGTCATGTGGCGCATATTGATAAACGCCGTCATGTGGACTCGCCCCGGGGTTGTTTATGTCGGCAGCACTGCCTGGTACTGCTGTTGATGTTGACCAATCTGTGCGCGGTGTGGATTGAATCTCCTTGTCTGAAACAAAGATGTTGAAGAGACTTGTCCCTCCGTAGAAATGAGCCGAGTTCCCAGTTGCGAGTCTTCTGAGTTGACCCGCTCGAGGGTGAGCCAACCCAGCGTCGTCAGATTGCAGCGAAGGGCTGGCCTCGTCTTGATTTGGGCTCCCATCGCTGGCATTTTGAGCAGTATCAGTCTCGGGTACGGATACTGACATGTCTCCAGCCGCAGTGAAGTTGGCTAGCATCTTTTCTCTCTGTTGACCGTCTGAAGATGCCAATTTCTGGATGAAAACCTCGAGAGACGCTATCTGGCCTTCCAAAGCCCGAACGTAGGTCTTGGAGACCGGTCTTGACAATAGGCCGGTCAGCAACTTCAGTTCACAGGACGGCATTTCACGAACAATCACGGAGTACATGAAGCTAACCTCTGCTTTTCGCCGGTGCCTACTCTCGCACACTGAGTCCCGGCCTTTCGACATCGCGAGCAGGGTTGTCGACGGTCGCATTTGATCTGGACCAGCCGTCAGCGCGCGTCAGTTCGCTAAAGTGGGGTGACCGAATTTGAGATATGTTCAAATTCATGACGTTATTGCTGGACCAAGGACCTTTTACGTACTTTACGTCGACGACATCTCTCACATCTGATCTTGGGTGTTATCGGAGCTGACTTGGTGGGACAGACGTCGGTGGGAGAGTAACTCACGAAGTTGTCACAAGTTCGCCAATTGGCGTCGTGGAGCTGGCCTCGGGGCTTTCCAACATATCGAAAACATCAGACCACACCTGTTCTAGATTCCAGTAACAAATCAAGCATGCGGTTGAACAATGAAGCCTTTCAATGTTGGTTTTGGCCACCGTGGTTGGAGCTTCGTGGTCATAATCAGGGAACGAGACGACCTCCCAAAGAGTAGACGATAACGCAGGCGCAATTTGATTCGTCGAGCAGGCTTTCCGCGGAGCGGAGCATTCATCATTATCCGGGGAAGCCATCGGAATCCGACCCCGGACAGGATCTACCTAGGTCGTTGTTCCCCGCGTTTGAAGACCCACAGACGGAGGCGTGTGTCCGCTGCCGTGACTTACACCATGTTGGCTTATTTGCATTGGCTCCATGTTGGCCTCTTAGTTACATAGAGGACACAGCATCACGATCGCTGCCATTATGTTGCCCGACAGCAATCTCTGGCAGAGTATCGAAATTGATATCGTCTGACAGTTGAGAGTACGACAATGAATCAGGTTCAACAATAGTCAACATTAGAATACAAGTGGAAAATCCAGATTGATACTTTCGTAGCTTAACATGCGGAAGGGTCGTTCAACGTATTTAGTAAACGTAGCGAAACTCCAACTGCCCCTCTCCAGTAGTTTCCTGTCTGTCATCGACGACTTCGCCCTTCTCAATCTGTTGCTTTCTGCGGTTAAGCGAGTGAAGATACCAAATCTGTCCAGCTATCAGGATAATGCACATGATTGCGGATGCAAGTGAGCACCAGTGCCCCAGCCGATAAGGCGCAGAGCGGTACACCTGGGGGGCGACGATGCCTGCGATGTTGCCGACCGTCTGCTGCACACCGATGGCGGTTGCACGCCGGTAATGAGGAGCCATGTTGTTGTTGATCCCTAAGAATGAGGATTAATACAACGTCTTGGTTAACTAGCAGGACAGAACTCACATATCTCATTCAAACCAGGCCCACAGTAGAGAGGGATTGCAATGAGGTAACATGCAAAGTACCGAACGCCTGGGCTGTTGGAAACGCCAAGCAAGATTGCGTAGCCGATGACGGCAAAGAAGTCCAAAATCAAAAGAAACTACATCCGATCACGTCAGCGGTCGTCCACTTCACGCGGTCGCAATTTTCATCGGGGAGACTCACCGTTCCTCGCAGCTTCCACTTGTCGCCCAGCATCGCCGCACTCTGTCCCAGGTCAGTAGGATGCCAAATGAAGTCACACGTCGGTTTGATAGAGTGACATGTCTTGAGACTTACGAAAAAAGTGACTCCGCCCAAGAAATAGACCGGAATACTAAGGTACTGGGCTTCCAGTGCCGTAAAGCCAAGATCAAGCCGAAGAATGGAAGGTAGGAAGGTGCTGAACCCATACAAGATGATGTCTTGGAAGAATTGAATGAGTGCACTTATCTCGTAACGGAATGTCAGCCAATTGAAACAGTCAGTTAGTTACCAGGCTTACTTACGTCGAGTATACTTTGGGATCTTTGAGGGCTGCCCAGACCTCCTTCCATTCGAAAACTTGGCTCCCCAAATATTCCTGCCTCTGATTTTCCCTAGCCAGCATCACTTCCTTCTCTTCCGGTTTCCAGAACTTGGCTCTTGTTGGGTCATCTGGAAGCCCAAACCATACCCATGCTACGGCTAGCAGAGAGATGGAACCCTCAATGATGTAAAGCCAACTAGATCCTCATCAGTCACATGAATGGCGGATACAAGGGCAAATCTAGAGCCAAGGGAAATGAGTAAGAATCCAAATGTTTACCTCCATGCCCTTAGTCCGCCAGTGTGTCCCATTCTTGTTATAGCCGTGGCGATGAGGCCACCGAACATGCCGGCAAGGGAAACGGATGTGAATAGGAACGCCAATCGCAGCCCCTAAGCACCCCAAGCATCATCAGTATACGTATGCTTCAAGCGCTGGCCTTCAACTGAACTTACCTGTTCCTCTCTCTTGTAAACCATGGTGATGTACAGGCTCAGGCATGGGAAGAACCCAGCTTCGCAGAGACCCAACAGAAGCCGAACCGCAATCAAGTCTCCGAATTTCTTGGTGAAGGCCGTTCCAATGGTAACGATTGACCAACCGAAGCACATCATTGAGATGGCGCGGTGTGGCCTGAGCTTCTTCATGGCGAGCACAACTGGCAACTCGAAAGCGACGTAGGTTGCGAAGAAGACGCTCACGGCGGTGCTGAATTGTGAACCAGACATGCCGAGATCTTCTGTCAAACCAGCCACGGCTGCATTTCCGATGTTACTTCTATCGAGGTACGCGACGAAGTAGAGTGCGGCAAACAGAGGTGCAAGTCGAAGATCAAGTTTTCGCAGGACTTGCTTCTCTAATTGCCTGTCCGGGATGAGGGTCGAACTGGCGGAAGCCATCGCTGGGGCTTCTGGACCAGGCTTTTCGGGGTTGGCCATGCTGAATTTGGCGTCCATAACGGAAAGATTCGTTCAAAGGAAGTAAAGGAACAGATTAATTTTGAGCGAGAGACTCGACATCAGTCGTGACGCACAGTTAGTGCCCCTTTATGGAAGGGGTTAGGTCCAAGACCATGTACCTCTTATCAATCTTAACAGATTCGGAGTCGCGAAAGCTCTCTAAAGATTGGACTCAATGTTCTCGGTCTGGGGTGCAGCAATCCTGGTTCATGGCAGGGTCACCCATGTTTGGTGAGATAGGCAGGCCGAACCATTCGTGGGGTTTGTAAGACGGAGGCGGATGTCCGCTATTCTTCAGATCCGGTATCTGATATGCATGCCCGGCATCTGCCCCATGAAGCACCAGCTTGCCGGCCACGCAAGTTGGCTACGGAGATCCTCTAACGAGCGGAAACGAATGACCGTTGGTCTTGGCTACGGCGAAGAACATTGCCCCAAGTATTAGAATATAAATCATTGGCACTTCAGAGGCAAATGAAGATAATAGAGTGTGCTGTTCATTCTCGCTATAGCTTCTTGCCATTTGACAACTCTACACTCATCATTCTTCCATATCATGACTTCCAACATCAAGTCCGTAGGCTACATCGGCCTGGGGCTTGCTGGTGGCCCACTAGCCCAGAACGTCGCCATGAAGGGATTCAAAACCATTGTCCGGGACGCGGACAAGGACAGACAGCGCAAATTCGTTTCCGACAACAAAGACCTTCCCGTTGAGGAGGCAGCCGATGGACCAGATGCATTCAAGGATGTCGATGTGCTGATTACCATGGTGCCCAATGGACACATCGTCCGCAATATTCTCCTCGGAGATCACGGAATCGCTCCCTACATGAAGCCAGGTGAGATAAAATCCCAATGAATAGAGATGATGGCACATACTCATTCTCAATGTCAGGCTGCGTCATCGTGGATACTTCTTCTTCAGACCCCTTCGGAACCCAGCAGCTGGGTGAAGATCTGAAGAAGTATAACCTGCGCCTTGTGGACTCGCCCGTCACTCAGGTCAGAATGCACGGCATCAATGACGGCGAAGCAACTTTCATGATCGGAGGTGCTCAAGAGGACATCGACTTCGCAATGCCCGTTTTGAAGACCATGTCCAGGTGGCGTTTTGTCATGGGCCCTCTTGGCAGCGGTCATGTCATGAAAACATTCAACAACTACATCACGGCTGCCGGCATTGCAGCTCTGAACGATGCTTTCATCGTCGGCCGCAAGATGGGGTTGGATCCGGCACTCATTACCGATGTCCTCAATGTCGGGACTGGGCGCAACTACGGTACTGCGCATTCCATCCGTGCAGAGGGTCTGACCAGGACATATTCTAGCGGGTACGGGCTTGCCTTGTTGGTGAAGGACCTGGGTATCAACCTTGACCTCTGTAAGAAAATGGGCATCGACACTCAGCTGGCAACCCATATGCACTCTCTATTCAATGAGGCTTTGGAGGAGCCAAATGTGGAGAAAAGTGCGGACTACACCGAGTGTTTGAAGTTGTGGGAGAGGAAGGCCGGCTTGGAATTGCCTACCGCAGTTGGGCTGGAGGAGTGTGATGAGCCTCGCGACTTTGAAACTCCTTGAACACACCGCAGATAACTTATAACAAGACCAATTTCCCATGATCTAGAGTGCTTATTGTCGGGGATGTTATGTAGCTCATTCCGTAGATTTTATCGTGCAGGTCGATCTTAATTATTTCTATTGTCGTCTCGATTGTCACATCGATTGTCATCTCGATTGTCATCTCGATTGTCATCTCGATTGTCATCTCGATTGTCATCTCGATTGTCATCTCGATTGTCATCTCGATTGTCATCTCTACTGTCCTGAAACAGGTTTATCAGAGGCTACTCTTAGTATACCGCTGGCCCCGATAGCTAAAAGACACCCCTTCAATGGCAAAGCTCCTTGATAAGCATCTTCACTTCTCAACCTGTTGTAGCGATTGCATTTCGAAACGTTTGAATTTAACGCTTCAATATCTTCCAATCCCAGTCTCATGCATCACTAACTTCGTGAAGTTCGCGAAGTTGGAAGGTGCTGCTCGGTCGCTTCGCCACATCCCTTGTCAGCAGCCTCGAAGAAGTGGATGATGGCACCAGCTTCGCACAGGTGGCACGAGATATCATATTGAGCTTTCATTGATGATACCAGTGCATTGCTTAGTCTCATGACAGCATTCTTTCTGGGTGAAACATACAGAAGCATTATCCACTTTGGTATTGGTGCGATAAGATGCGGAGGCGGAAGTCCGCCAACGACACATGCCGTGATGTATTCACGGTGCTATCAAGCGGACATGGATGTCCGCCAAATTTGGGACACACTACATGACTGGAAAACCAGCAAGACGATATATCAATTATAACTTCGCTATGGTAGACTGATAGATGTGAGACTTAACAATACGGCATCTGTCTTGATTAGCCACGACCAACTTGCTCCTTCTCACCTGTAGATCAGTACACAACAAGCATCAAGGCATCCCTCATTATCACTCATATTCATTATGAACACTCAGGAAGAAACTGTCGTCGGTCTTCCAGACGGAACAAAATATTCTCAGCCGACTGGAATTTTCATCGATAACAACTTTTGTTCTTCTGAAGACGGCAGCACTCTGGAGTCCATCAACCCTTATACCCAACAAGAGATCTGCTCGTTTGCCCGAGGTAAGAAGGCCGACATTGACAACGCCATTGCGTCATCAAAGCGGGCATGGCAAAGCTGGAAGAAGACTACGCCTCAAGACAGGGGCAAGCTCCTAGCACGTCTGGCAGACCTTATTGAAAGAGATGCGGACTTGTTGGCAAAGATCGAGGTAACTATTAGAAGCGTCAAATATTCATACTCTCACTGACTTGTTTTGACTCAGTCAATTGACGCTGGGAAGCCGGTCAAAATTGCGAAGGTTGCGGATGTCCTTGCATCAGCTGCATGCTTGCGATATTACTCGGGGTGGTCTGCAAATTCCCGCTTCTCCCTCTCGCTCGTCTGGCTGACAGATGAACAGGGCGGATAAGGTCAAAGGCGAAACCATCGATACTGATATAGATACTCTGAACCTGACCATAAGAGAGCCTTTGGGTATCTGCGGACTTATCATTCCGGTAAACCGTCACTGATCACCGTCGCCGTACCTGACTAACATCCACGGTGCGCTTTAGTGGAACTTCCCGATTCTCATGTGTGGCTGGAAACTTGGACCAGCTCTAGCAGCGGGGAATGTTGTTGTATTGAAGCCTGCGGAGCTCACACCTCTCTCAGCTTTGTATCTGGGGAAGCTGGTTGTTGAGGCCGGGTTTCCCCCGGGCGCCGTTAACATCGTGCCGGGACTCGGGCACGAAGCTGGCGCCGCGCTTTCGGCACACCCAGATGTGGCGAAAATATCCTTCACAGGGAGTACTGCCGTAGGCAAAAGCATCCTGCGTGCGTCGGCCGAGACCAATCTGAAGAAGGTCACCTTGGAGTTGGGTGGGAAGTCACCTAGCATTGTGCTCGACGGCGCAGATCTGGATGAGGTCGTAGAGTGGGTGAATGGTGGCATATTCTACAACATGGGGTGAGCCTCTTTGGATTCCGACGTGGCCTGAACTCTACTGATTTGTCTCTTCGTTGTTCAGACAAAACTGCTGCGCAAGCAGTCGGGTTTTTGTTCAGGAGAGTGTATACGAATCCTTCATCGAGAAGTTCGTGATACGAGCAAAGCAAAACCAACTCGGAGATCCGTTTGACGACAAAACCTTCTTGGGCCCACAGATCAGTCATGGTCAGCACGCCAAGATCATGGGGATGATACATAACGCGAAACTTCAAGGAGCTGTCCTCGCGACAGGGGGCACAAGTCCTAAGGGTTGGTTCATCGAGCCAACGATCTTCCGGGATGTCACGTCAAAGATGGATATCACCAAGGAAGAGGTCTTCGGCCCCGTGGTTACCGTCGCTTCGTTCAAGACAGAGGAGGAGGCATTGAGTCTGGCCCACGACACTTGCTACGGACTGGCGGCAGCCGTCTTCACGACGGACATGAAGCGAGGCATTCGTATGGCAAAGAATCTCGAAGCTGGGACGGTATGGGTCAACTGTTACAACAGAATCTCGCATGCTCTGGCTTTTGGGGGATACAAGCAGAGCGGAAATGGCAAAGACCTTGGAGAAGAAGCCATCTATGGTTTCACTCAGCTGAAGACGGTAGGCATCATGCTATGACCTAGCCAGAGGTTACTATACTGCGTAGTAGCATGGGTCAGAAGTGCCATTGATACCTTCCATTTAACTGCTTCCTGTTGGATAGATGCAAGAACTGCAAGAACCGCAGGCCACGCAATAAACCAAGCGGCTCCTTCTCTTTTCAGATTGAAATATCGCTATGAGGAAGTCGCTTTGCTTGGATCAATCCGGCTATGTTTTCTCCACATCACAACAACAAATCTTCGTCTTTCCGTCTTTTCATCAAGCATCTACACAATTCTTCGGGGCCGCAATGAGAACCCATTCACTTTTTAAATTCGCTAGGTCTCCTACGCACAAGGAGACTCAAGCCGCATCCCAGCACCCAATTTTCGACTCCAAGGAGTGGAAAGATATTCCTATCACCCTCACAATAGGACTCTCCACTACTCCCATCCCTATACTGTCAGGCAAGGAGGCCACAGAAACCAGAGCGTGCTTGAAATGGGAGGCACGGCTCGAAGTCAAAGCCAAGGACATGCCGCGTCTCATGAGAGAAGGATTCCACTGGACGACGGCCAACTGTCACCGCGAATCAACCTACGTTAATAACGAAATCGAAGCCGGCCCGCGCGAAGAGGGGTGGAAATGCGCCCGCTACTACTTCCTCTCAGACCTCGGCAAGGACCCATACTGGACAGCAATGCTTGTTGTGTTGGCGCGCGATATACAAACCCTTGCGCAGTTTCGTATCGACACCCTTCGGCCAGACATGGTTTACACTGTAATCGGAAGTAATGCGAAAAGCCAGTGGATTTACCGTTTTGATACGCTGGATCCGAGCCAGAACTTCAACGCCATCTATGACGACATGCCGTTGGAGGGTTGGTGGCCGTGGCTCAAGGACAAGGGGAAGCAGCTGCTGTCATAGTTGGGTGGTGGGAAGAATACTGGCTCGAGAACATAAGTCCATGAACCACCTGATTCCAGTCAAGTGGATAAAACAACAACAGGCTTCAATTGCATTTTCACTTCTTTGCAGCCTCGATAGATTGGAGTCCGAGCTACATGAGCAGTTTCAACAGCAACAAATTGTCTCTTGAGAGACTCGCTCTTTAGGAGACTCTTAGGCATACCGTATGATGGGTAGATCAATACATCCTCTCTCAATGCGTGTAAAACCCCTACCGGTGTCTTCTCGTAGTCAACAGCTGATGAGTGATGTCGAGATTTACATCAGTTTGAACGGCGATTCGGCCCAAGTTAGTAAGACAGGCTTTAATTATGGTCGTCGCCTTTTTTTTAAGATGATTCATCGTCTATCTTCACAGAAACAGGAACGCGTCCCTGCACTCCCGGAGTTGGCCCGTTGTTCTTTGGAGCTTCCGGCCGGGGCCGGCCCTGCCCCACAGCGGAGTAAATGGAACGACAGCAAACATCGCCGGGAGCCAGAACACTGTGAAGCCTCCTTGACCAGTTGACTAACCACCACCGTCCAATTATTGTAGCTACTTCTCGTCTCCTGTATATCAAGGCATTCAGCTATCCTTGTCTAGTCTTCAAGCCCAGCGCCACCGTCTGACAGGTCGAAACCTGGCCTCCTGTGACCGAGTACATCACATCTGCGCTTTCCAACAAAGTGACACCTGCTACTGGATCCTTGGCCAAAAATAGTCTGGAAGCGGTTCCATCCGAGTAATCGCAGACGATGGGATAAAAGAGGCCATCATGGGAGTCAACAGCCACATAGTAGGAACCGTTGGCTCCATCCGGGGCAGTGTACACCGCCCACGTGACCACGGCAGCGCCTGCAGGTGCCACAAACTCGGGTCCAACTCGAAGCCGGGAAACTCCAAGTACTAACATCGTGTTGGTATAGTAGTGCATGAGACGCTCAGCTCCATCGTAGATAAGCACATTCTGTGCAGCAGCCCATAGCTCTGAGCAAACCTCATTCTCTGGGCTGTTGATTCTGACAGGATACATGTTGCCGTTACTGCAGGAAATAATCATTGAGGAGTTCGACGAGTCAGTGATGATACCGAACTTGCGGCCAGTGTCATCCGTGTAGGGACGGGTGCCGACGGGCTGAGGGGCGTAGCCAAGCTCCGTTGAGCCCGCCACGTTGGGCGTCTCATCAACGACGCCGCCAGTGGGTTGAAGAACAATGCTTGTCGCATCAGGGGTGGGTGCGATGGTTTGAGAAGAGGAATCCGCGGGTGGGACGATCGGATCGACAGAGGACTCGGTGGGTGGTACGGGAGCAGCAGTGTCGACGACGGGAGCAGCAGTTTCAACGGTAGGAGCAGGTGAATCAACCGTGGGCGCAGGTGGGTCAACCGCAGATGTGACCGGCTCTAGTACAGAGGAGACTGGATCGGTCGGAACGGGAGGACTATCCAGTACAGGTGGCGAATCGGTTGTGGGATCTGTGGTTGGTACCGGGAGGTCCTGAGGCGCTCGACGAGATATTGAGGCCCTTGCTGTTGACGTCCTTGCTGTTGACGTCCTTGTTGTTGACGCCCTTGTTGTTGACGCCCTTGCTGTTGGCGAAGTTGTTGCAACTAACCTTTGAAGTCACATTTGTGGTCAGGGTTTGCTCGGTTTTCGAAGTAGGTGTGGAAGAGAACTTACGGAAGACAGAATCGCGACACAGGTTTATCCAGAGTATCCAGCAGAGGAAGAGGCTGCTTGCGGCCGGGGAATTCGGCGTATAGCTTGTGTCGATAGCTGATCTGCCCTGCGATGCCGGGGCAGCCATCTCTTGAGGTGAAACCGCCCTCGAGTACCCCAGCGGAGTTTCCGATAGACGCTGCCACTTGGGCAACGCCCTTGATAGATGGTTCGGAGATGACCCCCACGTCCTTTGAAAAGGTGCCGACTTTGATTCCACACTTGATGCCGATTGGCAGTGAGAGAGTTGAAGAGACCATCAAGCTGCCGTTGGCCTCAAACACTGGCTTGAAGTAAGGCTCCCAGCCTTTGGGGGCTTTGCTTTCATTGACAAGGTCAAGAACGATGCGAGCATCTTCCAGTCCCATTTGCGCGCCCGCGAGAAGCCTCCCTGTGGCAGCAGCTTGAAGAACGACGCTCGTGGCCACTGTGATGCGAGGCCCAATAGACACGACTCCAAATGAAAGTCCCGGTAGTCCGAGGCTGAATAGCTCTGCTTTGAAGTTCTGCTTCAGAACAATCCCAGCATCGATGCCGACCTTGAGAACGAACATGACATCCGTGCGGATTTCGACCTGTCCTTCGACGATGCCCTCGCCAGGAGTCCATTTGGCTGAGCCGGCGACCTTTGCGTTGCCAGTGACACCGCAACCAACGCAATAGACGTCCATGAACCCATTGGCACTCCCTCCGTTACCCCTGGCGCTGTTACTGAACCGTCTGAGGAGAATGGCGTCACCCCAAGGCGACCTCATCTGCTTTGCTTCTCTGTCTTGGACCTTCTTGGCGTCGGCATTCCCAGATGATGGATCGGGGAGCTTCCAAATGAACTCACGGTTGATAGTTCCGGAGAGCGCCGTGGCAAATTGAACAGTCTGGTAGGCTTTCTTGGCGATGTCAGCGGCCGCTTTGATGAGTCCTGCTTGCCGCTTGCGAAGCTGGTTGTGACGCTTTTTGAAGAATCCCTCCGCATCTACATCGAAGTCAAACGCAGGTGGAAGGCTTTCATTCGGGAAGTCGGGTGCGTAGCCAAGGATATATCGATGATCGTCTTGGCTGAGGTCCGTGTAGCCAAGCGAATCGTCCAGATCTTCGTCAAAGAACTCTCCCAAGCAGGCCGTGGGGAGGCCGTACTTTGTATCCAGCGGTCCTGCACAGGACCGCGTAGTGGAAAGATTGGCCGTCGTGATCCCAGATGGACTCGGAGCTGGGGGCGCCGCTGCGGAGGCTCCAGGGGTGTTTGATCCAGGTTGTTGTCCGGGCCCAGAGCCTGATCCTGGCGATACCGTTGGCTGGGGAGACCAGGTAAAGGCCGGCCCAGAACCTGAACCACTTCCTGAGCCAGTACGCTGGATTCCTGGCTCGCCTTTCCTTGGTGACCAATGACCCCATGTGGCTGACCCGGATGTGGCGATCTCGTCGGGGTGACGGGCTTTGCCGTTGGCTCTGACAACATAGCCAGGAGGACCAAAGTCCAACTCAGATACCACAAAGTAGCATCTCTCACCCTTCAAATAGTCTCCACAGCCTTTAATGAAAGCTAGCAGGATCAAGCCACCGTCGCCGTCGGTGGCCCAGGTATCCACGGCGTGTCTGTAAGCCTCCTCCGAAGCAAACACAATTATAAGAGCCCCGGCTGTGTATTCCATCGACGCCACATGGTCGCAGTGATCGAGGTTCACTGATGGGGCCGAGAGCCAATACGTCATGAATGCAAAACCCCCAGCCTTTGAGGGGTCCGTCCTAGGTAGTTAGCGATTGAAATAACGGCTCTGAAAGTCTACACTCACCTCCAACGCCGTAGTACATCTGAGAGCCCTCATTGGCCGGGATGGGGATGACGTTCGAAGCCGGTGCGGTATCGCAAGACCAGTGAACATTGGGCGACAAGGTGGCAATTGGCCCATTCTCCGCAAAGGTGGCCGTCTGCTCTCCTGAAAGCCCGAAGCGATTCTGTCCGGCATCTCCGGTAGGGCAAGGCGGCTCCACGGGAGGCTCAGGCAGATCGCACTTAACGCAGCTCGACGTTGGATGCGATGAATTAGAGTACTCTTTGCCAACAGCGGGGAATCCGAAGGCACCCGCTGCCAGCAAGATGACAAGTGATGACTTGAAAATCATGCTCGTCAATGATTATTCGGGCAAAATGCTCGAGGTGAAAGAGCGACGGGACTGTCCCAACGGCTGATACCGTCGAACTGTTCCAAAGGCAATAAGACAAAAACTTCAGAAAGGAGTGTGATAGACCTTTGCAATGAGGTCAAAAAGAGTGACTAAAGTGAGCGAGCTGGGGATTGAGTCATCATGGTGTTGGTTGGCAGGCGGCTTGGCTACTGTATAGAGCCATTTCGAACAGGTCGACGTGAAGTACCATTAAGCATCTTTTCCGCGACTAGCCATTCTATCAACAATACTTTGAGCCGGGGCTGATATCATGCTATCGAATAGCCATGGCATTCCATTACAGGCAGGGAGCGCAGTCGATCATTTCGTCTGGTTCGCCCCAATGCCCGCATCAAATTCAGTGCAAGGGAGAATCGGCGATGGATGTTGCATGTGAACGAGAGCAACGAAGGGTCGTCTAAGACAGTTGCGTTGGACATGAGAATGAGAGGATGTTTCGGATGTTTTCTTTCTAGCCACGGGTCTTGTAATCATATAAGCAACGGGTATTTGCTGTCTCTGGCGTTGAACGTGGCTTGTGGAGTAATGAATCTTGGGACGCATTGACCAGTGAAACCGCCCAATTCAGTTCATTTTAAAATTAGCATGCCAACATCGCTTTCCGGACTCCAGTACCACGATTGCAAGAACACGTACTCGATTCCTTCACTGCGGTGTGGCGATACGCAAGCTGCGTGAAGTTCCGATTCCGATCGTGTGATAGTTTTGGCAAGGGAAGGGCGCTTCGGGTCTATCTTCGAAAGACTTTTTAATTGCAAGGACCACCCAGCTTCACCGAGTCTTCATCCAATCTAGCCTTTTCCTTCTATATAGCCGCGTAGCAACCCAGTTACTAAGGAACAAGTAGAAGAACGCCGTTAGGGCTACGGCTGTTCCGGCAAGTGGTGCAATAATAGCGAAGATGGCGAAATTAAAGGACACCGGCCGAAACATGTCGCTTTCTCCTTCGTCCAACGTAGCAAGGCCAACTTGCATGGCTGTTAGGACAACTATGATGTAAACAGTTGAGCTGGCCAGTAGCGCGAAATTCTCTCCGAAAAATGAGCTGTACTGGTTCCAGCGAGACATGTATCCACGGAGTGGTGTTTTCCAAAGCAAGTAGATCTTGTTCAGTCGGCTAAGTCGAAGCTCTCCGTACTGGAACCGTGGGTGAATGCGTGGGTATATACGTGAGGCCAATAACTCCCGAACGGCCGCTCTCCAAGCCGACCACTGCACTTCTTCGGGTATCAGGTGCGTCTCCTTGGCCATATGAAAGTCGCTTTCGTACATGATGAGAGATGCGTACGAGAAGAGGAAGCCAAGGGCGCGTTGCCGTCGGCCGCAGGAGCTGCATTTGTCTTCGTTGCACCCATGCATTGCATCACAGCTGAGGAAACTCGCCCAGAAGAGAGGCTCGAGAAGGTAGCGTGGAAGCGGCTTGATGAAGATGCGATTGCCTGTCCATACAAGATGGAGGTCTAGCTTCTCAGTGATCATGATCTCACGGTTGAGCAAACGCTGGTGATGGAGCGGTCGTGGCGGCATGGGTCGGCCTACGATCCATAACCAGTCGTGGATATCGGCAAGCCGATGCAAGTCGGTCTCCTCATCGACCCATTTATGAATGGCGGCTACATGTATCTGGGTTTGGTCGACCTGAACACCGGTAATGTTGAGAACGGGAGAGATAGGTGGTGTCACTAAGTCGTCCTTCTCCGTACGCCTAGAGGCAGACATAAGGCATGTGAGATCCTTTTCTGTTGGTTTCGACCCCTGTGTCCCATCTGGAGCATCATCTAGGAGTCTTTGGTTAAAAGGAGGCCACTGTCAAGCTTCAGTACACGAACTCGCAGAAGAAAGCGCAGTACAGACTCACCAGATTTGGTTTCGAGGGCGGGGGTGTTGGACATTCATGCTGCTCTTCCATGGCTCAGTCAAACAGCATTTTCGATGTGTCCTTAAAGAGAATTTTCAGTGTGGCATGGCTGTCTTATATAGGATGGATATCACTGTACGATAAATAACCGTACGTAAGGGGCTTGGCCTTGCAGCATCCACAACACTCTTCGGATGAGGTTCCAAGGCCAACTAGTGACTTCAACGGTATGAAGAAGGGCAATATTGCCGTAATGATTGCTTATGCCAGCTTTTGTGCCAATGATTGCCCGCCGAACTTCCTTATCCCTTGTCGATCGCCCTGTCATTTTGTCCCCCCCTGCGGTCATCGCCGATTGCGATCCCAAAATCAGGCTGCAGCGTTTCCCTCCCTGATGAGATGAAAATTTGAAGTTCTTGAGTTCCCTTGTGTTGCCCGGTTGCAACACCTGTCATCAACAGCAGCTCCTGCGAGAGGATTTGTTTCACGGAGGCTGTGAGAAAGTGGTAAAATCCCTCGAAAGGCTGTGCGATGTCTGAAGGCGAGTCAAACATGGATAACTCATGGATGTGCACCATGTCAGTTGCGCAACTCAACGTCCCAACGTACCGCCCTAGATTCGACAGACACATATTCGGGCTACTCACGAGGAGATAGAACCACAGACAAGCCAGGCGCAAAGTCCTCAAGACGGCCCAAGATCACTGCTGATGAAAGGCTTGGCGATATACCACCCATATTATGGTGAGAAGTAAAGCATTTCCCTAGTATGACGAGGATCCGCCGCCGACTGGGCTTGAATCACGCGACTCTGAACTGTGTAATGATGAGCTATGTGACATTGAGCTTCCCCCGGTATCGTATGATCCTGAAGTTCCACCGAAGTCGCCTGCAGATCTGCGAAGTGGTGTTGTGATTTGTTGCTTTGGGGAAGAGTATGTATGTCGATGTCGCCGAGGACAGCATTCTCTTTGATTTCTCGCCTGTATGTAGTGAGACTCTTTTCGCTCATTTCTTCCTTTCGAGGTGAAGGAAGTATTGCAAGTTCTCATTTAAGCAATGAGCTTCACGGGATCGTTCGCTCTTATCGCACATGACGGTTTCGTGATGCGTGGTGGCGTGTGTGGAAATGTAAAAGCTGCACTACGTGTTTCATCGAATTCGATTATGGTTACTGGAAAGATGCAAGTAAAAGGATGCCTAAACTCTTTCCACTGCATATGTGCTCCCATCTATATCAAACTCGTGCACTAGGTCCCGTGGCCAGCCAGGCACCGCTGGCTGCATGCTGTCCTGAACATCTTTGATCCTGTCTGAGCCCTGGAACAGCAGTGCCAATGTATCCATCATTGGCTTGCACGTCCTAGGATCAAGCCGGCGACATTTGTCCAGTGGATTTGCAGTATCCCTTCCCGTCAAGGTCTTGGTCGATCAGAAGCTCCTCAAATGTTTCAGAGATGCTGTCGAGTGTCGACTCCGGAGGCGAGATAGAAGAATGCAGAGATGCGAAGAGAGGAACCCGTCACCTGAAAGGCGAATACTCTCGAGACCAGCATGGCGGCGTTGGAGTTTCTGCAGGATCGACTAGATCTCCCAGAGCCCGCACTGAAATCGATTGCGGAATGCCTAGGTGACAAGGACAGCCCGAACCTGTCCCCGCAGTCAACATAACTGCCAACTATGCGCACTACACAGATCAGTATCAAAAGAAAGCTACCTTGGAGATTCTCATGGGCCAAGCGGAACTATCCCCCTCCGCAGTCTCCGTCATTCGCAAGTGCGATGAAATAGACACCAAGTTGGTTCTACGCTTGATGCAGCACGAGGTTGTTCGTCAATCGCTGTTGAAAAGCCGCTCTGAATCCTTCGTGGATGCACTGGCTCAAGCCGCCCGAGACAGAAGAGGATTGAGTTCCAGTATTGAGTGTCTAGATGGATATATCAAGCCGGGTGACTGGTTCTCGAAGGGTTTCCACACTAGCATGTATGACAGTAGCAGCATCAATACCAAAAGTTTCCATTGACAACTGAAGGAATAGTCTGTTCTCGGCTTCTTGATCTGTGCAGCAATAATGCCTAACTCTGATTAGGGGTTACTTGATGAACTAGCCATGCAGCTTGACGTTCACGGTTCACGTTGTGTTATTCTGATCTAGAAACATATTCCCAACATATGATCCCAATTGAGCCAACATGCAGATGACCCAAGTCTTAACTTCAGCCTTGTATTCCAAACCCAACCTATCGCGACACTTCACTTGAACTGGCAGTTGCCATGACCGACGTAGTCAACATCCTCACCATCCTCCTTTAATCTAAACAACATCCTTAGAACGCGCATCCAACTCTCGGCCGAGTCAACATCACGCTTCCAACGGCCCTCCGTCCGAAACAACACGTGCCCAACACGTTACACAAAACGCCTTCTTCGTACACTTCTCGGCGAAGAAGGGCGTATGTTGTTAAGCTGACTTTAGAACCTTCAACTCAGTACGAACCCCTTCCTTTCCTCGGCAACCCAAATTCATTCTTTCGCGGAGAAGCTTAACTCGGACGGGCATGTTCACTACAGCCATAGATGAAGGTTTTCTCGGCGCAGCTACGAGGTACAGCTGTAGAGTCCTCGACAAGCAGCATCCCGGAGCCCGGGTGCTAAGTCTGGCTGCCAAGCCCGTACGCCGTGGCGCGGAGGGGAGGGGTCATGTCTTCGTAAGCGACCCCCCCGAAAGTCAAAACGGTTTCTCGGCGTAAGGCTGTGTGTCTCTCGTTTGCTTAACCTCCTGCTTTGCTGGGAGAGGAGAGAAAGGCCCGGAGGAGGGAGGAGTATTTGGGATGAACTCAAAAATCGAAAGGGTCCCGACGCGCGCGGCTTTGCGTGGAGATAGTGTTGTGTCGTTGACTCAGCTTTAGTCTTTTTGGTGATCTACTTGTTCACCTAGAAGCTCTCTCAGGAGACATTAAAAACGTAGCAGCGTGATAGAGATTTGGAGTCCGCTTCTACAGGCAACAACTTGGTTTAGTCCATGATATCGGGGGCCGAGGCTGAGCTTGCCGGTTTGGCGAGAAACGGGGGAAGCTT